TAATAACTTAAAGAAAAATTCCTACAATATTTAGGTTTCTGATAATGTGAATTTAAATTGATTCAGCAACTTTTATTATTAAGATTTATTATAAAATTTTAATTATCAATAAACTTATTGTTTAATTAATTAGAGGCAATACAGTCACATCAGATCTGACATTAGATCTGATGTCAGATCTGATATAAGTTCTGATGGCGATTATCGAATACAAGATCTGGTATCAGATCTGATGGTAGATCTGGTGTACATTTGTCAGATCTTATACCAGATCTGATGCCAGATCTGGAGTCAGATCTTACATACTATTTTCACCTGGGAAGGGTGCTTGTTGTACTCATCGAGACCAACAAATTCTATATGGTCCGGTGCTGGCACTAATTTTGTTCGGAAAAATTTTAATTTGACTGGACTATCTTTTACCGAGGCAACTTCGTTCAGGGCATCTTCCGTTTATAAGAAGAGCTCGTCATTCAAGGTGAGGTACAGTTTATAGGTCCCACCTGCCATTCACGCTCGCGACCGGTTGGGCATGACCGACGAGGTTAGCTAAACCCTCTCACCTGCCCGGGAAACTACGGGCTAAGGTTCGACTCCCCGGGCTACGTCAAGGTCCCAGTCCGTCGAGGGGGTTGGATTGTGTATCTGTATAAATAAATTGTTAGCATCGGGAAAGAGCCGAGGTGTGCGTGTATAAGCCGAGAGTGAGTTGGATTAGCAATTAAGTAATTTTTTGACGTTCGAGAATCGAATTTTATCGGCTCGCTATGAGGCATTCTTTTTATTTTCTGCCGATTCCAGTTTAAGTACACTGTTGGAAATATTTACGGTAGAAGTCAAGAAAGGAAGTTTCTTTCCTACACGTGAAAGAATTCAATTTCGTTTATGAGCACTAAAGTGGATGTAATTTGAATTAATAATTTAAATTAATCCTTAAAGAGGACTATTATCCTTATCTCAAATTATCTTATGTTATGTTATCTTAAAACATACTACAGTGCTTCAGTTATATCGTTATGTTTTTTATAAAATTATTTGAACTTTGCCAGTTGCATATTTAAAAATTAAGGTTGTAATGTTTAACTTAAGGGCTCGGAGTATTGCCACGTAAGAAAATTACAAAAATCATGCAAGCACACACTAGGGTTGGGCGGAAATAACCAATCGTCTATATTTCAATTAAAACTAAAGAGAAATAGGTTTATTAAATATTAAATAAATAGATGAGATAGGTTTAACTATGAATGGGCCTAGAAGGCCAGTAATACAAGACTATAAAAGGCTTCCGCCGAACCGAGCGTGAACGGGCTTACGCTGGAGAGAAAGAGTATTGGATCGACAAACAGGTACCAACCAAGGGCTCGTCGATCCCAGCTTGGCTACAGGCCCGCGTCCTTCAACTAGGAATCACTGGGCTCGCAAGGCACAAAATAATACAACGGTAAACAAGTTTAAATCATTAATAATAACTTTTCAAAATAGTCAATTTTTCCGAGGCAGGTGAATTTACTCTACTCGCAGTCCATCGCACTGCAAGCGACAATTATTATGTTAGCAATAGCTAAATATTAATCAGTAATTATTATAAAGTATAAATAATAAATAATATTGTATAGGCTTTTGCTCAAGAGGCTGAAGAGAGTATAACGAATAGTATATTCGTTACAAGGTACATGTCATCTAGCGGTGGAGGCTGGGGCTTTAATTGTGCAAAGTATTATTAATATTAATTTTTATTTTTATGTTTATTTCTATATAAATTTTTACTTGTACGTTAGACAGTAAAAGCGGATCCTAGATTCTACCCGATTCAAAATTACGCGCGCAACCATCTATTGCAGGCCGTTCGGTCTGATACACCAATAAGCACGTAGAATTCTGTAGAATTTGGGCTCTCTCGATCTCTCGCGTCTCTCTAGTTCGCTTGCTCGCTCGAAGCCCTCCCCCTCTTCGCGGTGCGATTGTTCTTGCTCATTTCGACTTCTCTAACTTCAACGACACGGAGCATCGAGAGAGGGCCCAATCATCTTTGTACTTGTCCAACGTTAATAGTTCTACCACTAATACAATGTAAGTTTTTTTATACCCGGCTTTAAGTTTTTGATGTGAAACATCTATATTCGCGTTTGGTGTCAGGGGTAAACCCGTAAAAACCGAGCGTCCGTCCGTCCGTCCGAGCGAGCGCAACTTTGGTAGTATTTTATAAAGGCTTTTTATACCCGGCAACATGGCAAATTGACGTTTCGCCTCTTACTATTCGTCACTAAAAGGAGAGAGAAATTTTTTTTAACTCACAAAATTTATCATTTAATTAATCCAACAATGCATGCGTCGTATTCTACAATTATTGAAGTCGAGACAAGTCGGTTTCATTTTTTTTTTTTTTTTGACGAATCGTAACGCCGAGTCTGTCTTCGTGCCGTTGTTCGCGAGGCTCTTTCATCTTTTTACTTCAATCGCTTCTGGGAATCCGTGCTGTCGCGAGTTTAACTTCATTTTGATTTCAATAAAACTTCGTTGTTTCATTAGGCATATTCAATAAATGACGTTTCCACGGTCTAAGTTTTGTTCATTAAAAGTGCGAAATATGTTAGTGCGCCATAATTGCCTTTATTTCGAATTGCAAGTATTACATCTCCGGCTTCCCTTCTATGCGGTGCAAAAAACGCGCGGATTTACTGCTGAACCCCGATCGTCATTTTAACAAATAGTATTTCTGTCCCTCTCGTTCACTCGCTCGCTCCAAGCCCTCTCCCTTTTCGCGGCGCGATCACTCTTTATACTCGGTTCACTAGTACTCGTTTTTACATATTACTCGGCACGAATTTAGTTAATCTCAATTTTTTTATTCAAAAATCTCCTTGCCCATACCAATTCGCTCAGAACTATTGAATTTTAAGCTAAAAAAACGTATGGGACAAAAATTGCCGTATCTCAGCGAAATTAGCGAATTTTTAAAATCTGAAAACGGCGTTGGGAAGGTGAGATAAAAACCTATTAGATAATCAAATGTAATTTTTTCATGGGTGATTATACTCAGCCATTTTCTTGAAGAAACGAATATGCTTTTCGATTTTTAAATTATTTATAATGTCGTTTTTCGGGATACAATCGTTAATTTTTATATGGAAATAATCTTGGAGTACATACTAATATATGGGGCGAAATTTCTCAAAACTCCTAGCGCCTCGCACAACAGCGTTTTTGAGCTAAATTGCTTAATTTCTAACTATCTACTACTATTCTATCTATACTATTCTACGGAAAAATGCACTTAAACTTTTATTTTCTATTTTTCCGTATGAAAATGAAAATCATCAAAAAAACCGACTGCACCACGAGAAAGCTGAGAAAAAAACGCATAAAAACTGTATTTTTATTTATTTTTCTAGTTGAATTACATTGTCATTTGAGCGACTTTCGATTACAGCTAGCCCTGAGTCGCGTGTTTGGTCGGCCGGACGGTCGATCGCCGACTATGTTTGCTCGTATCTCTCATAGAAATTATGTGTTTTACACTTTGAAAACAACTGTTTTCTATGTAAAAAGACCTCAGGTTTCCATTGAAACAATAAAAAAAAGGCGCATTTTGAGATATTCGAGTTTGAAAGTTTACTTGCATTTTCCGAGGTGAAAATGGAAAATTCCGGGAAATTGGATCTCACCCTCAAAAAGCTAAGCAAATTTCCTATCGAAATCACTGGTTGGTTATTTTTTCCAGGTTCGTTTAGGTACTTTTCGAGCGAGTTAGAAATTGAGCAATTTCGCTCAAAAACGCTGTTGCGCGAGGCGCTAGGATTTTTGAAAAATTTCGCCCCATATATCGTTGGATTTGTTACAAAAAATCGTAAACTTAAACAGTGTCAAAAAATTTTCTAAATTTTTCTTGTTCAGTTTCAAACGTTTACAAGACGATTTTTTGTTTTTTACGCAGAATGAAGATATCGGAAAAGTGCATTTTTTTCAATGAAATCATCCTCCTAAGTAAAAAACGTCTTGTCGATATAAATTTTACCTTCTGAGCAATGCGCGTAAAAAAAAAGATCTTTTTAAGATCTTTTTATGAACGTCTCAAGTATGAGCCTCAGTGAGATGTTTTGAGATGTTTTCGAGACGCGCCACAATTGATTTTCACTGAGACGTTTCCGAGATCTTATCCAGGTGTTTTTTTTCTCGTCGAAAAGACTGAAACTTGACAAAAACTCTTTAAAAGTCTGAATAAGTCTTTAAAATTCTTATAAATTTTCGGATTTCGTACCATAATTTCAAGATTTAATAAAACTTTATAAGAGTTTCAATTGATATAAAATTTTTTCATAAATTTATGTGAAACCTGGATTTCTAAAATGTTCAGAAAAAAAATTGAAAAAATTTTTACAAGTAATTTTAATTGTTTTAAAGAGTTATGAAGAGTTTCGAAGAGTCATCGTGTTGATAAGAGTTTTGAAAAGTTTTAAAAACGTTTTTGATTAGTATCAACGCTCACCAAAAATCATAGTGAAAAAACTATACGGGCAACCATATGAACAATACATAAAAAAAAAAATTAATGAAAAAAAAACTCAACACTTTTGCCAAAAAATCGAGTTTCTGCAAGGTTTTATGAATTTTTAAAAACTCTTATTAACTCTTTAAAATAATTAATCAGGTGTACGAATTTCCTACTTCTATAAGACTTATTAAGACTTTATAAAACTTTATCATTAGACAAATTTCCGTTGGGGTTGAACAATTTTATTAATTAATATTAATGTAAATGATTTTTTTATGTATGAGGTAGTAGATACTTTTCTCATGTTAAACGTCAATCAATTTAAATTTATGAACATATCGTTGTTGTATGTACTCATAAGAGATGGGTACTCATATTTATTGTACATTCATTTTTACTCATTTTATACATATTGTAGAAATGAATCTAATTTCATGGCATTTATTACCAACAATAACCAGTTAGTAACTATCAGTTCCATTCCTTAGCATTTTTTTGTTTATCATTCACTTTAGTCAAAGAAGATGGGTAATTTGCTTGCACTATTTTAACTGTCCGAGTTCTGACTATGACATTGCAGAGGCGCTACCTATAGGTCTGGTAAGCTTCGTGAATCGTGATTGCCCTAATAGCATAATAAATAACATAACAATAGTGTGCGATAAGCGGCTGCTTGTTTTTTTTTCAACTTACGGTAGACAACCGCTTACTTGTGTAATTCAAAATTACACGAGATAATTAATTTGGATGTTGAATCAACCTTATAAGTTGCTCGTTATATTTAGTTTTATTGAAAACTGTTGATGGTGGCTGAAAATGACATTCGTGCGGATTTAACCCCAATCTTCACTTGTCTGAAAATGGACAAGGATTCCAGCTCGGAGTGAGTAGTTTTAATAAGTTTACCAAGATGGAATATTTATTAAAACCAATGCTGCAGGATTCAGGTAGCTGGTACAAATAAACAAGAGGAGGTTAATATGCCGGAGGTAGTCGCAGGATTGAAAATGTTAGCCGTAGACTTACCGGACGGAGAATCACCTCCTCAACAAAATCAAAGACGATCTTCTAGGAAGAGAAAACCAGTAGATCATTTAGACATGTCAGCCTTAAACAGAAGGTATTTTTGTTTATTGTCTTATTATACCCTGACATTTGGTACCCTAACTTTTGTTTTCTATGTTTTTATTCTTTCAGATGCAACACAAGACCGAGAAAAAGGACCTTTTCTGAAATGGAAAGTGAAGAACAAATCAAAGAGTATTATTTAGATAAGACCGTTAAAAAACATACTAATTCTTTAGAAACTATCTTCGAAGAAAAAGAAGACTCTAATCAGACGACAAACTGTATGAGTGCTAAACGTTTTAAAAGAATGATTCAGTTTAATTCTCAACCTACAGAATCCAAATTGAAAAAGAGACGAGATAAAATCAAGAAAATTTTTGGCTCTAAAATTGGTTTCAAAAAAAAAAAAGTTTCCATGCAATCTTTACTTGATAAACTAAATAGTTTACAAAGTGATGTACCTTTGAATGCACAAAAAGAAAGAAAAGTTTGTAAATAGTTTCCCAGACCAAGTACTTAAATTTAAGTCTCACTTGGATCAAAAGTAAGTTATTCTTATTTTTGAAACATCCATTACAGGTTAGCTGAAAAAGTTGAATAAAACTTTTTTCACATTGAATTAACTATTTTGATACAATTTTCTCTGGAAATGATTTATTATTAAGTTTCTTGTTTATGCTTTATAATTTGATTTATTTCAAGTACTCAATAATCATTTGATAATACAATTAGTATAAAAATGTCTGAGATTATAATTTGATAGTTATATTGCACTGATGAGTATTTCTATGTGCTAGTAAAATTGGTGAATCTCTGCAAAATACCACTTAAGATGATAAGAGTTTAGGATTATAGATACATTTTTCAAATTATAATTGTGCAAATGAATGAAATGTCAATGGTTTTTTTTTTTTTTTTAAGTAAAAACTATGAAAAAATAAAGTTTATATTTTGATATGTCTATGATTATCATAACAAATTATTTAATCTCAGAGATCTTGGGTAATATTGCATGATATTGCATCTTCAATACATCCACCATAAGATTGTATAATTTCTCTACTTTCTTGATCATTTAGACTTTCCAAAGGGATGCAGGCACAACGGTGTTGTTTTGATTCAATGTTATCATATAGCATTCGAGGAACACCTATCCAATCTCTTAAAATTCCTCCGCTATGGAAAAAAGTTTATTATTATTTATATTAATTGCAAAACGAATAATAATTGTACCTATTTTTTGAACACCAAACTCTAGTTCCAGTTTCAGGACTCCATTCTATATTACATGGAGGGAATTTTACTTTTTTTTTCTCTTCAATGATATTTTTTTCTTTTGCTAAAAGAGCTCTGTGTTCTACAATAAGATTTTCTGCAGTTGGATTTCCCCATTTATCATAGTATCTTCCAATTAATTTACCTTAAAAAATTTCAATATTTTATTTCTTTGTAGAATTTTAGCATGTATTCAACAGTAAGGAGATTATCCATTTAATTCAAGTACGCATTTAAAACAAGAAATATAATAGATATATTTTTGTATCATTTACCTTTATATAGGTAAGTTTTTTTATAAAAGTCTACCCATTCTAACAAAGATAAAATTTGTTTATCAGTCAAGGATGAAACATCATCTGAAAGTCCAGTGTCAGTAAAATCACCGGTAATGAATGCTGCAGAACCATCCAATCCTGTTTTAAATCATTAAATCATCAAGTTTTGAGTTAGATTAAAATTACTATTTTTCAAGTATTGGTCATTTACCTGTGAATGCATGATAAGACTTATTTGGTCCATAATGCTTAGCACCACTTGTTACATCAAAAACTTGTCCCAATATAGCTAGGTACAAGCCATCTTCTAAATTTACGTATTTTTTAAGTGCACTTAGATCATATAAATCATCACTCTTTTTATTGCGAGTATTTTCAGGTACCACAGTTAGTACATCTGCAGTTTCTATAGTATTGGGTCTAACATTTATATAATAAGGTTTTATATATTTTTCTATACAAGTAAGTTTATCATTAGAATACAACACGTAAAGTGTTGATGTAAATAAAATTATCCAAATATACTTTGATAACATATTAAAAGGCTCGAAAAATACTGTTAATTAAAATTTTTTTTATAACAACTTTAGCAACTACATTAAACAGTAAAAAAACATCGTTGCGATTTGTCGTAAATCAAAGAGGCATGTTTGCTCTGCTGTCATTTACAAGTATAAAAGTGTATGGGAAAAATTGAGCACATGACACGACCGCAGATAGCAGACAGAGTTGAGAGTTGAGACAGCAGAGGACAAAAAAGGAGGCAACTCCATCTGCTGGAATAGTTTTGCTAATCACATATCTCTGTCAATCAATCCTGAGTCCTAATTCCAGTCTTCACCGTAATAAGTGTGAATGTGAATAAATGATATCTGGACTCTTGTAAAGTCCAAAGTGCTTACTATTTGTCGTAAGAAATATAATATAGGTAGTTATTATCACAGATTTTAAAGTGAGTGAAAAAACATAAACTTATTGATTGATTGTATAAATATTATTAATCGTTATTATAATTATGTTGTATCGAGCCGTAGAAAATATTTTACCGAATCACCGATTTAAATGCCCAGCCCTCAAGTTTTTTTCATTAAAATCATTGATTACAAATTAACATTATTATCTTCTTGTGTTATCTCATATTTTATTAAAATAATCATAATTGAGTTATTTTAAATGTTATTTTTTTCAACTATAATATATATTAATGAATATTTTAAAAATTTTTCATGAAATGATTTTTGAACTTTTTTTTTATTTATTATTTTTAAAATACCTATACTTTAAAAAAAAATATTTTTGTTTAGAGATATATTATGAAGATTAATTCAACATAATATGTATTTCTACTAAATTTTTTGTCATTAATTATTATTTAGTTGTATGAGACATCATAATAATTGTTATTAAACATTTAAGTCCATTAATTAAATTTCTATTGATCATATTATAGTACCCAAAATGCCAAGTTCTAATCTTTATGCAATAAACTGTGATGGACGTGTATTTTCACTTAGTACTTCTGGTAGCATGTGGAAAGAGTTTATGTATCTAGGTCTTGAATTTAAACAATTATCTGCTGTTCCACATTTTATGTGGGCTATTGGTGGAGACCGACAAGTTTATGTACATGTACACGGTCTTGATATTCCAATACGAATTAAAGAAGAAACATATGAAAATGAAGTAGGTATTGATAGAACTCTTGCATTTTGTAATGTATAAAATTTAACTACTCTATTTTGTTTTTGCAGAGATGGCTACCGTTAGAAGGCTTTAGTGGTAGACTTTTACCAACTGATAGGTATCATTTTTCCAATCAAGATGGATCTGTTGATCGCAGTCGTGATAAAGTCAAGTTACCATCAATGGCTTGGCAGTGGGAAGGAGATTGGCAAATTGAAACTACCTTGGATGGGCAACCACTAGATCACGATGTAAGAATCTTAATGTAGTAAATTGGAATTCTTAATATCATTTTTGAAAACATTACGATTCATTTTTCATAATAGGGTTGGACATATGCTGTTGATTTTCCTGCGACATATGGTGTAACAAAGCAATGGAAATCTTGTGTAAGAAGGAGAAAATGGGTACGCTACAGAAGATATAGTGCCATGAACTCTTGGTGTGCTATTGCACCTCTTCACAAAGATGCTACCAAAGTAAATATAAAAATACAAGGCTTTTATTTATTGGAGTTTAATAACCATGTAAAATTCCAGGAACCTTTCATTGATGTTTCTATTGGAGGCAATCAAATACCTGGTGGAAATCCTGGTGACCTAACAGTATGGGCTGTTACTGCACATGGAAGAGTAATAAAGATAATTTTGATAAAAATCATATGAAAATTGATAAAGTAAAATAATAATTTTAAATTAGGTCATGTTTAGAGTAGGGGTCAGTACAACATCTCCAGAGGGATTGAGATGGAGTGCAATCAAAATGAACCCAGGTGACGAATCCTTACAAATAAGTGTAGGAGTTACTGGTTTAGTTTGGGTAACTTTATTAAATGGAAAAGCTTTAGTAAGAACAGGCGTTTCTAGAGAAAATCCAATGGGTAAATCTATATTTATTACATTTGTACCCCATTTTTTATTATTACATTTTTTACTGTTACAAGAAAAATTAATTTTGATTCTTTCAAAAATTGCAGGTGATGAATGGGCAGTAGTAGAACCACCTCAACCACATTTACGTTTAACACAAGTAAGTGTTGGACTTGATGCAGTATGGGCAATAACTCATGAAGGAAGTGTTTGGTTTAGAAAAGGAATTAAGGGAGAAATGAGTGGTATATGTGAACAATTGGCTGTTGGAACAGGTTGGGTTGAAATGTCTACAAAAATGATATTAGTGTCTGTAGCTCCTAATGATCAGGTATTTATAAATTACTACTTGTTAGGAAAACTCATTCTTCTATAGTTATTCACAAATGGAATTTTATCAAAGGTATGGGCAATAGGACATGAAGATAGATGTCTTTATTATAGAAGCGGTATTGCAAGATCAGAATTAACTGGTAAAAAATGGAAAGCCATTAATGCACCTTTTCAATTAAGTAGAGCTAATAGTAGTGCCAGCATGTCATCTAACAGTAAATACAGTCTCTGTGGAACTCCTAATCAAAAAAGTCAAACATTTGGTTCCTTGGTAAGGTATCATCAAAATTCATTTCAAATAGTTAAATATTTAATTTACAATTAATATTTTAATGCAGCAAAATCAGAAAACTCTTTGCTCAAATGAGAATGTAATTAAAGAATGGGAAGAACAATCAAGATCTGCTCCTGGACCAGTATCCTTGAAAAATTTTGAAAATCATGAATTGCCTGAAAATACAATACAACAGTCTATTAAGAAAAAAATGTATTACAGTCAAAGCACCAAGTAACTACCTTATTTTACTCAATTAAATTTTAAATACACATTTTTTAAAGTATATAACTGTTATAGCTCTACAGGATCTCAAGAATCAAATGAAATTGACTGCAATAGTGTGGCTAACATTACCATATCAAATGAAACATTAAATAAAAGTGGAGAGTCAATAGTTGTTACAGGAAAGGGCATGGGTAGCACAGTCAAAGTAACTTTTTTTTATTATAAAAATCAAGCAGTATTATTGAAATTACAATGGAAAATTTTTACCAGATTAATCCAGGCTCATGGAGTCCTGTTCACTCAGTTGGTTCAATGGTTGGAGCTGAGGCTCATCCAGAAACTGATGGTTCTATATTTGATCCAGATTTAACTGGTGATTCAAGTGTTTTTGGAGAAGATGAAAGTGCAGCTGCTATTTATTGGGCTGAATATGAAATGACATGGGTCAAAGTTGAAGCTGGTGCTTGTTTAGTGGACCTTAACAATCCTCCCAAATGGTATGATAAAATTTTCATAATACATGATGTACAAAATGAAAGATTGACATAATTGACGAATAAAAATTGTCTAGGCTTGCTGAAACTAATGGTTCAAATCAAGTGGAAATTATAGAAGAATGGAGAATAAACATTTTAAATGAACTGAAAAACAGATTGAAAGGAATTGATTTTGATGTTGACTTGTGCGAAAAAGCAATTGAAAAGTTTGTCAATAATGTTTTAAAGATATAAAAAATGTTGAGTTTACTTATAATATGTTATTTTTTAGATCTTCATGGGTGAAAAATGGCGAAGCTAAGTGTAAATTGAAAGGTACATCTTTGTTTGAAGATTGTATTGTTGAATTAGAATGGATAAGCAGTGATGCTGGCACGCTGGATTTTGGAACTTTAACAATTTTAAATACAGATGGGGCAACAACAATGGTACAAAATGAAGCTTTTAGATTTGGAGAAATATTTTTCACATTAATATTCCTTTTATCTGATGTTTTAATTCCCTAGGTTCAGTTTTCTATATCAGAAGTTGTATGCATTGTTTGCTGCAGTGAACCAGGGTTTCCAAGATTAGCTATTTATACACCTCGTCTAAATAATTGTAAAACATTACGATTACAATTCAGCAGTGATACTGAATTAGAAGATTGGATGGCTCATTTGACATCTGGTAAATAGAGTCTTTCATTCGTAAAAATTTCCTAAAAATGGTATTTTAATTTTATTTTTTATATAATTCAGTTTCTTGTAAAATAAATAATGCTTATGGAAGACCAAGCTCAAAGGCTATTTGGGCTACAACTGCTTTAGGAGACGTTTATGTACATGATCCCGTCTTAACAGAGGTAGTATTAAGTATAATTGCTTCATTATATGTTATGTTAATCGAATATTTTGAACTAGGAAAATCAATATGCAAATGGTTTATACATTCAAGAATTAAATACCGCCAATAAAGCACTACCTTTCGAAAGTATTTTACAAAACGGATTTAGTCCAGGTTGTTCTCTACACGTTACTGTATGCATTCATGACGATGCAGATAGGTAAAATCTATAAAATTTAATTTATTATCAGAAACATCTATTCTAAATATACATTTTGATAACATGTTTCAGAATATCTTTAAATCTTGTTTGTCATTCTACAACTGTAAACAAATACAAGCAAATTGTGGATACAAATGATGTAGCCCTTCATTTCAATCCAAGACTTAGTGAAAACATTATTGTTAGAAATACGTACCAAAATAATAATTGGGGAGATGAAGAAAGAAATGGTGACAGTCCAATAAAAGCTGGATCCAATTTTTCATTGGTTTTAAATTGCGAAGAAAGAGGATATAGAATTTTTATTAATGATACAGAATTTACCTATTATAATCATAGAATTAATCCGAAAAATGTAACACATTTACGTATAAAAGGCAAAATGACTCTTTGCAGTGTGCTTTATAAATCACCATCTGTACGTTGAGCAATTTATAAAGTATTCAACAATTTTAATCATTCGTTGAGTTTCTGCTTTTATAATTTCAGGTAATTATCGAACCTATGTCTATGTTTTGGAGACAAATTGGAGGCCACTTGAAAAAAGTTGAAACTTGTAATGCAAATGTAACTTGGGGTATTGGCTATGATAACACTGCTTGGGTCTATACAGGGGGATGGGGAGGTACTTCCTTAAAAGGTAACGATTTCTTATCAAGAAAATCTTAAATGAGAATACATGATGAAGATTATGTACTTTTTACAGGATTAGACTTTGGCAGTTCAGGTGTTAATACTATGATCGATACCCACAATTATTTTGTATATGAAAATCAGCGTTGGAATCCAATTACTGGTTTTACATCTCATGGCTTGCCAACGGATAGGTACATGTGGAGTGATGCATCGGGACGACAAAAACGTACGAGAGAGAATACAAAACTGCTTTCGTGTCATTGGCAATGGGTAAATGATACTTTTTTCTCAATGTGATGAGCGCAACTCACTTTAAAGTAAAAATATTCAACATTGTGCTGTGGATTCTGTACATTTAGGTATCAGAATGGATACTCGATTTTCATGCTCCAGGAGGGGTCGATCGAGATGGCTGGCAGTATGCGACCGATTTCCCATCTCAATATCACGGTAAAAAGCAATTCACCGACTACGTGCGAAGGCGTAGGTGGTTTCGTAGATGCCAACTGACAACTAGTGGTCCTTGGAAAGAATTGGGTAACACAAAGCTAGTTGACGTATCTTTATACGTAAGTGTTTTCTCAAATCGTTGATTTATTTTGTATCTATTGTAGTTTTACATTTTTCGTGCATTCACTTTTTTCAGAATCAAAACAACGCTGATTCCGAATGTCCCATTCACGTGTGGGCTGTAGCTCCTAACGGCGAGGCATTGTTTCGCAGAGGCGTTTCGGAATCGTGTCCAATGGTAAAACAATTACTAATTTTTATTTTGTTAAACTGCTCGGAGAAACAACCCAATGAAAATGTTCTTATAGGGTGTTACATGGGAGCATATACCTAGCGATCAACCATTAGTTAGTATTTCTATTGGCCCTAACCATCAGGTTTGGGCTATTGGAAAAAATGGATCTTCTTATTGGAGATTCGGTATTTCGGAGAGCAAGCCAACAGGTCAAAATAATTTAAAAAAAATTTTAAATTTGTATAATTTGACTTTTGCTTATGATAATCGATATTTTAGGTGAATCTTGGCAAAATGTCGAACCCCCTTCTGGATCGCATTTAAAACAAATTGCCGTCAATGAAAATGCCGTATGGGTTTTAGATGACTCGGGAAAATTATCAGTTCGGCGAGAAATACAGCCAACGGTATTTCCAGAGGGTACCCATTGGCAAACTCTACCAGCAATGACTAATGATCCCATTCACATTGGTAAATGCATAATTACTACTTTTAAACGTCAAATTGAATATTGTAACTTTTTTTAGTTGAAAATGAACCTATTTTTTAAAACATGATTTAAATTTATTTGAAACAGGTGATATTTCAGAATTTTCAATACCTTCGACCATACGTAATTTTCCTTCAGAGCTGTTACGTAGTTCGTAGGCCAATCTTAAATAATAATTTTACTCTTTTTTCTTTTTATCTTATTAAATTTTTTTGGTTATCATATCTTATTAATTAAAAATTTTATTTATTTTAAAATTGTATAGAAAACATTTTTAAATTCGTTCTCAGGTGATTTCTTTTCTTACAGATGTATCGGTTTTAAATACTAAACAAGGATTTCGGCACATATCCGTTGGACTTATGTCTAATCAAGTGTGGGCTGTATCTGGAGCCGGTATAGTTTGTCGAAGAATTGGTATTACTGACTCAAATCCAGCTGGTTCTGGTTGGGCTACCGGCATTGGGGTAAGCTCATTCGCTTTTACAGAAAAAAAAATGTTTTTTTCGATCACCTGTTTGATTCATATACTTTTTTCACTTAGGCCAATTGGCAACAAATTAGTGTTGGAGGTCTCGTGAATGATCCACGATGAAAATTCGGTAACAAGACTTATGAAAAGATGTGATGTTTTCTACTATTACTGTGCGTGTCGTTGAATAGAAATTCATCGAGCTACTTTTTCGATTTTTTCCAAGTTTATTGATTTATAAGTATATACTTGCAAGGTAAAATATTAATCATGTATAATACATTTAATTAGAATCTCTTATAGTCTAGTCAGAACTAATTTTATATTACCAATTATGTGTAAAACATATAATTCAAAAACTAATAAGCAGCTTTTGTCGCTGACCTAATGGTCGAGAAAAATGATAAAAAAATTTACTTGAACTTCTTATTTTTATATCATCTTTGTCTGTTTCCTCTAAAATGTCAAGAACACTTTATTGTGATTGATCAGGAGAATATGAGCATATTTTTTACCGTTCACTTTATTAGAAAATGAAAAAAGTCTTAAATGCTCTACACAATTAAGGATAATTTTTTTGTTATTGCATAGGTGTATTTATTCCTTTACATAGAATCTCAGTAGTAACTCAAAATGAGACTTTTGAACAATGGTACATTAGGAGTGACGCACTACCTTTATTTTTAACAATGTGATCTCAAAGTAGTATTTTTCATCTAATTTCTCATTACTGATTTTTAATTTAAAATTTACATTATGATCCTAATCATTCCATGATTTTTGGCTAGTGAATATATTAGTTTTCAGCTACTAATAATATTTTGAGTTATATCTCCTCAACCTAATTCGCTTGCATTTATGATAAATGTTAATCTTTATGAGAATTCTCAAAAATATTTTTTCTTCATTCAATGTTGTATTTAATACCAGTAATATATATTCAAAGAATCGCTGAGACTTGAATTACTCATTATGTATGCCTTGGCATTATAATTATTATAATCGATCATTACCAACATCATTTATTTTGGTTGGTATAAAATTCTGTTTATAAAGATATATTTAAATATAAGTCTATTTGGTTATATGAAATAAACATCTGTACAGTTAAATTGTTATACTTATTTCTTTTTTACAGTTGCATTAAATTTATATTTGAATAGCTCGAATGCAGCACGCTTAAGTACATATTTACACAAAGATACTGTGTCTATTTTTTCATCATATGAATCATTGGGCATCTATTTACATGAATAATACAATCCACAAAAATGTTTTTCTACAGTTGACTTGCACAATTTGATAATTGGGATTATAAAACGATGAATTCGCACAGCCCGTCATTATCAAAAAACTTGGTAAATTAAAATAATTTATATGTTTACATTCACACCCGCTCAGACGTCCCAAATGTAATCTTAAATATTTTAAATTAACGTTACATTTTTTTGCTAATGTACACATTGAGCGAGACTTGTAAAGCAAGCTGCTCGGGTTTTTGTGTTTTTTTCCGAAATATAAGTCCCAAACAATTCATTCAACTTAATCTATTATAATTCGCGGCTAAAAGGAAAAAATTTTACGTAAACTTTGGATCCAATGAGCACCTATCGAGGTTCTTAAGTGATAAGATATAGTGGAAAAAATAAACGTTCCTCACTTATTTCTCTGTTTTTGTTTTGAAACGGGACCTGTTTTCAAAACAATTGCAATCATGAATCATTAAATACGGTAAAAAAATCGAGCCCCAGTCTCTTATTAATTAATTTTTTTTGTAGCTAAAAGTTTTCATTTTTTGGTAATACTGCTGACTCGTAAGACATCATCTCGATTGCTGTGGATGCAATTTCACATCAACATTTTGAAATTGTTTGAACTTGATCAGCATATTTACGAGCTAAATTTTCAGCTTCCAAGCGATCTCGTTCGCCTTGAGCGCTGTTGTGCACTCCATAAAAGAAGTATATGCAAAATCCTGGAAAACAATTTATAAATATAAAACCCTAGATCAAACTAATTATGTGCATGTAACCAATCTTACCGATAATCATCCAAACCAAAAATCTTATCCACGTATAAAAGTCGAGTTGAAGCATCAAGTAGAGATTAATGAGTATACTCAAACAAGGTATTAATGGAACCAAGGGCACCTGAACACAAAATTAATAATCATTTTTTGAAATTTACTGTCATTATGAAAAGCTTTGATTTTATATAGTACTTTGAACGATAAATCAGATTCTTGAACCGGTTGCCTGCCGATCGTAGCCGCGACAAGAATAGCCAAAAGCACGAATATGGCGAATATGAATGATGAAGCGTCTCCTTCGAATACATTGAAATTGTTCACCAGTAAGCCAACAATGAAGACGAGAATACCTGTAAGCATTCGAAAATATACTTATGTATAACGCGTATCGGACAAAATAAGTAGGGTTTGCAGATGATAGAATCATACTGAAAATCAAAACTCCGTATTTGGCTGTTAAAGTGGAAAAATCGCTGGGTTCTTTTTGATTGTGAAGATTGAGTATCTGCTTAAAGTAACTACTCGAAGTTGAATAAGGTTCAGTTGCTTCAGGAGCATATGGCTTTGAGCTCGACTCTTCTCTTTGATACCTTTAAAGTTATATCGTAAAATGACTTTTCGATCTTTTGTTGAGAAAAAAAAATGCACGACTTACCTGAGAATCAGAACCGAAACGGCGACTATCGTATAAGCAAGCAGAGTTCCAATAGACATCATATTAATCAGCTGCTGAAGATCGAATAGTAAAGTCATTATCCCTAGAAAATTGAAAAAAATCGTAATATTGTGCGCAAATAATGGGGTACGCAATGAGCATTGAAACAAATTGTATGTACCTGTTAGAACCCCCGAGAGTACAGTGCCGAGGACAGGCGTCATAGTTCGTGGATGAACTCTGGCCAGGAATTTAAAAATGACACCGTCGCTGGCCATGGCATAGAGCACTCTTGGCAGTGGAAACATTGCCCCCAACAGACTGGTACAGAGAGCAAAGATCGCGCCTATGTTGACGATCCACTTGATGGCGGGCCAGCCGATCTGATCGTAAACGTGAGGAAATGGCGCCAAAGGGTCCTGCAGCGGTTTAGCGCATGATTTTTATGTGTCGTACGCGTCAATCATTGTACGCATTTTTAGCGTCGGTGTGGAACTCTTACCTGGGCGTAGTAGGGCCACATCATCGTGAGTACGGTCGAAATACTGAAATAAGCCAGAAAAATTATGGCCAGAGAGAAGACGATGGCGAGGGGTATGTTGCGCTGAGGATTTTTGGCCTCCTCGCCAGTAGTGGCGACCGCGTCGAATCCGACAAAGCCGTAGAAGCAGATGGCTGCGCCCTCCATGACACCCTTGATTCCGAAGGGCATGAAACCACCGTTTCCTGGATTGGTTACGTTCGCGGGTATATCGCTTGGATCGATGAACCAATTGTTCGTGTCCGCTGGAAATTTCCCCAAATAAAATTTCATGGTTGGAAAATAAAATTCAAAATAAAGAAAAAAAATGAAATTAGTCGCTCGAACAATTTGTTTTTCAATGCTTTTTAAACTATCTATTAGAATGATTGCAAAATCATGAAATATTTATGGTAACTCCAGACTAAAATGAGTACGGTAAAAAAACTCATTGCAATCTCGAGCAAGCAAATTGTATTGGAAACAAATCTTTGTTGATTAACTACTTGATTATCGTATCACAGTAGAGAATCGGCGTGTTCCAAAGAGCGCCGCGTTAGTTACAAACCGTCCAGTGCCAAATATTGTGAACGTTATTGAAATCGTAGTAGTCCTGATACGTGAATCGTTTTTTTCAATCCTATACAGGTCGTAACTTAATCGCGTAGTAGTACGACGAACCCGAACTTACAATTAATTTTTTTTCGCTTCGCTCTCGAACTTCATGTTCTTTACGAAGTTGCTTCGTTCCAGCTTGTATCCTTTATTTTCAAGACTTTCGTCGACGCCAGACGCTAATTAAATTTAAAATTGTGCGGCATTATATCCACACGTGGCATCAATGTCTTGAAGGTCTCAGTGAAAAAAACGACACTAGACTTATCCGCATCGTGTCCAAGAGTACATCGACCACATGGAGAAAGAACTTTTTCATAGCTAATTGCAGCAGTGGTCCAGCCCTTCTTGACCCGAATGTCGATCTGACCTTCTTATAATAAGATTGTGTAATAAGAAACTCAAGGTTTCAAAAAACATCCAAGTCGAAAACATTTATGTACATATTATTTTGAGGATTTTTCTTCCCCTTTCTACGTAGTCTTTTTAAGACATCAACAATTTTAATTATTTACTATTGCTGTTGATGCGAGAATTTTTCTTTGCGTGTGAAATACTATTTCTTACAAGGGTGAAAAATGAAACACCCACATACACGTGATATGGCGCCTCGGCATCGATTCTGCATTTTTCACGCAGAGTTTTATAAATTAAACTAGAGCTACGTGTATTTTGTTTCAACGATTTATAGTAAAAAAGTACCTTTGATAATGCCAGATACAACGATAATCGATATCGTCACCAAATTGATGGTCGTGAAAATGTTGTTGAGCATCGAGGACTCTTTGACCCCCACGCTAAGAAACAAAGTCAACAAAATGACCATGCCCATGGCGAAGAAATCGGGATATTGCGACAAGAACGATACTCGAATCGGCATGGCCCCGTGCAAAGCTCTCTCGATCGTGTAATTCGTGAGTACGTCGATGTAACTGCTCACACCCCTTGCCATGCTTGCCGTGCCTGTAAGATATTTAAACGAGTGAGAATGCGGCGGCTTTGTCATTGCGACGTCGGATTAATACGCCTCGCTGGTAATGGCTTACCTATGACATATTCCAATATCAAATTCCATCCGATCACGAAGGCGATGAATTCGCCGACCGTCACGTAGCTGTATACGTAGGCTGAACCGGCTTTCGGTACTCGTGAAGCAAATTCAGCGTAACACATCCCTGCGATCGTAATTGAATTAGGCACTCTGTGTTTGCTTGATTATTGTCTTAGTACCATTAACTTTCAAGTCTTATGGAATTATTTTTCTTTTACATAAATATTTTCAATTAACAACTTTTAATGGATTGTTTGGCGCGACGATATTAAGGCGTTTATTGAACTCTCGTGTTATCATTTGGCTACATAATATTTTAATTTCAAAATATTAAACTTGATTACTTTTTGCAGTCTTTACATTAAATATTTATTTTTTTATATACGCTGTCGACTGTACGGAAATTTATTTTACTTATTTTTCGGAACATAAATTTTTATGAGGTATAATTTTCATTCGGTGATATAAAGTTACATTTTTTATGTACAATTTTTCGCAGAAAATTTTTTTTTCATCCGAGCTGATAAACAAAGATAAAAGGCACATATCAGTTTTATCTGTGGCCTTTTCATCGTATTATCATTCTATGCATCCATGCACGAGGCTCATTAAAAAAATGAAGTGGAAGAAGCTTACCAGCGAAAGCGGAGGCGATCGCCGCTATGAGAAAAGATATGCAGACTGCCGGGCCAGCGGTCTCTTTGGCCACGCTACCGGCCAGGACGTAAACGCCGAGACCGAGGGTGGAACCGACGCCCAGAGCCGTGAGGTCGATCAACCCGAGGACTCGGGCCAGCTCGCTCTTTCCGGCTTGGTCGTCGTCGACGCGCCGCCTCGACAGAGCCCTCCACAGTCTCCTGCAAGTCATTTTTTTTCCTTCTGCCTCTCGTTGCTTCGCTGACTTTTGTTCTTCGAGTTCTTTACAATTGGTGCCAGCCGCTTGTTTCACGGAGTCACGAGTGTCCCGCGCAAAATTCCAAACACCGGTGTAACAATTTATCTTTAACAAACAACATTTTAAGATCATTTAGTAAAGCTATAGAATTTTCGTCAGACAGTGTAAACAAGCGCAAATTGTTTCAAAGTTTAAAAAAGGTTTAAAAATATGTTATAGCACGTTTCGATGAATTTCTTTGGAAATTTTTTTCATTTTAAGAGCTACAAAGTTATGCAAGTAACAAGGTTTTTGTTATAATTTTTTTATGCATTTTTATTTAAATTTACTTCATTCCAAGTATGAACTTGAGCGACATCATTTTAATTAACTTCGACGTTTTTTTTCTTGCTTCGCTCGACTTTAACGGTGCGTATCTAGTTCATTTCCAAAGAGATCGATGCTGTTTCATCATGCTTCGATAATTATCCAGTAATTAAAAATTAGTTTGATATTGCGCATCCAAGCTCGCACTTGTAATTTGAAAATATTGTTATTCAAGTTGACTGCAGCTCGTTATTTTATATAATAATAGAAAATAGTTAAAATAAAGAGGCAAAGCTGCAGACACATGTTTACGATTGAACTTGAATATTTTTTATGATCGCGATTTATATCGGTTCTAAGGAAACTGAAAATTAAAAAATTATCTCCTTGTTTTAAATCACCGCACCTACTGCAAGTAAGAATATATTAACTATTCGTCTAGACTAAGGATAATTTGTTACTTTTATTTAAAAGCAGTTCTTAGAAAAGAAAAAAAGTATAAATTATTGAAGTAGCTTCACTTAAGTAGAAAACTGTTTTTTTTTGTTTTATAACGCAACTCCAAAGCAATGAGAAGGTACAAGGTGGCAATGCATTCTAAAATATTTCAGTTGAATTGAAGTAACCAATAGCTCTGAAAAGAATGGCTGACATAACTCATTTGGCAAAAATCCAAAGATTCAGAAAGGAAAATCAGGACAATAATGGACTAATTTGTCGCGGCCAAGTCTCTGCGGGTGTATAGCTGTGTACACATGTGTACGCGATAGAACAAATCATGGAGACGGAGCGCGGCATTTAAACGCAATAATTAAGTGCCTGTAGTTATTATGCAATTTGATGTTACGTGTATTTAAGGAACAACTCGGCGGTGCGCTCTGGCACGCACGATGTACATCGCATTATGTGTGCAAGTATGAATGAGCCTGCTCGACTCGTGTGCTCTATTATATTCTCTTCTTTTTTTTTTTATTGACATTGAAGTATGCTGATTTTCATATAGGTCGTTGAGTGCCGATGGCAAGTGGTAAAGCAATTTCATCGGAAACAAAGATTTTTTTTCTCTTGATTTTTAATTTAGATCTCGCGACGAATAGTAGAATCAAACATTTCCTGTTTTAGTACAATTATTTGCCACTTTTATTATTGTTGATATTATATTTCAAATTGAGCTTTTAATGACAGTTTCAAATATTTTCGGCAAAAAATTACTGATTTTAACTATCGGGAATTAAGACACCTTCATATTTGACGTGAAGGCAAAATGTAATGCCGGCATATCGATTGGTAAATTTACTTCGCAATGCCGGATGCTCATGCATGTGAAATAGTTCTTTTACCTACCAGAACTTTAATTTAAAAATTTGATGGAATTTCAATTATACATCAGTACAACCAATGTTTTAATTATCTTTTGAAGTCAGTTAGAAATAGTTTGAATTTGTAATAGCTAGAAAATGATTAATGAGTCGGAAGTACAAATTACATTGAATGTATGTTTGAAGTGTTGTCAGACGTACAAAAATTATTTAAAAAGGCAATTGTCAACAGAGTTAAAAAAAAACTAAAATTGTTCCAGCCAGCCGAGCATTATATAAAATTAGCCAGTACATTCAATGCTTGAAAATTGTAATATTTGTTATGTAAATATTTTGTTTCAATTTAAGGTAAATTATTCGGCATTAAAACTTATCGTTTTCGATCTCTTATTGATTTTTGCAAAACAGCCGAAAAAAGTATCAAAGCTCGTTGTAAATAAAGCACGCGTGTATAGAAATGGACAGGTTACCAGGCCCTCCCCCCTGCCCCCAAAGGAGAATTATAAAACTAATGGCAGCGTCGGAGACGCGAATACGTAATAATACTCAATTTTATAATTTAGTCCGATCATTCGGCACAGTACGATTCAATTTTATTTGGCCAAACGACGATCGGTGTCGTGATAGTGCAGCCATGGCCCACATTTCAACCTAGCTCGAATTCATTTTTGTCGTGCCGCTATGAAAAACGAGAGAAAAAAGGTGTTCATTTTCGTTGTTTCGTCGCGAGAAGCTATATAATTTTTCAATTGTCTCCCCCGCCGCTGCGTGTATCGTCCAGCTAAATGTTAAATAATTCGTGTTCTAAAACCTGTTCGAGCGTCCGTCTGGCGGTGCTTTTCAGGTACGCGTAGCAATGATTCATGTCGGCACATACGTGCCTCGACACACACACGGCCACTCGACAAAACACGATTTGTTCCGACAGTCACACACAACAATGACGATAATAACGATAATAAGGTTGCCGATTTCAACGGACCGAATGCATAATCGAGCGGACGCGTGCGTATACTACGTAGCGTAGCGCAATGAAATCTTACACTTATTTTCACCAGGGCCATGTGCGTCGAGAGGTATCGGTATTATTAAGCTATACGTGCATAATGATAGAGCAACGTGTGTCGATACGCGTCCAGTGCGTCGAGTCGAAAAATCGTGCCTCGGATAGAACAAAAAGGATGTTATACGTGTGCGCTGGCAGTAGTGCAGTTACAGGCTGCAGCGGTGGCACAGCAGAGCCGATTACTACTTGATAAGTCAAGGTTTGCGCCTTGACTGCCACGGTACGCGCTATATACAATCGTGCGAGTGTGTGTGTGCGTGTGTGTGTATGTTATACAGACCAAGAGGAGACCGGCTAGCTCGAGTTAGTTCGTGTCATTGGGCGAGTGCGAATGTTTCCCCCTTGATGCTCGATCGCGAGAGTCGAGTTCCGTCGCACTGCAGCCTGTGCGGCCCGTCGATATGTGTGCGCGTATGGGTGTAACGATCTGTACCGGATACTCTACGCTAACGTAAGGAAAAATTTTTGCTTCGTTCCGAAGTTTAAAAATTTTCTCTCATTCAAATGACGTAAAAATAATAAATCCGGAAAATCTCAAAGGCTTATCGTACAATCACGAGGCAAATGTGACAATGTATGACTTTTTTTATTCATTTGCTCGGAAAAGGCCAATTAAAAAACATTACAAAGAAAACAGGATAATTCGGGCATTTTCGCTCGACGATAGCGCGTGCGCACAATTTGCGTTCATCGCGCTCGATAAAGGTGAAAATAAATCCTTTGTCCGCGCGCGAATGTATCCTTGTGGAGCTTCGAGACAATGATAATGAAACAATAAGTGAGTTATGATTTTCGGACCGACAGACAGACTTTTTTGCGTTGAAAACGTCTCGAGTGAAGCGGAACTATGCTATACGTGCAAAGAGCCTCGGTCGATTTTCTCGCATACTAAGCAATGCCGCATTCGAAGACACGCGAATACGAAGAGGCGCAAAAGTTGAGCGCTAAATAATTCGTACGAAATAATTGCTTTCGTATTATATGTGCGTCCATCGTAAGCCAAAGGCAGCTGCTGTACGTACCGCTGTGCGTAGATGCGAGCCGCAAGGAAAATCCTCGTCGGGCTATTAACCGTGCAGGTACACGCGCTCGCGCAAGGTTGCGACCTAATTGTTGTCTATAAAGTATCTATACATGCGATACATAATGCACGATTTACACTCGTGTCTATATTATATCGTAAGATTTCATATTACGGATCGGAGCGGCAAAAAATGGACAGCTCCATCTCAAAGCGTATAAATCGAAAAGCTGCGAGATTTTTTATGTGGTGAGTACGTTCAGAAGAAACGTCGGTCATTTGAATGCATATTATACTGTCAGCTGTCACGATCCAAGCCCGAGCAGAGTGCTACGCTGTATATCGTTAGTTGCAGAGAAAAAAATCGTTCTTGTTCAAGCTGTAATTATCCTTTGAAAATTTAAGGTATAGAGCAAGGGGCGATACCAAAACCACGGAAAAAATTGAAATTATCCCCCCTCTACGAAAACTGAATCCGAAAACTGAACTTTACGTAAAATTAGAAGCAGGTGCGACTATTTACTTTGATGCTCGAGAATGCGACCGATTCTCTAAGTGAAAAGTCAGTCACGGTAAGCGAATCATCACAGCGCGATAATTAAGTAAAGTAGCATCTCGGCCGAACCGTCGCCGACCAATATTACGGCAATCGCAAGGAACGCTTTGCCCAAACGTCGAATCAAAGACTCGTAGCAGCTGCTGTGGTTGAAATCGATCGTGTCGAGAACGACCCGCGATCAGCGAACGGCTAATTTCGGTGCGTGAAGGCGTCGCGGGCAAACTGCGCGGGCTCGCGGGTCGGATAAGCCAGCGTAGCGTTGCTATAGCGCACGCAGACGGACTTTATATTGTATATACGCGGCTGTGTGAGTGGGCGCGCGAGAACGACGAAGCGAGTCGCCGCGATATCGGCGTTAATAACGCCGAGCTCTATATGTAGGCGCGAACGCAGCCGCACGTACATACAAAGTCATACACGAGCGAGCATTAATTAGTCCGCGGCGGTGGCTCATCGTTAATATACTATAAGACACGGCACGCCGATCGAGCGCGGCGTTATTTTAGCGATAGATGTGCATAAGCTCGCGACTATTATTCGCGCCGCGTCCGATTAAAACGCCTAAGCTCGAGTTATCGTCGATATGCATTGGCTAATAGATGCGATCATCGCGATCATCGACGTCGCACGTTGTATCGAGCCTGCGCAAGCTACTATAACGCGATCGGGAACATATCGGTGCGGTATACGCGAGGCGTTTATCAGCAGCAGCAGCGATCGAGCGCGTTACAAATTGTCGGCTCGCATCGTCCGCGCCGACGAGCTATTTGCTCGTGCAAAGGTGGTGCAGCGCTGCTGACTGTTGATCGGCGTTACTGACCCTATTATAATCGCGGCGATGATCGCGCGCCTATATATATTTACGCCGCGCTCGAGTTTACACAAAGCCGCGAGCAGATAAAGGCGCGCTAGTGTTTTATCGGCGTTAATAACGCCGATTGCTTTGTATGCATACATTTTGCAGCCGGTACACTGCGCCAGCTCAACGATATACTAGCTGCGAAAGAGAAGCAACGCCGCGTTCGCGATAAGATGCGGCGTTCGACGCTCATTGGACACTCGTGTTTGTACAGGGCGTTAAGTGTGTGCATCAAATTTACCTTGAGCGTTTTCAAGACAGATTATTATATACGAAGCGCGTCAACGCGCGAGAGCCGCAGCCGATCATCGCCGCCGTCGTCGTCGTCTTCGTCGTCGCAGCATGTATACATACGATTATCGCGCAACGCCTTGCGACTCTCGATGTTATTTTCACGGAAAATAACGCGCGCTAAAAGAGCATCGCTCCAATAATACATACCCCGGCCTACGCGCGATCGTCGAGCGCTATTACGCCGCGTAATGTACATTATTATTATAGGAAGATATTATTGATAAAGACGCATTGCGATCGACGAAAATTTAACGCCGTCGAGGAATCGAGCCTATAGCTGATGATTGATAACCGATTTCCTCCTCTTGGGTATAGTCCTTCGAAAATGTTTGCCAATCATTTACCCTCTTTACTTTGGGTTGACTTTCGGCATCCACAAAGAGAGGAAAATTTGAACAAAGTCGCGCGCGAGCCGAGTTTGCTCAAATTATTAACGCCTTGAACCTCCAAAGTCACATTTTTTATTGCTCGCTCGGTCGAGTTGGAACATTTGGCTCATTTTAATCGCGTTCGCGAGCGGCGTTAAAATTTCTCCTCGCCAACGATAAAACGCAACTCGGTAACGAACTGCGATCGTTGGAAATGATTCAATCGTAGTTTACGTGCGATACAAAGCAGAAAGACTCGAATCAAATGTCGCGCGCGCCCTTGTTGCTGCAGCGAAGCGCCAGAGACTCGGCAACCGCGTATATCGCTGCCTAAAAAGCGGAGCTTGCAACGCGTTCTGCACATAGCACGTTAACGCGAGATAACGAAACTTGGATGGACGTACGAAAGATTTGATGGGGAAAAAAAAAAAGAAAAAGAAAATGCGTGTAGCAAGGATTTTTTTCTCGCTGCGCTACCGCAGCCACAACAATAATCGCATCGCGAGGACGTCGAGAAAATATAATTGCTACGATATACGACTACTCGTGTACTAGGTATTACAATAATAATGTTCTTATCGTTTTTTTTCTTTGCCGCGCGTTGGCACGCGGACGTATACTACATTGCAATCCGATCGGCACATTAACTGTTTTCAATAATTGCGAGTTAAATTGAAATATATAACGTTGGCGATGCAAATGCCACCGCGGTACAGCATAGCGGCAGCTGTGCGAACGAGCGTTAAAAAAAAAAGGTTGCGGCGCACAAAACGATCGAGATTACATCGCCGTATACGCGCGCGCGCGCGCTCGTTAAGAGACAGATTGGCGCGCGTAAGTACACGGCGCGCTCTACTGCGTACTGTAACGCATGGAAAGAAGAAATTGTATCAGTTGGTCGTATCCCTGAGCGCGGCGGAATATATGTAACGGATCCAGGCTAACGATGACACGGGCATTTGACGAGCGTCAAAAGCTCTCGGCCCGTTGCGCACATACGTGTATTATGCACACACACACATATGTATAATATAACCACACGAGCCCTACAAGCATCCGATTAACTTATTTATAATAAAATGTGAACTCGTCCATGTGTGTGTGCATGTCTGTGGTCAAGTACGTAAGCTTAACTGTGAGCACAAGTATTTTCAACTCGATTCTTTGAACGAAGCTGCATCGATCCCATATCGATCGGTCGATCGAAAATTCATTATTCGTTTTTGCTCAATTCTTTTTCACGCGATCTGTAATTAGCTACAGATGCAATTATGAAACTACCATTGAAACGAGAAAAGCTACAATACTTTCCGATCTGTAACGAAACTATGATTAAATAGTGGCATTTCAACAGAAGCTCCTTGAAATACGTTCGCTTTTCAGAAAAAGCATGATTGCAGAATTTCAAATGCTGCAAACTTTTATCCTTCGCCATATTATTTTCGTTGCGAGCGTGGACCGCGTTTGGCAGTGGTCACGGTCATAATTCGCCATCGGAACAGTTTTTTTCTTTCTTTGTTTTTTTTTTTTTTTTTGCAGCGACGGCGCAACATTACGAGCGATAAATAATAATAGCGCACACGTCGGCACGCTGTGCGCCATTACATAATTGCAATCGATCACAGACAAAGGATATAGATCGTTCGGTCGATAACGACGGCCGAATTCGTCGATCGTCGATCACGCGCGCGCGCGAACGCGCCGAGAGCTTTTGCGAGCCGAAGAAGCTTTCGATCGATCAGTACATTCATCACGAGTTGCTCTCTTCGTTCGAGTCTTGCGCAACGACACGAGGAGCGAAAATCGAGAAGGGCCAAAGTAACGATTCGGCCTTACCGATCTCTATAACGGAAGTACTCTCTAGTAAGAGTTCGCGCACTCGGTGTCTCGCGCTCTACGTACATAGGTAATGTCCCTTGACAGTGCGCGAGCACAAGTTTTCGAGCAAGAGAAAGAGAGAGAGAGAGAGAGAATTAAATGCTTGCATAAGCGTAAAAAATCATACTCACGAGTTCCGAGAGAAGATATACGATCGATCCGTCCGTCTGTCTGTCGTGAGCGTTGGCGGCTGCAGCGGCAGGCACGAGTGGACGAGTGGCAGCGGCTGCACAGCGACGACGCGTCTACTCCGTTTATATATATTTTGTCTGCGCGACGACAGCGTAATTTTCGTCGAGAGATTCGGACGATCGGTGGCTGCAGGCAGCTGAGAGCGACGACGGTGGCTGGCCCGTGCGTGTGCGCGCGCGCGCGGACTCGTTGCGCTCTCGTAAAATTCTCTATAGTATAATTTATAAAAAATATAATTCGCAGCAGCAGCAGCTCTCTGTACCTGTCGGCGACTCGCTCGACTGTCAAGTGTCAGGCGTATGCAAGCGGGCACCGATCGCGAGGTATGACACGACCGACGACGAGCAACGTCAAAACGATTCTCTCCCTTCCCCACTGAACGAGCGCTCGCTTATATACACCTATATATGTACCGCGTTTTGCTATATAACAACATTATATCTTGGATGCCGATACCTGTACGCACGAATTCAGCCCCATTCGGATTCTTTTTTTACAACTTTTCACTCCCCCCGCCCCGGCTATCACCCTTTGTAAATACTTATTTTATATTATTATAAAATGTCGTGATCAGACACATTTGTTGACTTGAATGTACGTAAATAATTTGAAATCGAGGATTTATTGGTATCGTGATAAGTTGACAACAATTTTTTTACAACTACTACGGTTCACGGAAATGCGCACGCATGAATAAACATTTCATCTTTCAGAGGCGACTTTATAACAAATGTTATTATTGTTCGTATATCTATTGGGAACGAAAAAAATTATTCTATCGTTAGTCCGCGCTCAACTTTCTTTTCGATTTCCCAGCACTTGCGAGACGTATACCTTCGTCTTTCGAATTCAGTCGACGACGTTGATTTTTTCTTTCATCTTGATTTAAGTCTTATCTAAAAGTTGATTCTGAATAAAATCGGTACCTTCGGAGATAATTAATGTATTATGTACTAAACTAAATAAATGTATTATGTCATTTTTGTTTGCGTTTTTTATATTAACATTTATCATTTTTTTGAACCTTGAGTTAAGAGAGACTTACTTTACATAGATTCAGCTTCAATTTGAAAAAAGTTCCACGCGTTCGTTAAGCACCATTTTTCGGTTTTAATGATTGTTCATTATATGGGCTTAAACTAGTAAAATTTACACTCGTAAATATGGATAGTTTTTGGTAAAAATGTTATGTAAACAAAAATATTTCTTTATTAGAAATTATTGATCCATCAAGTTTTCCAATAACGACTTAGTATTTTGAATTCTAGATCTTTAATGACTATACTACAAGATATGCATTACATCATATTGAGTATTAAATAATAACAATTGTTAAAAAATTATTGCTACGTCGATTTATTGTTGCTTATTTGTTGCATTGTTAAATCTGTATTAGTAGCGCATCCTGGGCATGTATGTAAAGACTCATGGATAAATATCTCACAGTCAACACAAAAAATCTTTTTGCATTTTCCACAATTATATACCTGAAATAAGAATATTTAATAATAATAATTATTAAGAATTGTATCATATAAATCATATTGAACTATGTGAAAAATTTCCTGCACCTTTTTATCAACATCTGTAAATCTTTTTTGGCAAGCGTAACAGTTGGTTTGCATCTGTCGATTTTCTACTTCTTGAAATTGTTGAATGGGGAATAGATAATGATATGATCTGGCTAAATGAGGTGCCGATACTAAAGTTAGTCCACAAGATCTACACTCTACAGGTAACTCACAATGTTTACTAAAACATTGAGGACATAAATATCCTGGGTTTGTATATCTGCCATTTTCATTTGGTTGATCAGCATGACTTATAAAAGTTATAAAAATAATTACTATGATGGTTATTTAGTTAAAATAATCAAGTATGGTAAGTATGAATATCTACCACATGCAAACAGCCACAGATAGTTCTGTTGTAGAAGCCTGCAATGCATGATGAGGGAAGCCCATTTTAACTAATGCAGCATCTAGTCTTGTAGCTGCTGGTGGAGGATCAATATGTGCTGTTAATTTTTCCTTAAAGTGTTTGTCATCTAATACAACGCCATGTTCACCACCAGTATTTACAGCTAATATTTTACAAACATTTAGTTCAGCAGCTAAACCAATAACACTACATCTAATTCCATCAGCTTTCAAAGTCTAAAGTATAAATATAATCATAAGATAGACGTGAACATGATACTTAATAACAATTGAATTAAGTGTCAATACCTGTATTGTTTCTCCTATATCACCTGGATCGCAAGTTGTTAAGGAACCCATTATTACTAAAATTTCTCTGCTTGCATGAGCAGGCAACATTTTCAAGGTTTTCAAAGCAAGTTCTAAAGAGTTTTGTAATGAAGGTTCGCCAGTAAATGAAGTTTGCTGTAATGCTTGGAGATCCTAAACATGATGGTAGTTAAAAAAATTTTATCATTTATAGATAAATAAAAATTTTTAGATGATTATTCTTACCTTAATAGGTTTTTTAGGGTTTCCTGTTAAATCAGTAATTTTTTCAGCTCTTTTATTTCTAGTAATAATGACTCCAAGCTGACTAATTGGATTTTGGTAGAAAAATTCTTCTATAAAATCTTCCAATAGCTACAATAATAATAACTTTTTTTAGTAAATTTCGTTATTTACTCATAAGTTACAAAGCATTATCAGTGTTGTGTTTATTCACATACTTTAATAGAACACAAAAATCTGGTGGGCTTTAAATCTTGGTTTGTCATGGATTCAGAACAATCAAGAATTAGGTACATATGTCGCATCATTCCCAAACGAGAACCTTGTTTTCTATCCAGTTGTCGTTTCCTTTTGGCTTTGAGAATGATATCTGCCACAGAGGCTTCCAGCATGCCTTGATCATCTTCTTTGATAGCCTCCCTAGAAATTGTTCCAATAATTTAAATTAAATTTTAAGTTTAAATAAATGATCAATTTAAATAAAGGTTGAATTGCCTACCATGTTTTTTCGTATCCTGACTCCCAGCGATACTCTTTTTCATCTTCCATTTCATCATCAGCCATTTTTATGCTCTGAAATAATGCAAACCAATCATTATAAAACATATTTACTAAAAAAAATCTTTTAAAAATATAATACAGTGACAGAGATGTTACTATTTTATTAAATAATACAATCCCTTATAAAAATATCCTCTACGATTCCGCGAAATTCCTACCGGAATCCTCCTGTAGGATTCCTGCAGGAATTTCCCGAGATCCTATAGGAAATTTTTATAAGAGATCAAACGCATTATTATCACTGTTATTATTTATATATAACCAAATATTGGATAAGTCGTTAATGAATTAATACAAAAAGATATCTATGAATTCATCGAATAGAATAAAATGAAAACTTTTTACGTTACTTTTTTTGACAGCTACTTGCTGAATAAGACTACTAGATTGATGCTTTTTTCGTATTGTCAATGCGTTTTGTTTATGTCATGCACTCAGCACGAGAGCCAAAACTATATTTTGGATTAATACCGGCTAATCTGCTGCACTCTGTTGACGACTAGCAGTACTGACAGCTCCAAGTGAATGAAAATTATAATGGTTATATCATTCTCGAGCGAGCCACGTTTCCATTGATTCGGGGTGGTTGTTTCCAAGCAAATGAGCATCTTCAGCAGATAAATTTTTTGTTGATCGAGTAAGAATAGTATTATGTCAAGTGAGATATACACATCACTCTTTTTACAGTTTTTTTTCAGAGTTTGATGAGCGCAAGCCTCAATCATAATTTGAAAATACGAAATAACAAACAATTCTTTGGAGAGATACGAACGTCAGTCAGTGTAAAAAAACAGAATGAGATAACTATTTTCAAGGGTAAAAGTATACAAACTGTTAGAAATTAACGAGATACTGAAGCCTTTAAATAATGAAGGTGTTGAAATACGTTGCTTAATGTTTTTACTTCATACATTTGTCTAAAAAGTTACATAAATATCTAAAAATCACAAGATGATGAAAGAAAACGTTTTAGTATAATAATTTTATTCTTAATTATAAATAATCGAAAGTTCAACGCTAGTAAATATGAGAAAACGGTAGCTCCGCATCATAATTATTACAGGTTTGAGCTGAAAAGTGTGTTTCTTCCGTGTGGGTAAAATAACACAATTTATTACATTTCTAATGTAAGAATCAGTAAGAGAGTCAGATAAACTATATGTCAGCAAAGCATCAGTCTAGCCAATTTGAAAATCTGTCCTCGCAAAAATGACAAAAGGGCGTATTATGCCGGGAAGCCGATCTAATAAGTACATCCTCAAAATGAAAGGCGTGCTTTCATCAACATACATGAAAAACATAGCATGAAAAATAATCAATATGACTATTTTTCAGGGTTAAATTCGCATTGATTGAGAAATGAGAAAATAACGATGGACCATCGTCCGATTGACAAAATTCATAGTTTGAGTAGTTGCATTGGTATGTCTGCACGAGGCGTATGGGTTAATTATCGTTGGGCCGCGGCGCTGCAGTCGCTGCTGCATGGTATTCTGTTCTGTAGACTCTCATCCGAGATGTCGAGAGGCGGCAACAGAATAAGAAAGAAAGAGAGAGAGACGGAGACCGCGTTGTTGTGCTGGCGCGAGCGAGCGGTGGCGAAGCCCGAAGGCGCACCGTTACGGTACTGACTACTGCATAGCTTACAGCCACACCACTCGCGCAGTGTGCAGTCACGCTACTGATCCGTCGGTACTCGGTACATAATATCGCTCGCTAGCGCGATCTGGCAGTGTGACGTTACGATATAGATATACGTATCTACACTCGTGTCGTCGGTACGTAAAAGTCCATCGTGAGGCATCAGCAACAGCAGCAGCAGTGTGTGCGTGTGTGTCACATAGTACAGTTTACACGCGGATTTTATTCATCCCGCCTTTTATTCCGCATCGAGAGCCGTGCAGGACCGAGTTCAATAGCATTCCAGAAGCCGAACTTACAATCTAGTTAATCCACGTTAAATGGTAAAGTTGTGCTTACGTCTGTGTTTTTGTGTACATAAATCTACGAGCGTGTGCCGTGTGCGAGTGTGTGTGTGCACGTGTATGTTTGATCATGAGTCGGTGTGTCTGTGCAGCAGAGAGCAGTAGACCATCGTGCGGAGAATAATTACTTAATAATCAAACGAGCGCGAGCTTGTTGAATATCCACTATGCGAGCGTTGTTGATAAATGATTAGAAACTCCTGCTGCATTTCCTTCGGACCTTTTTGTTTTCAGAATTGTATTTTCGCGGATTGTATTTTACAATGTTTTGAAAAATCATGAACGAGTCCTACTCGACCAATTAGTTTTTCCCTGGTCGAAATATATGTATTACATTTATGTGAAAAGCAGCAACTACGCCTCGAGAACCGAGGTGCACTGCTGAGGCATTCTATAGGTTATGCGCGTTTGTACCAATTGGAGTTTTATCACGACCTCTCGTCGCAGAATCAATCGCAGTCGCGTTGCATCGCATACAAGTAGGTAGTCGCCGCCACTCTCGGAGTATGCCAGCCTCTTCGTGTATGTTAGAAACTCGGAGAACTCGGGACTTAAAAAAGAACAGCCGAGACTGAGAGTAGTAGGGAGCGAAGCCGGTCGGTCGGTCGGCCGCCGCCACAGCTTATACACTCGCAGTTCTCTCGCACACACACACACACACGCGCGCATATAATAGTCGGCGCCCGGCGGCGTGAACGTAAATGGCGCATACGAGCAACAAGGACGGAGCAATCGTGTTCGCGTCACTCTACGGCCTGCACCTACTGCTTACTGCTTGGCTCTCGCAGTCTATGCCTCTTCTTGTGTTATTTGTTTCGAAGCCACCTCTCTTATCTGCGAACAAACGCCTGCATAAACAAAAAAAATCACCGCAAACCGGGCTAATTATCGCACTCAAAGGATCTCTATCGGAAGATCTAGCTCGCCTCGTTTTTAGGTATTAATTAATATTAGATTATTAACGGAGATACGGCATCTTGCACGGATTTGACTGTATTTATGTTTGTGCGACGCGCGCACCCCGCTCGCATATAATCTCTTCTTTTACCCACCACAATGGCATCCGAGCCGTGAAAGCATTTTATGCTCCGCAAAACAATTCCCTATTTTTCTCTATTATCACTGCTTGCTGCTCTTTATCGAAATTCACTTGCATTTTTTTGTAATTTTCCATGCGAGTTTGAACCAAATTTATTGTCTTATTCATTCGTTCTTTCCTATTCAATTATTATTGATGGTAGGAATTTTTTCTCATTTAAAATTTAAGCGATAAGGCTCCGACGCTATGTGTATGTGTATGTGTCTGAAATAGTAAATGCGCGCAGCGCGGTCTGATAAGGACTAAGCTGAGCGTCTTCTTTATTTGCTTTTTGAGGTTGGAATCGTGCTACTAATGTGTGTGAATTATAAAATTGAAGCTACTTGTATTAGAATTTTTAAATATTTCATCATTTAATAATAAATACTACTGATCTCTTTCTGTTTTATTAAAACAGGCAATTCTACTGGAACCTCAATGGCTTATAAAAGCAGCTAAATGATCTGACAAGCAATGCAACATTTAACAACCCATTATTTCAAGATTCATTCCATATATTATTGGATCTTTTAGGTATAGGTCTGTATAGTATAATTATATTAATAAACAATTATTTTTCAAATTATCTCTGTCAATTTTTAATAAAAATTTTATTTTTTTATTCAAATAGTTAAGTATTCTTTGAAATACAAAAAAATTCAAAATGGAAGGAAGTGATGAGTCCCCGGCTATTAAAATCAATGAAAAGTGTATAAAAGGTAAAATTAATTAACTTTATTATTGTTTAAAATTATTGATTTACAAATTTATTGTTTACAGCTGCACAAGAAGAGATTGGAAAACTGGATGTTTTAGTATGTGGTGAATGCCATTCTGTTTTTCATTTTATCAATGAATTCCAAGAACATCAATCCAAAGCAGATGCTTGCTCCAAACAATCAAAGCTTAGAGATAATGTAAAATCATTTTATCTTGATATTTATAATTTAATTAATAATACATCTAATGCAAAACTTTTGTTTTCACAGAATGAATCAAAAGCCAAAGTTTGGGCTTTTCTGCTATGGAAGGACTCTCAAATTCAAACTGAGCCAGATAAAGATAATACCTGGCAACTTTATAATAAATGGATAGCAATGGATGCTCATACACGAGATTCTTGGATTGCTGCAGGAAAAACCATTCAAATTTTTACTAAAATTAGTAATTCTAAAATGCACGATATTGCAACCCAAGGGACAGCGACTGAAGGTTGTTGACAAAGTTTTGTGATTATTAAAATTATAGAATTTGAATTAATTTTTTTATTGACTCTAGGTGGAAAAACTGTTGTTGTAAGGAAAGTTATACGAAATGGACAGCCAATAAGTCCTAATAAATCAAATTTGAAACCTGGATTAACTGAAAAAAAAGTAAAGGTAAATTTACGACCTTCAATTACTTTAAAGGTAAAATAAATTGTGCATTAAAAGCATGATTATCTAATATGAAAACTTAATTTTTGTAATCGCAGTCAACTAATGAGTCTGGAGAACATAGCAGTGAAGAAGACTTCAATGTTGAAAAAATATTGGCAAAGCGTTTTAATCCAAAGAAAAAATGTTACGAATATTTACTCAAGTGGGAAGGATATGCACAGTGAGTAAAATATTTATTTTTAAAACACTTAGATTTACATATTCATGGATTTCAACCATAAATTTATAGTGAATATAACACATGGGAAGAAGTCAATCATGTGAGCAGTACATGCAAAGCACTTATGGATGAATTTGAAAAAAATCTTGCCAAACAAAAAGAAATGAAAGCTCAGCAAGTAGCTAAGACTGCAAATCGCTCAGGTCAATTAAATGTAACTCAAAAATTTATCAAAACAGAAAATATCAAAGCTGGAACAAATGCTACTCCATCTGGTTCTACCAAGTGTGTATATTTTTATGTAGAAATTGATAAGTGTACCTAAATTAAGGTAAATTATTCATAACTAATTTTTCAGCCGGCCTATGCGATCTAGTAAATCAAAGGCTATGGATCAAGTAAAACAATGGTGTGGATCTATGAAAGAAGAAGAAAACGAATGTGAGTATTAGAAAATTTTGTTAAATTTACAAGGTACAAAACAATTAATAAAATAATGAAATAATTTTTAATTCACAGTACTTGGTAAACGCAAGAATACATTCTCGGACAGTGATTCAGATGAAGGACTGACTACATTGAATATGAAGCGCAGTAAAGTTGATACAAGTGGTGATGATTGGACTGCAGATTCAGAAGAAGATAAGGTAGTGATTGGCCGGAGCGATGTTATTCAACGGGCTTTAAACCGTGCTAATATCCAATCTAATGGGTCGAATCGTGGCCCCCTTACTGGCTCTGCACTTGCAAAAGAGGCTGTACAAAAAGAAATGAAATTAGGTAATGCCTCGAATTCTAATGTATATGTTGTACATCGTAAAGATGGAATCATAAAACTTGATTCAACCCCCACCAACAAAATTGCTGTTAAAGGCCAAAACCAAACACCAACAAGTAATGTCTTAGTACTACCCAGCCGCGAAGGATTTGTGAAAAAACAAGTTATTTCGCCAAATTCTATAACTCCAATCAAAGTTATATCAAAGCCCGATGGGACGCAAATTGTTACACAAATGAAAGTTGTTTCTAAGGGCTCACCTTCAGGTATGAGTATCAAAAATGAACCCGTCAAAATTCAACCAAAGCCGGATAATAATCAAATGCAATATCACGTAGTAACTGCTATTCCAAGTCCTTTGAGCCATCATACTACAACTACTACCACAGTTGTTAAACCTGGAGGTCAACGCCAAATTGTCTCACGACCTAGTTCAGGCGTGGTTCGTAATTCGCCTTTAGGTACAGTTAGCTCGCAACAACGTGCGCCAGTAAGGCCAAATGTTCCACGAAATTTGACTCCTCAACAGATAGCAGCGCAAAGAAAAAACCTAGCTTCGCCACAAATTACACCTTTAGCCAAACCTAAAATTACAGTCATAAATAATCAAGGTAAACCAGTTAGAACAGTTAATAACACTGTAAGCCAACAAGTGACTAAATCAACACCTGGCAAAAACCCAGTAACACCTACACAGAAAATGCTTGATGCAAGAAAGAAATTTGCTGAAGATGCACGTAAACCTGTTCAAAGGGTTTTGGGATCCAAAGGCGGTCCGAATGCTGTACGACCTAAAGGTAAACCTGCCAATGAACCAGGTAATAAACCTAAAGAGAGTAAATTGGCAGAAACTGATGGGCTTCACATGGAGTTCCATGAAGTATCTGATGAAGAAGAAAGTAGTGAAGAAGAAGTACCTCCTCCGTTCCCTGAACCGGAACCTGCACCTGCAGAACCCGAGAGCCCAACTCGTGAATTTACTTTGTGTCCTTTAACAGGTCGTATAATAGGTCCTGATGGCCAGCCTGTTGAGCAGCCTGAACCAGAGCCTACACCAGTAACTACTTCTAGTACTACTGCACCAACTCCTATGGCTATAATATCTAACCCAACAGTCACTGCTACAATAGGACCTGATGGCATCATAGCCAATACCTCTGCATCAAGTGAACTTGTTCTTCCAAGTCTTGACACTTGTACAGATAATAATGTAGGTGGTGTGCGGGTGGAAATGAGCCCAGGTGGTACAACTGGTATGATTGTACCAACCGATAAACCATCGACCTCGGAAACAATGACCATTTCAGGAGTGCCAGGACCTGATCTGCCATGTCTTGATGATCCAAATGTTGAAATGCAGCCACCCACGCAAACAACGGGTAATCAACCTAATCAAACACCCCAAGTTCCTCAAATTGTTACAAGTGACGGTTTGGTGGTACCAGCATCTGATATCTCTCAAGAAACATCTATTTTGCCTGAGGTACAACCACCTCAAGAAGCTGCTGAGCTCCCACAAACTAGTACTGCTACTATAGCTGCACCTACTGCTACAACAGTAACATCCAATCTCAACCTTGAAGAAAATAATGGATTAGTGACAATTACTGGCGACGATGGTGTTGTGTACCAAGTAACTGGAGAGGGCGAAGATGGTCAGACAATACTAGTTACTCGAGGACCAGACGGTGAACAGCAATTATATGTCACAACTACAGAGCAGCAAGGTGAAGTAGGAGGAACCATGTTGACACTCGATCATGCAGTTGCAGAAGCTGTCGCTCAAATGGGTCCCGATCAGGCTGTTGCTCCGCAGTTTTACGTTAAAGAAGGCGCAGAAGGAGCAGTCGTGGAAAATACCCAGACAACTTCCTCAAATGAACAACAGGTTGTTATGTCTATAGTGGATAATAGTAGTAGTCCTGTTGTTGTTGCTAATGCACATTCGACAACGGAAGAAGGTGAAAATCAAGTTCAATGTGTAACGCAAGTGATGCAAGGTGACGAAGGTGAAAATCAAGCTCAAGTTGTTGCGCAGGTAATTCAAGCCGACGAACCATCTCCAGGTATGTTAATTCAAATTGATAAATTTATCTTAAGTTATAATAAAATTTTTTATTTGTCTTATAATATTTGGAACTCATGTTTTTTTTTTTAATTTTTAGATGGAACAAGAAAAGTAGTTTTACTGCTGCCCGATGGAAACTTAATAATGACAGAAGTTGATGAAGAACAATATGCTGCATTAGAACTTGATAAATAAATCAGCTAAGTTCATAAATGAAGAGTTCATTAAAGTGAAAAGTGACACTTTGTGTATTGTATGTAAATAATAACTCCTAAAATGGTGGATCCTTAGAAAATAATACTTTTTAGCTATGAAATACTTTCAATGATAAAGTAGCTTTGAAAAATGATGTAAAAAATAAATTAAACTTTAAGTCGATGAAAAAACGTATGTTCTTAACTCAAGTTTTTAAAAATTGATGTTAAAGTATCTGATATATTACACTGAAATTATGATTTTAAAATCTCTACAGGATCATTTATTTATATATTCGTAATAGTACTATTTTTGTGTTATGCAAAATTGTTATACTTCTAGAATTAGCGAATTAGACTTAGTTTAGAATTTTATCATCATGAATTACTAGAAAAACAAATTTTTCAAATTTTATTTTGATATAAACATGATTATCAAACAATATCAAATAATTGACCTTGAATCTAGTTTTAACAAATAGTAGGTAATATTCAGCAAAATTCATCAATAAAATTTAATATACTATGTATATCAATATCAATAAGAATTATATACTTATACATACGTATTTATAAAAATATTCTTTTAATAGACATGTTTCTATTTTTCTTCCACAATCAACCCTTTTTTCATTGCTCTGAAAAAAGACGTTATATTATATTGCACATTTTAAACGTTCAGTCACAAGTATGTATTATATAATATACATAAAAGGTGACTTTCTACGCGATCAGTTATAACTAAATCTTAAATTTTTTTATTATTTTTTTTTTATTAAAAACTTTGCATAATAATGAAATAACTGGTCAAAAATAAGTTCAATTGAATTTCATGGCATTGATTAGTATAAATTTTACGTTTAGTAATTTCAACTGGATTCAAGGACAAAATAATAACACAATTAAAAACTTGCATCATAAAAAAATTTTAGTAAGTAAGACGGCATATATGTAAATAATTTCTTGAATTTAGTTTATCAAAATCTGCTTATTGTAAAACCAGAGATGTTAAGTCAATGGGATTGACTATTCAATAAACAAATGACATAAATTTAAATGAAAAAATGTGATATTATTGAAAGGAAGTAATAATTTTGAGAGAGATTTATTTTCATTTTCCTAATTTTATTTTATTATCTGTCGATAATGATTTCGAAAATATTTATATTTTGTTTTGAATGCAAAATTTTAGGACTTTACAGCTTGCTCATAATTTTTCTCAATATAAAATTTTTTTGTTTTTTATCAAAAAGCTATTCAGCAAGATTGAACATAAGCTGCATCAATTTTATACAGTATCACCTCCAATTTATCAGCTTAGGATGATTCTGGTGGTTTCTTTTTCATCGTGTAGTCAAATCTTTTGGACTTTGTGAGCAACGAGGTGAAAATGAATTGAGACTTTCAATGATTACTTGAACAGCGAAAGGCGAGGACAAAGAAGACGAAATCTGCGGCTAACTAAAAGGTCTCGGAACTTGCAATTTCAGTTAGCCCATTGAAATAATTGCCACAGCAGAGTGAGATTTTTATTTCAAAATATTTCTAACGCGCTACTTAGAACAATTTAAACCCAAACGCCCAATAACTAGTTTAGTATGTTGAGGGTAGAAGTCTTGTATAACAAACTGAAGTTACTATTAATTTTTAAAATATCTATCTCCCTGCAATAACTTACAGATCAAATGTTTATATCGTCTTGTCACGCGCCAAGAAAAACCTTGTAGTATCGACTCAAAGGAATCCGCAGTTAATTTTTGATACACTCATTTTCGTCAGAAAATAATAGAGAAAATTGGTGGAATTGAAGTAATTTCGAAGTGCAATTATGTGCGTTGAGTAAATGCAACGAGTTTAAATCCATGAAATGAGAGCGATGGAGCTGAATAATCGTAGGTCTGCGTAAACACCTCGGAAACAGAATCTTTTGGGCGCTGTGATTGGGCGGGGCTCATCATATCAGTCCCAAGATCCCATATTCTCTTGCATCCGCTGCCGTGTGTCACACACGTGGTTGACTACTGCTCGACGATTACTCTCGCTCGCTTGCTTTGCCTGTCAAACAACCGGAAAAACGGCATAGCTCGCGCCACTTGTATGATCTCTTAGCGAGCTTGACGCACACGTGTACCTACCTACACTCTACATAGATCGTATTGACATGTGAAAACGGTACTGAACGACCGAATCAACTGCAGTAACTAGTGATTCTTGTGAAAAATAACAATAATTCCACCAACCAGACCAATCTTGTTCGTATGTGAATAAAGGGACCTTGACCAATTTTTGTATGCTTGTATGATGCATTTTTTTAGCTTAAATTCTGCTTCGCTGGTTTTTTAATGAATAGAGTTAGCTCAGAATTATTGAATTTTAAACTTAAAAAATGCATCGTGCAAAAACAGCTGTATCTCAGCGAATCTTGCGAATTTTTTAAATTGCTAAACGGCGTTGGAAAGGTGAGAAAAAAACCTATCAGATATTTGTATGCAATTTTTTTCATGAGTGATTATACTTAGCCATTTTCTTGAAGAAACGAATATAATTTTTCATTTTTCCATTTCTTTAATATCGTTTTTTGGGATAAAGTTGTAATTTTCTGTATTAAAATAATTTCAAAGTGTATACTAATATATACCATTGGATTCGTCATAAAAAATCCTAAATTTTGGTGGTGTCAAAAAATTTTCTAGATTTTTTCTGTTTCATTTTGCCGCTCGCTCGAAAATGAACTTTGCGGAATTTGCGAACAAGAACGATCGAAAAAGTGTATTTTTTTTTAATGAAATTGTGCTCCTAGGTCAAAACTGACTACGGCATTCGATTCTCCAGACAAAAATATGTAAGAAAATGTATTGTCAAGATTATTTTTACACTCTAAAAAGAGTTTGAAATAAATCGAAGAATAGCCCGACTTTGCTTCTTTTTTGGAGCACGTTTTTAAACTTCAAAAATCCATCGTCACCATCTAAAATCATTTGTTTGAGTTCTAGTTTACGGGAAAGTTCATTTTAAACTTCAAACTTTCTGATTCCGATGGATCTCCCGAGATACAAAAAATTTTTGAAAAAGTGGACCACCCTAATGGATAATGAACTAAATAGTCCTGTTGTTGTTACTGAAGCAGATTCGACAACGAATGAAGATAAAGTTCAAGATGACGAACCATCTCCAGGTGCGTTTATTCAAATTGATAAAATCATCTTGAGTTATAATAACATTTTTTATTTGTCTTACAACATTTGGAACTCATGGTTTTTAGTTGGATTATTAAGAAAAGTAGTTTTACTGCTGCCTGATGGACAATTCGTAATGACAGAAGTTGATGAAGAACAATATGCTGCATTAAAACTTGAAAAATAAATCAGCTAAGTTCATAAATGAAGAGTTCATTAAAGTGAAAAGTGACACTTTGTGTATTGTATGTAAATAATAACTCCTAAAATGGTGGATCTTTAAAACATAAATCTCAAGTATTTCAAAATTATGATTTGGTCTTCTTATTAATTTAAAAGTCTATTATCGTGTATTACTAAAAAATAATTTCTTCTAACTTTATTTTGGTATGTAAATATAGCCTCCTGCAAAACTTCTCAGGAAGTTATAGAGAGAAAAAAATCTTGATTATCAAATATATCTAATAATTTACCTTGAAAGTTATTTAAAACAAATAGTAATTCATTTTTGGCACCCTTTAATACGATTTTCAACAACGTGCTGGAAATCAAAAAATTTAATGTAAATGTATTCATTTTTTAAAAGAAATTGAAGCACTTTTTTCATTGCTTAAAAGATGATTTTGACTTTTATTACCCATTTAAAAATCTGCATCATTTGAGAAAAAATGTTAGTTAGTAAGACGACATTACACGTAAATAATTTTTAGAATTCGGTGTATCATAATCGACTTATTGTGAAAATAGAAATCTCGAGTGAATGACATTGACTATTCAATAAACCATTGACATAAGTTTAAATAATGTACAGGAGTGCCTCGTGATACGCGGCAGTTACGTCCCAAAAAAGTACCGTGTATAACGAGGGAAAAAGCGGATGGTTACGTTGTCAATGTTATTTATTGAATGCATAAATATAAAATTTTACAGAGGTTTCAGGTTTACTCAATCGCATTTACTAATCATTCAAGATTTCCCAAACTTAGAGAACATCGTATCCTTCACCTGTTCGACCTTTTCGACTGCCTTGAACCGCGCATGAGGTGAACTTATCCGCGTAACGTGATATTATTAAAAACTTTGGTTATATGCTCTTTAATCACAATGAACTTCATTCTTTCTAATAAAAATTTACTCTGGAATTCTGATTTATCGTCAAGTAATCAACCAAAGGTTCTAAGTTTTTCTAATGAAGATGAAGACAACAGAAATTCATCAAAAGGAATCGATCTGCATGCTATCAACGTAAATATGATAAAAAAAGCTAGACTTCAATCTTTATGAGCAACAGCTATTTGTTAATTTTTAGGACATAAAGTTTTTTGAAGATGCCGTGGAAGAAATTGAAAAAATTAAGGTAGTTGTTGACGAAAAAACCCAAGATTCAAAGATCAGCACTGATCATAAGAGTAAACATGTTCGTTCAGAAAATACTATTAACAAGTTTCATTTACTTGAAACGTTGCAAATATCGCCAAAACAAGGTAGAGTTCTACTTCATACTTTTTTTTTATGATCATCAATGCAATTGAGTTTTGAAATTGTAATCAATTGCAGAAAAACGAATGCATAAATGTGAAAATAAGACAGATACTATTAGTGAGCTATTAGATTCGTCTTCGAAAAGTAATATTTCGTCTACTTGTCTGTGAGTTATTTTAATTGAATTCACTGCTGGTTGTAATTGTCGTTATATCTAATCAATTTTTTGGGGTCGATGGTGCAAAGTCCTGCAGCGCCAGTCAAATTAAAAGAAAGCAGTCAATTTCCTGAACCACCGCTACCAAAAATTATTTTGATGGCCGAGCCGGATATCATTGAATTTCGTAATTGCGAAGCAAACAAAACTTACAAGGTAGAATAATTGTAAATCTAATTTTGTTTCCAAGTCGAGGATTAAATAATTATTCAATCATGTTAAAAACAGAAAATCATAATTCTTCATAACATATCTACGTGGGAGCTGGCACGATACCAAATTGAAAAATTAACCAATGATTCAGCCTTCGATGTTTTTGAAGAGCCTCGCGATCATACTACAATAGCCCCAGGCATAAGTATTCGATTGATCGTCGAGTATCGTTGCGATCCACTGGACGAACCCGAAGAATTACTCGTCGTTTCCGTTGTCAATGGCAAGCCCGTTAATGTGAAATTACGTGCGACGCGAGACGTCCCAATAATAATAGGTTCTTTTTATACATTTTCACCGGCAACAATGTGTCATTTCTTCACGAGGTGAATTTCAACGAGTTTTCAGCGAAAAATCCAAGTTGTCCAGATTTGTCAGCAAACTCCTCGTCAGAAGAAAGCAGCGAATCGACAAACTTCGATACCATCGACGATAGCGATTCATCGAATGCATCCTATGTAAGCTTTGTTGGCCGGTAATTTATTTGCTCGAACAGGCAGTCGTACGTAAGATCAAAAACTGTATTAGCTGCGATAATTACGACAGTTTAGCAGCAGTCGCACTTCGACCAACACGAGTCAAGACACAGATTCCTTAATGTTAATACACGCGTCGAAGGAAGCCAGCTTGGATTGCAAAACGTGCTTCCTGGGCGAGCGCACGACGATCAGGAATGTTCTGCACAGTGTCGGAGGTAAAGCACGATTTTTCATCATGAGCGAGATGGACTGGTGCTCGATGTCGATCAAGGTCTTTACTTCATTTGGTCTTATTGAATTAATGCGCAATACTTGCGATCGAAAGGATCTCGACGGTACGACGTTGTTGTCGATCTTTCACAGGATGTATCTGTCGAAAATATTCTCATCGTGCCGCCATTCGCTGTGCAGCCGGCATATTTTATTTTGGAGCCCGATCAGCAGCTACAATTGGACACGTCTTTTTACCCAAGGCACTCGGGATTACAAGTAATCAGAAAGATATTGCACGAATTATCAAGTAGAATGCTTGACACACGATGATACACTTCATTTTATTCTGACAGGTTGAAAAGTTAATCATCGTGACGGATAATTGCTCGGTAAAAACAATCGAGGTCATCGGCAATGGGCTGGTTTTCGAGGCTCGTTTGCTACTATTCGATAGGGTAAGTATGGATCTTTGTTTTATTGGTTAATGGAATAAAAAAAAAAGTAGTTTTATCATCGTTCCGACAGTAGAACGTTCAGTATCAATGGATCCAAACACGAGAAAATACCCTGTGCACGATCAGCTACTTGGATCTCGGTTCTTGTTATCGGCACGAAAAGCCCAAAATCAGCTTCGTTCTTACGAGTAAATGGTAACAGTTACCTAATACGATTAGGACGCATAAAATTCCGCAGTTTTTTCACGCAAGCTCATGTTCTATCGCGTGTGATCGCAGCGAAGTTGATTTGTACTATCGATGGGAGATCGATAATACTCTCACTTGCCCCAAAGAACGAGCGAATCTGTTGGAACGAAAGGATTTCTGCCCGTGCAATTTGAGGATTCAGCCTAGCCAAGGACTTCTCAGGATCCATAAACCCGTCACGTTTACGTTGGAAGCCGATTTGAGCAACTCTGTACCCGGGCGCTATCGCTCAAATTTGAGGTATCAATTATCGAAGTTCAATGATTCGTATACCAGCGATCGTGCGTTTCAATTACCTTGCAGATTAATAATCGAAGATGTGCCAGTGGCAGCTCTTCCGGCCAAACATAATTTCTCATTGAGAGAAAGTCAGACCAGGAGAAGATCGTGCCAAAAAGTAAGCATCACAAATGCGATAGTCTCGACTTTTTTCGATAGAGATTCATTTTCACTTGCTCAATTCGATTTCACAGTCTGCCGATATAGATTTCAAGAACATTGATATTCGTTTCGAATGCAAGGCTTTGCAGACCATTCAACTTGCTCAGGACTTTTCTCAATATTACAAGTGATTTTTTGTCTTGGTGAAAAAACTATTCAATGAGTTTAAATGAAAACTGAATGAATTTCATACAGTACCACCTCGAATTCGGCAGCTGAGGATGATTCTGGTGGTTTCTTTTTCATCATGTCGTCGAACCTCTTAGACTTTGTGAGCAATAACGAGGTGAAAACAAAGACTTTCAACGATTACTTGAACAGCGAAAGCTCGGGCGAGGACGAAGAAGACCAAGTCTGTGGCTTTCTCAAAGGTCTCGGAACGTGCGACTGTCAGCCAATCGAAATAACTGCCACAGCTATCTTAAGACCACCAAAGTTAGATTTTTATTTCAAAATATTAATGATCGAACAATTAATAACACGTAATTATTAACGCGAATACAAACAGGCCCTTGTACGTTGCCGTGGAAGAGACTTTCTCCGTTGTTTTGTACAATAATAGCTTGAAATCAGTGAGATATTGGTGGAGTCCACCCGTTGGCTTAGATCACTCGAGAGTTAGAGTAAAGGTTAGCCCAAAAGTCAATCACATGGAGCCGGAGTCGAGTAAAATAATAAAAATAAAATGTTTGCCCATGAAAACGGTGAGTAAATTGGTCTTTTTTTCAAAAGTAAGAGGTGGCTATCAGTAGAAGTGGTTTAAAATCAGGTGCATTATTTGATCAGGGGAAGATTTCTTCTCTCTTTGTAACGTGCAATTTCAACGAAAAACAGCGCGTAACGCTGGCGATCGAATGCGAAGTTCGAGCAGTCCGCCTGTGCATTTATTTCCCTTCGATTTCGACGATTATTCACTGGGATGCTCACGACTACGTCACCAAATACGATAAGCGAGTGAGGAGCAATAATACTTTTATTAAACAAAACAAAAATCTTAATTTTTCGTTGGAAAATCGTAAAAATCGATGAATATCCTTAAAGGGTGGAAAGTTAATTCTACTAAAGCAGCGATTAAAAGAAGAGGTGGAAATAAAAAGCATCATCTCGAAAAGTGGCGACAAGAAGCGTTCCAACAGAAGCTCCTCCGTGAATGATAGCAGCAGGTCGGAATCCAGAGAAACAGTACGTACGAGTTTACAATCAATAATGATTTTATAAAAAAACTCGCTCGACTATTCAGTGAGCGGATTTTACCGATGACTTCCAGGCCGAAGAAGATGCGAGCAGTTCTGCTACTTCGACCAAAGTAACGTCGGACAATTCAAGCGATACAACAACGATCGATCAACGATCGAGGTCATTGATTTCGTGGTACAGTGCGGATGAAGAGGAAGAGTCATTTTGTAGCAGCCAATGCTACGACACATCGTTATTGACATACGTCGACGTAAGAGCTCGTGTAATGGAGGAGTATTACTTGAACAATGGTGTAATAATAGATTTCAATGTTACGTCGGAAAAAAGTTAGTACGTTCGCACTTTATAAAAAAAAATGAATTATGAACCATTGCATATTTACCCAGGCCAACGAAAACAAATATTTCTAATCAATCAAAGTCCTCTTCCAAGCTCGTTTTTCGTTTCGACCAAGAATAAGTGGGTAGAAAACGAAGCTGGAAACTTTCTGGGCGGTCAGTGATCGTTTGAAGCGAAAAAATTCTGGCAAAGCGAAATCCAATGGAATAAAAATTTTTTCCCTTTTACAGATGAATTGCGTATTTCTATGTCAGGCGTGAAAATTGAGATTGATCCGAAGAATAGTCAAATCAAACCGCATGACACGATAGCCATCGACATCATAGTTAGCAGTCATACTTGGGGTGTATACGTCGATCAAGTAACGCTTTACATAAATTTGCTACCTCCATTCGTATTTTGGATTCGTATCACAAACGACGAACTTCCACTGTGCTATCCTATTCGTAATGAAAACGCATCGCCCTTAGCCGGTGATCCATTGGTTCGGTAAGTTATATCTTAATATGCACGGGTGCTTGATTCGATAACTACTTAATCAATTCATCTTTTAAAATTATTCAGCTTCAAAGTATTTAACCCAGGCTCTGCCGTGCCTAATCAAAAGGTCCTGATCGAGAACAAGAGTAATATCCCGCTGTACGTGAACTGGCATTGCTTTGCGCTGAACGCGGCACAAACCGACGAAGAGAAGCCCTTCAATCTCGTCTTGGACATGTTCAGTCCGTTCATGGATTTCGACGAGCACATGGAAACGGACGCTCAATTCTACGATTCGGTGAAGCAATTCTTCGCGCACGCCTTGAACGCGGAGGCGGTCGGCAGTGCGCCGATCGAGCTCAGCGACATGATGTACCAGCTCTTTCCGAGGGCCAAAAAGATACACGATACCAGAGACGATTCCACGTCGACTTTGCCGATACCTGCGCGGAGGCCCAACATTTCTCAGGGAACGGAGTTTCGCCTGTCGCTGACCCCGTATTTTGGCGAGCCTACGCCATTGTTCAGCGTTAGTTGGCAATTACTAAATTGATTAGAGAACCGAATGAAATTGCAGGAAACTTGATCGAATTTTCAACTTCAGATCGTGCCGAGGGAATTATTTTTACCCCCGAAAGGGAAACGATCCATCGAAATTGTCGTCAACGCAGAAAAGATTCCTTACGTGTTTTTGAATAAGCTACTCTGTGCGAGAGCTTGTGGATTCATACGGATAGCACCGACTTTCAAGTGAGCGGCTTTTGAATCTTCCTTTTATAATCCGCAAATTAATTTCGCCTACCGTTTATAGATATAAAGACAATGTATTTTACCGCAAAGACGGGTTTTATATGCCACCGATGCAAGTGCTACTGGAGTGCCAAGTGAGGAGGCCGTACTTTTTCATACAGACTGAAAAAAACTGTCTCTCCTTCGATTTTCACACCAAAGATTTCTTACAAAGGAACAAAACAAAATTAAAGTAATAAATCCAATCGAACCTTGCTGCGCCAAATAATACGAATTTTATTACAAAAGTGTTTTTTTCATCATAGATCGACCAGTGTGATTTCATTCATCAACTCCGAGAATGAATCTTTGCGGATTTCTTTCAATGTGTGTAAGCCTCTTTGTATAAAAAAAATATCAACAAAACGAAAACTGTTCAAATCCAAGAGGGTAATCATACATTCGAGCGAAATTGTCCAGGTGCGTTATGAATTATTGTCGCGCAAAAGTTATCGAGCAAATGAAAACAATTATTTCTTTTCTCAAACTCTTGTAATTTTAATTTTTGAATTAAGCTCGAAGTAAAGTGCCAAATTGACGAGAATTGGATTGAAAAGATGAGTAAAACTTTTAAAAAATGTACCGGACTATGCAAAATAATCACTAAAACGTTATCTGTTACGTTCAAGGAAGGCTTCACTCAGGTAAATAGAAATTATATGCTCAAAATGAATAAATTTAACAGTTGATGTTTTTTCTCGCAGTTAGTGGAACTGCCCATAAAAATTTATTTCCCCACTATAAAAGTTTCCAGTACTTGTATCGATTTTGGTCGAGTACCAATGGGCAGTAATAAATTCTTAACATTCGACGTCGAAAATATTTCAGGTAAAATCTGTTAAAGCGCATTTTTTAACGCATCACCAACCATTTTAATTTTGATGTTTAGAACTTCGTCAAACAGTTGATTTAAAAACTACTGATCTCAGGAATGTATTTTCATATTATCCTAAACACATCTTGTTGGCTTCTTCCTCATGTGCTGATAAGAGATTTACTCAAATTGAAGTTACATTTCACCCTAAGTAATTTTTACCTAATAAATGTATATCATAGAGTAATATCACTTCATGTTTCACCTAAAACAATATTTTAATTAACACCAGGGAAATTACAAATTACGAATCAGTGATTGAAGTTTATTCAAAATTCGATGGGCTAGTAGGTAAATGTATTTTGAAAGGATCAGCTAGTGCCCATTGCTAATAAATACAGTGATATAAAATATATCATATTTGTAATTATAATTCCAATGACTTAATAAATAATTTAATTCATTTTTGACAAAGTTTATTTATTTCTTTATTCTTTTTTAATAAAACGAGCTATAAAGAAACCAACAAAATCCTCCTTCCATCCAAATCTGCATAATTTATTAGCTTCTTCTGTAGACAAACCTTCCACTTCAAATCCTGTTGAAGTAAAATGATCGACATCAAAATTCATAAAAATCTCGTGAACATTTTGTAACTGAAGATTTGGAAACTTTTTAAGTGCCCAAGCAACAATTCCTTCATTTTCAGCAATAGTTATTGTACAGGTACTGTAAACTAAAATTCCTCTTGGCTTCAGAAGTTCAACTGCCTATAAAATAAATGTAATTTTATATTACAAAACAATATCAAAGATACTTTATAAATATTAACTTACAGCAGTAAAAAGTTTCCTTTGCAATGGTACGTAGGATTTTAATTGAGATAAACTAATTGAATTACTAATTTGAGGTCTTTGACCTAAGGCACTGCATGGTCCATCTAATAATATTCTATCAAAGCTATCTTTGGAAAAAGGTGGTCCCTCCAAAATGGACTTATTCGGAACCGTAGACACTGCATTTACAGAGTTAAAGCAAAAGGCCTTGATGTTTGTAGTATGAAATTTTTTTATAGTTTCATCCAACTTGATTATTTTATTTTTTATTTTGTCCATGGCAATTATTGTTCCCTAAAATTAAATGATTAGTATTTTGACTTTTAACCAAGCCTTTTTGTACATACTTTATTTCCCATTAAAGCAGAAATTTGAGTAGTTTTATTTCCAGGTGCAGCACACATATCCAGTACAATTTCATCACTTTGTGGATCTAATGCTCGACAACATAAAATGGATGGTAAATTTTGTAATAATATGTGACCCGTTGGTAAAATTTCACTATTTAATTGCGGTACAGAAGAAATTACATGTGTCATTTTTACTGCAATTCCACTAAAAATGTTGAGGAAGTTAGAAATGTACTTTTAATCTGGTTCAATATGTACAATAATATTTAGTGAATAGTACTTTGAGATTCCATTGCTATGATTGAAAATTTCTTCTCTAGTCATTTGAATTTTTCCATTACCAATGAACAATTTATTTTCTTTCACATACTCTTTAACTGCCCCTTTTTTACAACCATGCTCAAGATCAGCATATACACTTACAACATCATCTACACTCAAACCTGCGAAGTATCTTTAAATTATATATTTTTTACCATTTAAATTATAAATATAAAAAATATCCCTAATTTAAGTATCTACCTCTAGGCATTCCTAAAACGCCAGGTGCATAAATGTTGGCTCCTCGCAATAGTGCTGTACCACAATTTGCATCTACTATTATTTCATTTTTATACCTTTCTAAGTTAAGAGTATTGATATTCAAACACTGAATAATTACTAATTCCGGAACTTTTTGATAAGTCAAGATTTTTTGATCAATCATCTTTTCAGCCTATTTTTATCAATAGTTTTATTAATTATAAATTGCAGATTGTTTTCAATTTTATTAATCAGTTTCATACCTGCATTAAAGCTTTTTTTATTTTTTCACACACATACTGCTGATCTTGACACAAAAGTGTATTTATTCGATAAACCAAATTTTTTGGAGTTTTACTTAACCATGCGATAAACGCATTCAAAATCATCTACGAATACAAAATTGATTTAAAGTTAAAGTCTTAATTTAAAAACAACATAATTAAAAAAAATATTTACCTCAGCCTCAGCTCGGCTTATGGAACAATTGTTCATTTTGATTTTTTGAAAATCTTCCAGTAACTCACACAGTATTTCATTTTTCAATTTAACTCTGTGACACTTTGTATTACACTCCATTGTGAACATCAAAATTCTAAAGATTACTCATAAAAAAGATGGAAAATATCAAATTACAAAATATAAAATAATATGAAAAATAAGCTGCTTTTCCAAAATTGTTTTTTTTTTACATGTGAATTTAATTGGCACTATATTGTTCACTTTCATATCACTATCGCGGTTATAAACAAAGATTTGATTTACATCTAAGCATGATATTTTTTGATAAAATGTTTTCAATGTTTGAATTTGGCGCTATTCAATTGCAAGTTGTTGAACACAAGTTCCAGGAAGCTGTAAATATACAGGAAAAGATTCACCGAATATCTAGTAAAGGAACTATTCTGATTATCCTGCAAGCTACATTTAGAATAGATCCTGTAATTGTGCTGCCTCTCGCGGCTAAGCAATAAAATATTGTTTCGAAACGATGGTCGAATGTCGATGCCTAGAATTCTTGGCTATTACCAAACAGATAACATAAACGTCATCAAAATACAAGCATAGCGGTATAGTGCTCCTTTCGAGAGAGAGGGAAAGCAATGCGGTTTACTCATTAATCACGTGTAACTAGGTATCCGATAATTTTGTAATTTGCAGCAACGACAGCTAGGACTTGATGATGTGCTATAGAATTTTGCATACACAAGTGCATTGTACTGTTAGACCTACTTTAATTCTGTCCGGAGGAATGTGGATTTTTGTATGCTTATACACGTTCCAATTCCTATTCCACCCGAAAAATTGGACAGAATTAAAGTAGGTCTAGTGTACATACAGTGTCGGCTCTTTCGATAACTTTACAGTTTGTGGTATCGGCCGTCAGGCTTTCGGCGCTGACTGCTAATGCCTATGCATGAAAGTCCGTACTCCGTACCTGCGCTCTTCGCGACTCGTCTGCGTATAGCCACAAATATACAGTGTGCGTGAGTCCACTCACCGCTGTAGTTTCATGGCACAACTCCAGTAGTATACATATTGCCTGTCTTCAACCTTTGACACGATAAACACGAGGTGCTTTGCTCCTCTTTGCATCGTCACTAACTAATCATTTCTAACGTCAAATTAAGTTTGGCTGATTTGGGTTTTCATGTTTACCAAATTTTCCTAAACTTAGAACTACTATTTTTAAGTAAATTTGAAGATTTTTTTGCTCTTTCATTTCTAAAATGGTATTTGGATATCATTGTGTTTAAAAACACGATGTCACAATAAGTTCACTAAGTTGGTTTGATATTACAACTAGTAATTCTGTACTAGTTTATTTAAGAAGCATTAAAGATTATGTGCATCTTGCTCAATTCTGCAATGGAAAGTAAAGTTACTAGTAAAACGAGCAGCTTGAAAGCATTGCTTTTGAGAGCTTGGAGAGAACGATGGAGCGATCTTCAATGGGGGATAAACATCAAAACAGTGAGTGCTTTAAAAAGAGTTACTATCAAAAGCTTCTAAACTTACCTCTATTTTCATACTGACTTTCAAAAAATGAACTTTTCAGATATTACCAAGAGGAGTAAGCGGTGATGTTCATAACTTGGCAGATTGTATATTACAACAAGCACTAGTTGGTCCAGGACCAAATGAATTAGTACTTTCATATCTGAAGCATTCACTTTGTTCACAAGTAAGTACTGTACAATTTTTTATTTTCAATTTTGAATTTATATATTTACATAAAAAAATTTTTTATAGCTTGTATCCTATGCTGCAGTATTACAAAGAATTAGTAAATATGATTCTTTTCATAAACTCCACTGTATTATTAGTCTGCTTGATTTTCTTGATACAATTCATTCGGGTATTACATGTCGCGGTAAACCTGAAGAAGATCTCTTAGCTGCTGCCTGTCTTTCAATTGTTCATTGGTTATTGCAATGCTATCATCATTCTATTACTAAAACACCTCAAGGCAATCCATTAGCGCCACAACCGACAGAGTTAATGGAAAAATCAGCACATCTTTTAAAAGCACTTCTAGCATCTGATTTTATCTGTGCAATGTTATATTCAGCAAAACATGATAATAAAGGTAAGAAAAAATCAAAATATTAATTTTCTGGAATATTGTAACTGAAAGTAAGGTGACCGATATACAGTGAAATCTTTCTATAGACAACATCCTAAAAACGTTAAAAACTATCCAATATCGGAAAATGTCCCTTATTTGGAAGAGTAATAAAATGGGGAACATAAAAAAATTATTTTATAAGTGTCTGCTATTAGGAGATGTCAGCTAATTAGAGTGTTCACTATATAGAAATTTCAGTGCATAATTTTTATTTTCTGCTAAAGGATTTAGTTAAAATTTTACATGTATATCAAAAATTAAAAAAAGATGTTTTAAATTTCTTGAGATTATTTTCAATTTATTTGTAATTTTAGGAATGTTCTTTTTTATTGCACTCGTTACAAATTATACTTTTTTCACGTTAAAAATATACGCATTAACTCCGATTTTTTTGCAGATTTGTACATTGATATTCTGAAAAAATGCCAGGAAATTGACAAAGAACAATCGAAAAGTAATTTAAAATGTTCCACGTCAATAGATGAATCATTGAAAAAATTGGGTAATTTGGAAATCGAAAATATGATTTTAAAATTTTCAAAACCCGATTCCGAGCCAATTACTTACTGTTTACAACCTTTACTGGCTGTTCAAAATTTAATTAATCCAAGTACTGAAACCAGTACATATATTAGTCAATTACATATGATACAAAGACTGAAGAACTACTCTAACTCAAGATTGTACTGTGAAGTAATAAGAGCATGTATGATGTGTTTACATGATGTAACTGGTACTTTTAAAGAATCTCATTGGGGGGGTTTCACAGTTTTGAAATTACCTCAAATTTTGAAAGAACTTCATTCAAGTACCCTTCATGGTAATTATCAGTAATTGAAGTAAATGTTGAGTTGTGATATTTTGCTGAACTTACTTTTATTTTTAGGTGAAAATGAAAATTTCAAATATTCACAAGATGTTATTGATGCTTTTGAACTTTTGTTGAAATATACACCTTTATTAGATAAAATGGATATTATATACTCTGGAAATAGCATTGAATTTTTGCTGAATGAATTGCAAAAAGTGAATTTAGTTACTGAAGAACAGGCAAAACAGATCAGTAGTCGAAGGTAAAAAATTATAATATTTACTTAAAATCAGAGCAAGTCATAAATTAATCTTTTTGTTTCTTTAGGGATGGTTTACTTACATCATTGCAGAAATTTGATTCCCCGAGCATTGGTTCATCGATTGGAACTATTATAATGCGTGCTGAACCTACTCTAGCAGGGTTATTGAAGACATTAAATGCAGAATATACTAAAATTCAAGATTCTTTACTTAGTTTATTTTGTCAAGTACTGACTGGTAATAGTTTTGAGTTGATGTGTTCTGTAGCTACAGTTGAGGGGAAAATGAAAACATTTGTTTCTAGATTAATTAAGTGCAATGAATGTAGCAAACAAATCAATGAAGTTCCTGGTAAAACAGCAACAACCAGAGCATTGCTATTTGAAATTTCATTTTTAATGCTGTGTTCTATTGTTCAAACACATGGACCCGAGGTTTGTATTTAATTTTCATTTTTCATATCTGTGTATGAAGAAAATTCAAAAGTATATCTACTAAGATTACAATAATATATGTGCCATTTAGGTAGTTCTCGAAGAAGGCGGAGATTCTTTTTTTGAGCAATGGGTTCGTGAATGTATGCCATTGAAAGAAAAACCAAAATCTCCTTACAAAATGCTTCAAAATGTTGATTCAACCAAAGTTGATCTTTTATTGGCTCAGGTTAATTCAACTGACACAGATCTTAAATCAAATAACAATAAATGGCATGTTTCATGCCTAGCAGCTATGGCTGTAGCTAAAGAATTATTATATGCTTGGGAGAGCAATGCTATTAGTGCAGCAGATGTTAAGCGAGCTTTAAATGGACTTAGAGCTACTTCTTGCTGCTTACCTGTTTGCGCTACTGCATGGCTCTGTGCATACATGGGTATAACTCATCAAGATGCTTTACTCAAACCCATGAACATGGTCCAACAGTTCCTTACTCCAGTTAATATTGATGAAAGACAAGATAATTTTAAAGAGAGGTATGTTTGATTTATTAACTAATTAAAATTTTTTTCAAATTGAACATTCTTTTACACAAAAAAATTGTTCTTGCAGGTCAAGTCTAATGTTTCAAATTATACGAAAAATGCAATATGAGATTCACCCTCCAACACAATCTAAAACTAAAGTACTTTCAGTATCTCACAGGTAAGTAATTGATTATTCATTCATTGTATTCTGAGTACATTCACTGAATTGAATTATTTCTTCAATTTTGTAGTATCGTTTCCAAAAATCCAATTCTGGAACAACTTCAACAGATTTGGCAAGGAATTTATCAACGTGGTTGGGTTAATGTTCAAGTTTCTCAATCACTTGAATCACTTTTGAAAACTGGTGGTCCTCTATGGTTTGTGACAAACTTAGTTAAAGAACTATTTAAAATCCAGTATCAAGAAGAACTGGATCGTTCTTTAGATTTAATTTTTTCAATTTTACACTTAGATATTGAAAATTGTACTTTAGAATTGATAAATCAAGTGTTACCGCAGTACTTATATAACTCTTTGCAGTAAGTATCTTCATAAAAATTAAATTATTATAGTATCAAGAAAAATTATACAATAGAAAAAAATTATTAATTTGTAGGGGTCAAAAATTAGTTGAACCACAAGCATCAGCTTTAGCAAAACTATGTGTTTATTGTATATTTTCTGCATTAGAATATAATAATAACAATCCACCACAAGTAAATAGTCGAAAAAGAGTAAGAGTAGAAGTAGACAATGAAGACTTGGACATAGGAATGCCACCAGCCAAACTTTTAAGACTGAATGAAGCTACTGATACAAAGTTAATTTTTGGTTCTAATTCTCCTCAAGTACCTGGAGCCAACAATGGAGGCAAATCAATTATTTTAAGAGAACCACTTCATACTGCATTGGAAAAACTATTTGCTAATTTTAATTTCTTAGCTGCAAGAAATGGAGAAGTTTCCCAACATACTCATTTCATTTTACAATTTCTTCAATTAACAGTCCAATGTGGAAAAGATAGAGCTTGTATTGTGCTTCAAAAAATGCCAGAAACTTTGGTGAGATTTTTAAATGATTGACTATTAAAAATTTCTACTTCTTGTTTGCATCCAATAATATTTTGTGATTATTCATATTTTCAGGTACCAAGTCTTTTAAAAGCACTTCCCGAATGCTTCACAACAGATTTATTGCTTAGATTGTATGATGTTCAGACTATAATGGGTCGCAAAGCAATAGCTCGAGACTTATGCATGTTGCGTAATATTCAACTTAAGCCTACAAAATAATTTGTAAATTTTATTTTATTTTCTAAAACTCTACTGTAAATAGCAATGACACTTAAATCAAAATACCATTTTGTACTTGCATATTTAATTGTTTTTACAAAACTAATTACAATTTATTAAGTCAAAATGCAAAAAGGTTTATTTTTTTTATTTCAAATCTTTGTACAGCAAACCCTCTGCAACTTTTTTTGCTGCTTCTTTATTAACCAACTTTTCAACAATTGCTAAGCCAAATGCATAGGCAGTTGCTGGTCCTTGACTAGTTATTAAATTACCTGCAAAATTTAATTATAATATAGTGGAACTTCATTGGTATTAGTATAAAAATGGAAACTTATTGTATAAATACCGTCACAAACGACGATATCATTATCTACGTATGTGTAATCCTCAATTAAGTCGCTTTTGACAGAAGGGTAAGATGTAATTTTCTTTCCTTTAGCGATTCCATGCGCTTTAAGAACATTAGGTGCAGCGCAAATTGCGGCGATCATACGACTTTCGGCTTCTTGAGCTTTCAATATTGCTCCAACTTTAGGGGACTAGAAAAGAAAGCTTTTGTTTAACATTATGAAGAAATTATTTATTTAATGCGTAGCAAAGCGAGTTTTTCTGTCAGCGCTTACAGCGGCTAAATGTTTCCATCCTACTCCACCAGGAAGTATAACCACATCGTACTTTTTATCATTGATATCATCAATCTTTGCGTCCGTACAAATTTTGACATCTCGACTGCATTTTACGCACTCTTTATCAGTGATGCTTGCTACAGTTACTGATACCTGAAATGCATAAAATATAAGTGTTAAGAAATAGTTGATATTATAAGCACTTCTGAGGGGTTATAAGTCGAAAAATCAGCGCGCATTAGAGTGCGTTTTATTCGACACATACATACCCCGGCACGTCGCAAAATATCGACAGTGACAATGGCCTCCATTTCTTCGGCACCTTCGGCCAATAGACACACCGCCGTTTTGTCAGCCATGGTAGACAAAAATTTGCAATGCCCTTGACAAATTCGACGAAATAAATAACTCTTGGGAGGGCGAATTTGCGCTAAGCACGTGAGAATTATCGACATCAAATTATGTTATTCATCGGACGTAAACGCTTGTAGATGACGCTAGTGAGGGTGACAGACTGTCCAATTTGCAGTGCGAGAAGTGTGTTAATATATAAGCGAGTCAATTGTGTTGAACTTGCAAGTGCCACCGACTCTACATCTCATTTGATAAAGTCCGCGTAAGGCTCTACTAGAAAATGCGAGCCACGCTTTCATATTTGAGTCTTGTGACATTTTCGTAAATTATTGTTTTTTTTTTATTTTTATGGAATGAAATATAAACACTCAATATTTTTTAGAAAAATTTAATGAAATCGTTACATCTCAGCTTTCAATACAAGATAAAAGACACTTCTCGATTAATGTTTGAACATTTTTCAAATTTCATTCAATTTATAAAAAAGCTTCGATTAAAATTTCGTCGTTATTATGTAAAAAAAACCGTTCGTAGCATAAAAAAATAAACAAACTATCTCGCATAAGGTGTTGTTAATTTCAATAATTATACCAACTTGATTGAATTATGAAATATAATTTGATAAAGTTATCGATATGTTATCAATATAAAAAACGCACTACAAATATGAAAATCGTCATCGTTAATTTTGGCTTGCAGCCGCCAAGCAAATATTGCATAAATCTTCGTTCATTAGCTGCTTGATGATCATGTCAGAGCACTCGGTCGGCAGTTGGTGGCTCGTCATCTCCAAGAAAGGATCCAGGGCCCATCGTAGGAAAAATCCTCTCGCTACCTTTTCGCACAGATGCTCAGCGCAAGCCTGAACAGCCTCCTCGACGGGATCGCTGAACGCCAACTTGTAGTAGTCCCAGTACGTGAGTTCTTTCGCCGCCTTTTCAGGTCGCAATTGGATCAGCTGGTAGAGCGTCATCCATGTGTGCCCATGCGCTACCATTGTATTTTTCGCCTTGTTTGTAAACACCTTGTCGTCGCACCAACTTTTATGAGGATCATCCGCCGATTTATCGAACAATCCGCGTGCGCGGAAAAATTTCATAACCGTCAGGGCGTTGCTTCGGCCGAAATTGTATCGTCTTGTTTCGAGTTGCTCGACGACGGCCAGAGCGCCAGACGCTAGTTGAAATTTATTCTCTGAATTGTATCTCTCGCCAAAGTAACTTTCGGTGGGAAAAGTGAAGTTCGACATAGCGTGATTGTAGAGATGAGTGCCGTGCTTGAAGAGTGCGCGCATCACGTGCGGCATGAAATTCGCCACGGCCAATTGCATCGGCGTCCGACCCCGTTTGTCCCGGGTATCGAACTGCAGCCAATCACCGAAATCATCGACGAGCTTGAGAAACGTTTTTGGCAAATCATCGTCTGGATCAGGGTCTCTCGTGCAAATAACGTGGAGAGGAGTCGATCCATCTTGGTTGGTCAAATTCAGCTCGACGCCTTTGCTTAGCAGCTTTTCGATGGTATTTTCTCTATGGTCGTCGGCCACAGCATAGTGTAATGGCGTGTTGCCCAAATTGTCTCGGGCATCGACTCGCAACGTTTGACGTTTTTCGTCGATGATATTGAAGAATTCATTCGCGTAGTCATAATCGTCGTATTCGTCGTTCTCATAATCGACGCGTCTCTTGCAAACAATGTGCAGAGGTGTCAATCCTTCGTTGTTGGCCAAATTAGGATCAGCGTCCTTTCTCAGCAGTAGTTCGACCATCTGCTGGTCATCGCGCAGCAGAGCCAAGTGCAACGCCGTGTTACCCATCTTGTCTTGGGCGTCGATTCGCACCACCTGATGTTTTTCCTCGTTGACCTTGAAAAATAACTCCAACGTGGAATCATCACCAGCGTTACCAATGAACCAGTGATAATTTTTATCTTCTTGGTTGCAAATAATGTGCAAAGGAGTCGTTCCATCCTCTTTGACTGCATTAGGATCTGCGCCGTTTGTCAACAATAATTCGGCTATGTACTTGAACCCTTTTTCCAGAGCCGTATGTAGCGGGGTATTACCCAACTTGTCTCGGGTATCGAGCTGAACCTGGTACTTTTCGCTGCTGTGCTCAAAGATTATATCCGCCAATGCATCGTCGCCACTCGAGCAAATTATTTGCAGAAGAGTCAATCCGTCCTTGTTAGGCAAGTTCGGGTCGGCGCCACGTCTCAGCAACAATTCAAACATCTCCTGCGATCCCTCCGTCTCAGCCCAGTGTATCAGCGGTTCACCTGATGGTGGCCAGAGGCCATTAGGATCCTGGCCGTGATCGAGGAATTTCTCGACGATGTCTTCAAGGCAATACTCACAGGCCATATGAAAGTGAGTTAGGCCTGCCTCGTCGGTGTAATTCACGTCGAATTTACCGTATATTTTAAAAAGTTCATGGATGACGGTACGACCGACATTGAATGAACTTGCGAGATGCACTGGTGTGGTGCGACGCAACAATGGCTTGCCGTCTTTATCAACTTCGGGCTCGTCTTTGTAACCTGTCTTGATCACAAAATCCATGAGCGAAGTGGGCTCATCTTGGCCGTCAATTGACTCTGTGAGGAGCCAATCAATTTCTTCCCGTCGAAAAATGTCTCGGAGATTTGGAAGTTGGCCCTCCCAATCGCTGATTAAAGAATCAAGTTGATCAAGAAGCTCACGTCGCTCTTCTTCGATCTCCCAATTGACCCCTTCTCGCAAAGCTTTCAATTTTTTCAAACACTTCACGTCGTCGGCCATGGTTCTATCGCACTCACAATCGCTTAAAAAGTGGAGTATTTTTTCTTTTTCACAAGAATCACTGTTGTATTCGACGAGACTTTTCTTTGTTGTTTTCGCTGTGACTTCGTCACATGTACTGACGTACACTACGATCTATTTTGTAAACACTTGCGCAAAGCTGCAATAACAGTATACTTTTGAAAATGATGTGTCGGTTTGACTGCAACGAATCCGCTCGAACACGCACGGCACGAGCGAGGCAAGCGAATAAGAGAGAGACACTAAACAGTTACACTCGAACATAGGTCGCCACAGCAGAATCGAGCGCCACTATCGCTTAATCGCAGCCGTCAGCCACGCAAAAACTGTCTTCGTCCTTCTAGTCCAGGCTCCAGCTTCGAAATGTTCAAAAAATTTTTTTCGACACATTCGTGGAGTCAACGATTATCATAAGCTCGCTCGCGTCACCGTCAATCCTCGCTACTAACTACCGTTACGTAAAGTATCTATTTGAAAAATAAAATCGAACGTATTTTATCAATACGAATTCATTTGTGAATTTTTTTCTTGTTTGACTTTTGTGGACATTTTTAATGAATGTAATTAATTTGTTCAGAATTACAATTTATGTGAAATTTTATCGAAGTTTTAATTCTAATAGCTGTTCTTATACAACTGCTTATTTATTTATAAAACGAATTATCCTTTTTTGAAAAATATAAAAAATAATATTCCAAAATTCATTTTGAATTGGGACTGGTTTTATCGTTATGAAAGGTGCAATATTTAATCGAAAGATTTTGGAATTCCATCAACAGATGGATCATTTTAAACTCACAAATGTCAAAACAAAGTGTCGGTTCAAGCATAAATACTGATAACTAGTCGTAAATAATCGAGCAATGTATCTAATTATCGACTACTTGCGAACATTGAACTTACTTGGCGCGCCGACAAAATGCGACAAACATTTGATCTCAATAAGTAATCGCGGTGAGATCAATTAATATTTTAAAAATCAGTATTAAATATATTCTATATGAGTACATGATTTTTTAATAAAGAATGAAAGTGAGAAAGGTCCGAAACAGCACATTCTTCAAATTTACATAGCTGAATACAATTATATTTGTTTCCTTTCTTGCATTAATAATCGATAACTATTTTCTTGCTCGTCTTTTTTATTTTGACAAATGTCAACGCGCAGAAGAAAAAATTAAGAAAAAAATAACGCTTATTTTTTGTTCCGACTTAATCCCGTCTAGAATATTTGACATTAGTGATCGACTTTTAAATTTCGTTGCGGGTGGTCTTGCTTGATTTTTTTCTTTTCATAACAGTTATCCGTGCAGTCCTTTTTTCTCTCCTTCATTTGTTCGTTCGTCGTATTTTCATCATCTTCGATGCGGTCAACTCCAGAATTATGAACAGCCTATTGTTGCTGATACTTTAGTAACGTTATAATAATGTCTTGGTTCTGTCCGAGTTGGCGATGAGTATTTTTTGATTAAAATTCAAAAAATTATACGTCATTGTTTTTTACATTGGCAAGAAGTGCATTTTTTTTCTCAAGTGCTAAAAATAATGTATTATTTTATCAATCTTAAGCATTAATATTCTAGCCGTACTAAAGCAATTATTTTCAAAAATTGTATTTTCAGGTCACAATATCCGTGCAACATAACATTTCTTTTATTTGTTACAAAAGTAATTAATGATTAAAGATAAAACCGCTGCACCGGAAAAATCGTCTATCACATCAAGAAAAATTCGTTTCACGTGTTATGAAATCTGAAAATTTATGAGACATTAAATAAAATCGTTTGTGGCAAGAAATTCTTCGTCAAGCCACATAAGAAAAGTCACCTTCGTGACTAATGGATGTATGAGTCCCGGTAAATGTTACCATAAGTATGGATGCAAATTAAAGATAGGCAGTAATCAAGAATATGTGAGCATGCAAATCATGATCACGAAGAAAAATCTGTATGTGTCCAAGTTCCAAAAATGCATCTTTTTCAAGAAAATAGAGATTAAAATGAAAAGTTTAGGATTAAGTTTACAGCGATCAAACGACGAAATTGTCATATTTTCTCAATTTGACTATTTTTTGTTATCAAGCCTTTATTTGAATTGAAATAATACACATGATTTTCATTAATCAATTATATAATACAAAAAATATTATGAATGCTTTGTTTGTCGCATGAAAAACATTTCTCAATTTTATGCGACGGACCCTAGATTTTCATGCGTGAAAAATTGTTTCGTGATATGTTGAATTGAAGATGACTCGACGATTTCGATTTATATACAGAATAAAAAGCGTCCCGTTTACGTATACACTATACACACTAAAGTCTCTCGCATGGGCCAGTGAACCATATAGACTTTCCTCGCGCTGGACACAAGAGCTCCAATTATCATGACTCACCTCATTCGTGGAAAGCTTCTTTTATCACTTGCCATTTTACGAGTCCAATTGAATAGCCAAGGTAGGTCTCAAGTTGACTGCCCCTTTTTTCTGAAGTACAAAACACAAGTCTATGTAATTACGGTTACAGGCTAAAAGTGAAAAACCGATCCGTCATTAATATATAATCAATCAAGTAAAGGGCGCAGCCCAGTGCTAATGGGCACAAAAAAAAGGCCAGAGCCGCTTGTCCGCAGGTGTCGATTCGGTATACTCGAGAGGCAGTGGATCCGAAAATTCAATGTCGTGCTGCTGATGCTGGATTCAAAGCCACATGTGTATACGCGACGCGGCTCTACATAATACATATCTATCTGCGCGTATATGCGGAAGAGGTGGAGCAGCAGCAGTATAGCAGCAGCAGCAACAGCGCGACGCTCGTACACTGGGAGTAGAGTTTTGTAATCAATATGAGGAGAGATTCGTGGAAAGCACCCTTTAAACACCCATCGAGCCACACGCAGACTACGCAAATAGACTCGCAAGCGTTTATATTACATAGTATGAGCTCGAGCGGTGTAGTATATATGTACACGATTTCAACCCTTCGCATACTGCGAGGCGATATTTTTTATCTTGTCCCTCTACTTCTGGCGCTGTAGCTGCCTTTAGCTTGTACACCTTGTAGTGCGCTGTGTACTGAATAGTCTGTGCACATAATATAATGCAAAGTCAAAGCAACGAAGCGCAAGAAGGCGCAATGAAATTCTACTACAATTGCGGCCTCTCTCTCTCTCTCTCTATTCGTTCGTTGCCTTTATCTCAATTTCTCTTCTCGCACTCCAGGTGTTCTTGTCTCATAAATAGATCATATGCCGCGGACACAGGAAACTCGTTCGAATTATATCTGTTTACGTTCGGGCTTCTGAATCGAGCTGGCTCCTATAGCGATAATGTAATTACTTTCACTCTTTTTCAGAGCTTCGGTCACGTGGCCGTCTCCTAATTGCTTTTCATATTCTCCCTCTATCAAAATTTGTTCATAAAAAATCCTCGGCAACGAGAGTTCGACATTACGAGAGAGTATAGCCGTCGATCTAAATTTGTCAGAGTCAGACATTTTTTTAATATACGCCTTGTGATGATCCATCGAAGCTATTATTATCTGGAATATTTGTCACTGAATTATGCTTTAGTACTAAATGGTCCAATTTTTTCCTGGCGAGAAAAAAGACACAATGACTTATTGTTGGAAGAAAAGGAAAAAACTATTGCTGGTAAACACCATTAAAAGTTTTTTGGTGTTGTTATTATCTGTTCATCAAATCAAAACCGAAAAAGTCGATCATCGATTAGAATTATAATTTCAACTTGATGGATAATCGAACGGGCGTTCGAATGACGCTTTCCAATTAGTAGCTTTATCTTTACTACAAAATTTTGGGTAAGCGCGATCGAGCGAGCGATAACAAATTAAAATTAGAAAATTTCTGATTTATTCTCCCACCACAAAGCGGAAAAGGGTCTCGCTCGCTGTACATAAATAATGCACCTTGCGCCCGTTTTGCATAAATTAATGACACAGTGTTTGGCTGAACGATTTGTTGCCTTACATATTATAAAATAATGATGCACACTCGAGTACGGCAATGAGCATTTGCTAAAAGCCGTCGCGTTCGCTACGATCTCGAGCCAAGTCGAAGAACAGAGAAAAGAGCCGAGAGAGAAAGAGAGAGATGCTATTAATAGGTATATACTACACATTGTGAGCGATTAAGAATAAAGGATGAGATTATATAGGTGAGTGGCGGATGAGCGTAATTAAGAGCTCATACGCGCACGGTGTAAGCATGTATAGTATACATAAGATGGATATCTCTCTCTCTCTCTGAGCGTACGCTCGTCAATTACTCCGAGCCGCGATCGCGTACAAATGTATATACAGACAAGCGCTAGAAAAACTGAGCTATTAGATACCTATACACGCGCGCTTACATAATAATAATGATAATGGCTGGCCTGCTCCGTTTTTTAGGAGTATATAAGCTTATCAGGTATCGACGGCGGATTCTCCCGCAGCAATTTCTCGTGCGCAACATATACAAGGTGCACGCGGAGGGCCATGCTCGTACACCGTACTCGATCATCGTCGCATTAAAGCGTTTCTTTATGCGCTTAAATATCGTCGCGCATGCAGATCGTCGCGCGTGCCCCCATGCACGGTGGAGCTACGTACATATAGCCCCGTGTGCGTCGTGTATCTATATAATAATAATATTCTTCGTCCAAATGCCCTGGCACGTAATATTGCGCTCTTACATGGCGGCCCATCGCGCGCAACTCCCATATTACATAGAGTCTCTGCACAGCATGCACGGACCTGACGGCTGCGGCTTGACAGTGTATTGTATTCTCACTGATACCCTCTCTCTCTCTCTCTCTCGCGCTTTTGCACTCACACACGCGCGCAGCCCGGCATATGTGCTCGCGCACGCACACAGAGTCAGCGGCACTGACTCACGTATACGACAGGCTTATATATATTCGTTGTCGCGAGTAGTGCCGAGTATTGAGTATTCGTTGTGTATCGAGAGAGAGAAGAGAAGGGAGCGCTCAGAAGCACATCTATATATTCTGTATCATATAGCTCCGCATACACGTACACACACACACACACACACACACACACACACACACACACACACACACACACACACACACACACACACACATACACTTGTATGCGCATACACACTGGCAAACTGAGACGGAAAGTGGAGTTGTAATATTCCGCGCGCGCGTTCACCCACCCCACGGCTTCTCTCATACCACCCTTGATATATATATTTTACGCATATGACTATGCGGCTGCCTGCCTTCTATGTATGCCTACTATACCTATATCTAACTACAAATATAGCAATATAAATAATGCCATGATGAGCTGCAGTCGTGTATGCGCAATCTTACGCTTATATACATACGCATGCATCATCAAGTAGGTATACAAGAAGGCGCAGGCAGCGTAATATAGCCAACTCGAATGTAACAGTGCGGAAGTGCACCGAGTAAAAGTCCACATGAAATATATGTAAGCGCATTGCACTGCTGCTGCTGCGCGCGACATCGAGTATTGTATTTAATTGAGCGCAGGAGCTCTGAAGAGAGAGAAAGAGGCGGAGAGCTGATGAGCTGCCGCTTAATATTCTCGCAGATTAAATATGCCTTACGAGTAGGCCATTGAAGATGCTAATGGGCCCTCGCGCGAAATGTCGTCGTCGCTGTATCAAATAAAGATTCTAAGCTGAATAAAGTAATTAAAGAAACGACGAGAGCGGGGGAGTGTGCGCTCGGACTAATACACCGTAACACGCGACAATTGTTTTTGTCGTCGTCTTCGTCGTCGTCGTCGTAGTCTCGTAATGAGATTTCGGAGCAGGCCGAGAGTCCAATAGCATGATGTGTTGGTACAAACGAGACGGGCCCGATGTTTAGTTTCGGAGTAGCTGCCCGCGGCTTTCGTCTCTTTGTAGTTGCTGCTGTACGCGTGTCGCCTATACCAGTCAATGCCTAGGACTTTTGGAGGGGTAAGCCTACTTTTATACGGTATAAGCGAGTGCCGAGGCGAAGAATCAAGCGAAGCCGATGATCGACTCGACAGCTCGACACACTCGAGCTTCGGCAATAGCTTCTCTCGTCATATACCTATATAGTTGGGTAGCTATACATGGCGGTACATAATACGAGACCGCAGTCCGCTCACGGGCCAAGCCACACGATCACGGCAAGTCGAGGAGAGTCGCTGCTCGTCGAGGCCCGTGTGCGAGTATCGCAGCGGTTGACGGTCTCGAAGCCGCTGGTTGAGCTACCGTCAAAATCACTCCAATACATGTACAGTGGCAATGGTGGCCAAAGCAATAATATCGAGCAAAGGACCAAGTCGGAGCTGCTGCTCTTATCCGGATCGTCCCTCGTCGCGCTCCCTTTAGCAAGTCCCTTTAGCAAGTCCCTATTACATTCGTGCGCATCGACGATCGCGTAGACCGCGGCGGCCTCGCGTGCCCCCAAATCCATGATAGGCGTACTGCGTTGATACAATATAAGCTAAGCATGCGTGCAGTATTACACATTTACAGATATAGATATAGAGCGGCACACAAAGCGAAGCGAGAGAGAGAAAGAAAGATGCAATTGCCGACAGCAGATAGTAGTGGTGCGGCCGCCGCACGCCGGCTCGAATCGCACTCGCCTGCACACCAGCCGAGTACGCGCGAATAATCGCGGAGCGAGTCGATCAGAGAGAGGCAGAGAGACAGAGAGAGAGAGAGAGAGAAAGGTAGACTGTAGAGCAGCGTCTCTCGCTCGTGCGCCGAAGATTGCCGGAAAACGACGAAAACGAGCAAGGCAAACGAACGCTGCGTGTTAGCCGAGAGCGCGCGTCGCCCGTCCGCGCGGCATAACAAACAGCATAACATAGCGCAGCACCGGAGCAGAGCGTCCTGCAGCCTTAGCTGTCGAGTGCACATCTCTCGCTGCTTACTACGTGTGCGTGTGCGAAATTGCCAACACACGTACACGCACACACGTACACTCATTCCACCCGCGGGCCGCCGCTCGTTGGTCGCATGCACATTACACTGAGCGTACATACACATACATATATCTCGCTCCGTTCTCTATACATATATACAGATTATAGAGTAGTGTATAATGTTAGCCTCATATAATCCTATACATATACACAGATATACACGAGTGTATATTACAAACGTACACACACGCACACACACACGCATACGATGCTGGCGTGTACGTATACATTGGAGCGTGCATAAGTGTGGTGGAGGCGAGCAAAGCGCTCCCAACAGTCGCGCGGCACGAAGCAGCACATAGCGCCGAGCGCAGAGAGAGAAGCGGCCGGAGGAAGAGTCGGAGCGGCGAAAGAGAGAGAGAAAAAGACAGAGCACACACAACCACGCGTATATGTATACGATACATAGGCCATAGCTCGTACACGTACACGGGCCACGGCACGCATACGTACACAAGCTCGCGCGCACACACGCACACCCAGCATTACGAGCACAAGATGGCGTCGTTTGCTTGTCGTGGGTGCTGCTGCTGTTAAAGCGCGAGTCGTGCGAAAGAGCGAGAAAGGAAGGAGAAAAAAATAGTGCAGTACCCACTGGCTGCTACCGTTGGCGAGCCTCGTCGTCGTCGTCGAGAGAGACTCGTCTAATAGACGGCGTTTATAGCCAAGCAAAAAAATTAATAAGGTCTGGCCCGTGGTGGCCCCTGGCCTGCAGGGAGAGACGGAGCCAACTTCGATCCGCGTATCGCCGATATCAGCGCCCAAGCACCTCTACAGGTTCTTTCGCTCTCTCTCTCTCTCTCTCTCTCTCTCTCTTTTTCTCTCCCTCTCGCAGACTCGCTCCTCCACTGTAACAGCGAGCATCGACTTCGTCCGCGAGTCCAAGCACGGGACGTTCGGATTTGCTCGTCAGTGGGCCATCCTATATACATTTAGAATTCTCGCGTACATGTATAATCCCCGTTACATAGAGTTCGGAGCTCTTTGGCGGTGCGACGCGTGCAATTAGCGCGCGAGGCGAAAAGAAAAGAAAGAGACTGTCTTGTGCCGCGCTCGGGCGATCTCAGTGCTTTGGTGTATGCGCCCGAATGCCAAAATCAGCATTGGCAGCAGCAGCCGTGTCTCTGGCGTGACATCGCGGCTAGGAGCAACAGTAAGTGTTGTCGTTGCCACGGAGGTGATGTGCGCGACGACCTGCAGCAGTTCCAAGCCAGTGAAAAGCGTCGGAGAGCAGCAGCAGCAGTCAGCAGCAGCAGGGCCGAAGGCAGATTCGTCATCCGGCTACTCGAGTACGATTCGGAGTCGTGTGCCGCCGCCGCCGCCACCACCACCGCTGCCGCATCAACAGCAGCAGCAGCAGCAGCAGCGCTGCCACCGCATCGTCGTCGACTACGTCCACCGCTGCTACTCCGCCTCGTATTAGTTGACTGGCGCGGCTATTCGGCTGTGCCACGACACATCGCTGCGTGCTAAGCTGCTGCGGTGCTGTGTGCGTGTGTGTGTGTGTGTATGTGTGTGAGCTCTCTGGGCCGGCAGCGAGCGAGCCTCCTCGATCTCGCGCACGCAAATTCTACATCTGCCATACGATACATTACAATACGGCATTATTATCGTATGGGTACGAGCGTAGGCTTGTGCAGTAGCAGCAGCAGCAGCAGCAGCAGTAACAACGACAGCAGCAGTAGGGCCTTTGGTGCTGCTGCGTACATTATATTAGCCGCCGCTGCTCGACTCGACTCGGCTCAGCGGTTCCCCCCTTCCCCAGTGCCCCCCGCTCTCCCTGCGCCTGCCTCCGTTGCTGCTGCTCGTGCCTGCGTGCGTGCATCTTGATGTGTGCGTGTGTGCCTTTGGCATGCGAATACGTGTTTAACGTGCGACGACACGGTGTTGTGCGAGAGTGCAAGAAGTAGACGACGTCCTCGTCCTCGTCGTCGAAGCAGCAATTGTTGTGTGCTGCCCGCCACTCTTTATACTAAACGGGCGCGCAGACACAGTGCCGAGAGATAAGAGAAGCACGACCGACTGAGAGAGAGAGTGAGATGTACGCGTATAGCAGCACATGCCCAATCGTCTGACCGATGCGTCGTGCGTGTCTGTGTCTGCCTGCGCAACTCTGTCTTGGTGTAATAGACGTCGGTCGGCCGTACTCGTCGTCGTTCGTAGGAGTATAGTAGTGTGCTACGAATGCATTTTCGACGGCTCCGCTTCCACTGCTAGTGTTACTAAATACGACGGGCCCCGCAGTGCTGCAGCTCGAACGAGCGCTATACATCGCTCGGATCAGTAGCCAGACGTGTGCCCGAGCACACGCAGCGTTTCGGAGCAGCTCGACGCCGCCGCCAAGACAATCGGTGGGACCAGTGTAGGCGACCCCGCGCGCGCCACGGTGTGAAGTGCAGTGTATACAGCCGCCCCCGAACAAAGCGAGGAGAGGCCGCGCAAGGATATAGTCGCGGAAAAAGCGCCGCGACACATGCGGGCGCGCCCGACACCGACGGTCGACGCCAACTTGCAAGGCCCCGTGCATCAGCAGCAACAACCTCGGAGCTGCTCGTCGTCCAACTAGCATCCGAGAGCAGAGAGAGAGAGAGAGAGTTACACTGTGCGTTATTTTTCCAGTGCATGTGTCCTCGTGTTCGTGTGCATTCGTGTTAAACAGTTTCACTGACTGTGCGTGTCTGTGTGCGTGCGTGTGTGCGTTCATACAAAAAGGTAGCAGCTATTCCCGTGCAATATATACGCATCATCTCTCACGCGTACATATCTCTCTGTATATGTGCATGTGAGAATACATACATGGACACGTATACACACACGCAGAACTGCACGCATGTGTGCATTTGGCTGTGCGCGTTATATACCAGTATAATATCGTGGCGGCGACGGTGACTGCGTGCGTGTGTGAGTGAGAACTCGGTGACACTCGTCAACTGGTGGAAAACAATGCGAGGTGCGCGACGACGACGCCGAAATCTGGCCGTCCTGTACCGCTCATGCTCCATGAGCTCGCAGCACCCTGCTACCGCTGCTTCGTTCGAGTAGTCTAGTTGCAACAACCTACTCGTGCAAGTGTGTGTGCCTGTGTGTGCGTGTGTGCGAGAGGGAGCGCGAGATATTATAACACCGCTGCTCTGCTGTGTCTCCTGCACTGGCAAGAAGAAAGATAATCGACTGCCGAGTTCTACTAGACGTACGTGCCACCGCCCGGGGCCAATAGCTCCGTGCTTCAACGCGGTAAGTTTCTATCACTCACTTTGTCTATACATAATATTCCATCCTCCTTCTCTCGCTCGCTCTCTTCATCGGTGCAGTAGGTGTGTATTATGTATACTCGGCTTTGCTCCTCCTCGCCTTGCAGCTCTCGTGACAAGGCGTCGCGCTTAATTAATTCATATAATCGCAGGATCGTGTCCTGCGCCCGATAGATTCGCTATGCAGTGGATCGAATATGTTTAGTTAGTATATATTTTCAGCGATTCAACGATGCACATTGTACGCATATAACCGCATATACCTATATGTATATTCGGACACACAGCTAGTTGTGTGCCCTCATGTATTTATTGCCGCTTGTCCATAGACTTGTGTGTACTTTATACATATAATATGAAAGACGAACTTCAGCAGCAGCAACTAGCTACCCCCACCCCGAGGACAGCCCCCTAACTCATAGCCATTTGCACATTAGGTGCGTGGCGCACTGTGCGAGCCCAATGCTCTGCTTGGCGTTCGTATACACCTATATACAGATATACCACTATATGTTTCTTCTCTCTATACATAACGTGCATATATGTGCGACCAGAGCACACCGTGTGGAGCTCCTGCTGAAAGAGTCAACTCTCGAAAGAGAGTGCCAACACACGCATTGATATACTTATTTTTATGTTTACAAATCTATTTGTATACACTTTTGTCTATTACGCGCGCATAAATGCTTGCATACGTAAATATATTGCTTGTGTATCGATGTATGTTTACGAATGCATCGTACGTCGCGGAGTTAAAATACGAGCTGCTTGAGATTAAGTCTGCGGGCGTCCGCACGGCACAAGTTTGATCGGCAATCAGTATATATTTGCATGTACTTATAAAGATGTGATTGCGCGTGTTATATCGCGTATGAACGTATTTACGGAGCAGCAGTCCCGCCGCTCGATTAAACTTAAAGCCATTGAGCAGCAGCGAGTAGCGACGCAACGAGATCAAAGCACGCGCGCGGTTAAGTATGACTGTACAAAATGATCGCGCACCTGGTGTATAGACTGGAACATACAGCTATACACATATATATTCTCTCCGAGCTTGAGATCCTTCTTTCTATACACATATACGTATATTACCGTCTGTATGGTCGCGAATTTTTTTTCTCGTTCCTTTTTCTCTTTCCTCATCCTCGTCCTCCTCCTTCTTTTCTCTTGTTCCTTCTCTCTCTCCATCTTCTTCATTTTTCTTCTCTCGCTCTTCTCTCCTACCATCGAGGCTCTCTCATCTCAAAATCCTCCAAGAATGTACACCTACTCAATGTCGAAAACTTCGTGTCAAGATGAAATTCCAATTATAAACAAAGACAACGATTTTTTGCTCCAAGTTTCACGTTTTGGTATTTGTTAAAAATCGAAAAAAATTGAACATTGGTGCAAGTGGTGTGTCAAAATAAATATTTATCTATTTTTTTCTCATAAAACCCAACAACTAAACACGATGTCGACTAATCATCGAAAAAATCTTATCTCAGCAGGCCATTAAACTCCTCACTTTTTTCGACATATTGTCATGTTATATATTGTAACAGTACCGACCCACCACCGCATACGCGTGCGCACGCGAGTCGGCGTGTGTGCATTGGATTCGGAATTATACCGAAAAGCTGCCGTGTATAACGTGTTTTTTTACGCTCGCATTGTTGTTCTTGAAGCAACGGCAGAGTTTTGACTATCAGCTGCCGTGTCTAAACAGCACTACAGTGCGTGAATTATCGCGATTCCCTCTTGGGATCATTGACAAGTAGTGACAGGCGAACCGCGGCCCATCTTTATAAATATCATTCTCGGCTCGCTGCTTCACTCCAACCTGCCCCACTACGCTGCGTGTTTCTGGCTTCTTCTGCGCACGCATGAATCAGAACCGAATCAGAACCCATCCATCCATCTGTCATAATTCACTATGCGTCTTGAATTTTTTACTTTATTTACGGTTAGATATTGTTTTTATAGTAGTATTGGCCTTTAATGTATGCTTTTCATATTTTCTTTGGTTCGAAAACTCGTTGAAATAAATTGAAATGTCACTCTGCGTCACGTTTTCGAGTTATCTTTAGAGATATATATTCCCGACTCTTTATTTGATACATTTAGTTTACAAGTGTATTAGATAGATTTGTAAGAAGATAACGTTTGTACACACTGAATAAGCAATACACAACTTCATAGTTTGAGCAAGTATTTTTTTAAAATCAAGTATACTTTTGCTAATCCAAAATTGAAAATTGATACATGACTTAACTACTGGAACAAACTTTTGAATTTGATGAATCACTGTCTGTTGATGTACTTACCGAAATAGGTTCATTTTATTATAGACTATGTATATTTCTTAAACTAATAAAAAATTTAAATCTTCATTAAACTTTTTAAAAAGCTTAATAAATTCTATAATTATATTAATCAATAATAATTAATTTTTTTGCAGAGAGTGAATGGTAGGCTTTTATTCAAACAAAGTCCTAAAATCCAACTGGAAAGCTGGAGAAAGACGAGATAGATTCCGAAGGAGAGGAGATGTCAGCTGGCTCCCAAGGCGAGATAAGGGTTGGACCATCACACCAGGTAAGCATAATCTCTTTCAATTTGAGATCGCTTTCTTAAGTTTTATTGAATGAATAATATTTTAATATTTAAAAGTTTAATTTGAAAAATTTGATAACAAATTTGTAATAAAATATGTATGAAAGCTTCAGTAAAAGTTTTAGAAAACATGTTTGAAAATTTGAATTTTGAGCTGGGGTATGGATAATCTTAACTTTAGTTTATGTTAATGTATTTGTGTTAACTCAAACTTTTGAATAACAAAATATATAATAGTTTCTTAATTCTATAGAATCATTTAAATCAAAGTTTAATGAGAAACATTTCACTTATTTAATCATTAGTTTAGAATATTTAAATAATAGCAACTTTTTTTTATAAGGCCCTATTGCCCGAGTACCGACCAGGTATTCCTCCTGGTGAACTTACTCCTGATCCGGAATTCTCCAAAGAGAGAGAAGAATTAAGATGGGTTCCAGCAATGACACTAGATATAGACCTCCTGATGTACTTGAGAGCAGCGAGGTCAGTTGCTGCTTTTGCCGGTATGTGTGATGGTGGATCGCCTGAAGGTTGTGTAGCTGCATCACAAGACGATACAACCATTAATGCACTTGATACATTGCATGATTCTGGATATGATGCTGGAAAAGCCTTACAAGCTCTGTACAAATGTGCTGTACCCAAAAATATTGAAAAAAAGTGGAGCGACGAAGAAACTGTAAGTGTTTTCATTGAATATTCAATAAAATAGTATATTACTAATAAATTTGATATAAAAAATAATCTATGCTAGATCTCCTCATAACCCAATACTTTAATAATTACAGAAACGTTTTGTCAAAGGATTACGACAGTTTGGAAAAAACTTTACTCGTATTAGGAAAGATTTATTACCTCATAAAGATACTGTAAGTTATAAGAAATCTATTGAATTCATGGCATGAAACTTTTTTGCATTAAGTGAAATTCGATTTCGGACTATCGACAGTTCACATCTAAATTTACCGATCTTTGTCAAAATTTTTGGATGATAAAATTTTGAGAAAATTGTTAAAACTATAGAATTGATTAAACATGCAACAATTTTCTGGTTTCTGGCGGTTTCATTAGAATATCATGCATAAAAGACAATAATTAACACGGCCAGCAATCTTATGCGCTGTCACTGTACCGCAATCGATTTTAACTAAACTTATGCTACATTAGTCTTTAATTTTATACTGTATCTATTTTCTATCAATTTTAAAATGACCTATGCATGACTATGTACAATCTAATGAAATTCAATTTAATTTACAGCCCGAATTGGTCGAATATTATTACCTGTGGAAGAAGACACCAGGAGCAAATAATAATCGACCACATAGACGAAGGAGGCAAAGCTCTCTTCGTCGAATTCGTAATACACGAAATTCAAGAGCTGGTACTCCAAAGGAAGAAGCAGCTGGAGCAGCCGCTGCGGCTAATTCAGCGAGCAACTCCGACGGCCAAGCCAGCACGGCAACGAATTCTAAGGAGACTAGTGCTGCTGTAGCCTCAGTCACAACGGAGCACGAAACGAACAGCAACGGCGGCGGGCCGCTCGCCGGCAGCGCTTCTGCCGCCTCCACAGCTGCATCATTGACTGCTACCATCACGACTGCCACGAGCACGAACAATTCGCAGCCGACTCAGGCAGCGACCAATAGTAACATAAATGCTGCTACCGGCGGTGAAGTGAGCTCTGTCACGGAAGATGACAATTCCGAGGAAGACAGTGACTCTCGTGATACCAATACCAACGGTGTTCCCCATACCTGTCAGCACTGTTTCTCCAATGGCTCGAAAGACTATCAAGTCACGGGCAAGGACAGATTGCTGCTCTGTGCGGAATGCCGGGCGCACTTGAAAAAGAACGGTGAACTGCCACCTGCGCCGTCGTATCTCTTCCGACCAGTGCCGGTCGAGTCTCCAGATAGTCCTGGAAGAATGCGAACGCGTAACAAAGCTAAAGAAAATCCAAGGCACTCTAGGCCTCGTCGCACTGGTGGCACAGATACTCCTGATCAAGAAAAACAACAACAGTCGCAATCTCAAGCTCAGGTTAATGATAAGTCGAAAAAATCAAAGTCTTCCTCCAAAGCGGAAACACCGAAAAAGACTCAGAAGCGAGGAAACTCTGACGAAGTTGAAGACGAGAAAGATACACCTAAGCGCAAACGAGGAGGTGACCGTACAGATAGTCCTTCAGAGTCACTTACGACTGACAGTAATTCACTGATGGATGAACCAGAGCGTGAAGCTGATAGTGATGCAATGGATGCTAGTAGTAATGCCAATATCATCATAGCCCCGGTATCGACGGTCACGAGCTCCGCCACTATCACTGCCGCTGCATCGACCAGCAGTACAAGTGTGTTAAGTAATGTGGAGCACATACCTATAAGCCCGCCTACACCACCAGAAGAGCCTTCCGGTCCACCAACGCCTGGTATTACTCCAATCACACCACCACAGATTGCAACCACAATGCAGTCACAGGCACCTACGGTTACACAATCTCAGCCTCTAATTCAAAGTTTACCGATTTCGGTACCGGTCATACATGCTCGAGAGGTCTGTATCGAAAAGAAGCCAAGAATAGACGAGCCAGTTGACATGAAAGAACACATTGAAGATATGCCAATGTCACTTAATCAGCCAATCAAACTTGAACCAGTGCCCCTCAAACTCGAGCCACTGCCAATAAAGCTTGAGCCCATGCCTATAAAACTTGAGCCTATGCAGGTGCCCATTCCGTTGGCTATGCCTGTTCCTCATGATCGAACGGTGTCCCCGCCTAGCATAAAAGATGAACCCTTGGAAGCTTCTGACAAACCACCTCCTACGCAGCAGCCTCAAGTTACGTTGCCCCCACCAACGACACAGTCGCAATTGACATTAGCACCACTGCCTTCCGGTCCACCGCCCCCACCACAGCCACAACTTGCACACAGCACATCGCAACCAACTTTAACAGTGGCCGACTTGAGTCAAAGTGGACCAAGAAATCTCTCGCATTCTTTGAGCAGTCCAATGATTTCTAGCGGCCCAATGCCGACAAATATGCCTCCAATGCCACCAACGGCTGCAGCCATCGTTTCGGGTCCAGCGCAAGTTGCCTTGTCCCTTTCGACCAATGTGGGAGCACAAGTGCATCCATTGAACATGCAGTATGGCGGTCCACCGTCAATCGTTACTGCCACTCAAAGCGTGCCTCAAAATTTGTCGGCTACTGGTATCCAAATACCACCAGGATTGCAAGTGCCACCCCCGCCAAGTTTGTTACAGCCTCAGACACATCCTGAAAATATGTCAACAAGTGCTCCACCGACAATTACGTCAAGCTTGGGTTTGCCACCTTTGCCTGGACCATTAAACCTCAATCTTTCACAAAACTTGTCAACGAGTGGCTTGCCTCCTCCACCTCTACCACCATTAGCAGGATCCCCACAACCTCTGGGTCTGACAGTCATGCAAAGCGAGAGTAGGGGTCCTCCTGAACGCATGATGCCAGATGAAAGACTTGCGCCTGAACGGATTCGGGATAGTAGGCCTTTTGATCGGCTACCCACTGAAAGAGGACTTGAAAGGATGTCACATGAGAGAATACCTCCACCTCACCAAGACAGAATGTCCGATCGATTAGCTTCTGAACGTGCATCAGGAACAACAGAAAGAATAGATGACAGAAGGGACGACAGAGATCACGAACCACCTCCGCCACTGCCTCAAAGCCGACCGGAGCCTTTGAATTTGTTCCAACCTATTCAACCGCCTCCACCACAAATGCTCCCCACGGATCGTCCTGGGCCACTTTATGGATTATCTAGAACACCTCCTATGGAGCCACAAAATCTTAAAATTAAACAAGAAATATTACCACCGGAACCTGATCCATTACAAAGCTTGAAAGAGGTCAAGGTACCGGGATTCCAAAGCGCAAGTTTTCCTGGTCCAAGTTTGGACAATATAAAGAAAGAACCAGAGGGTTCGTCGTCGAGCACGAGTTCAGCTCTAAAACCGTCTACGCCCAGTAAACATGCGTCTTCGTCTTCTTCATCTGTTACCCCGAGTTCACACATGGGCCCATTGCAATCTGTCGTAGCGTCGCCGCAACCCGGATTACCTCCGGCGCCAACATCGATCCCTCAACCGGTTATGCACCCGGTGCAGCAGACGAGTCCACACATGGCGCACCCGGCGTTCCATTCGCATCCAGCGTTAATGCATCCCTCGCTATTCGCAGCTATGCACCCGTATCATCCCCATGCGTATCCGGGATATCCAGCCGTACCGGGCTATCCAGCGTTCCCTGGTTATCCTTACGGACCGTTGCCTCATGCTATTCCACCGCCATCCCCTCAACGCAGTGAAGCCACGACAATGATGACGGCTCATCATTCAAGCACGACGTCGAGCGTCTCGACGCGTGAAGAAGGCGAGAATCTGATAGCCACTCATCATCATCATTCATCGATGCATCAAGCAACAACGCTGCATCACGAAAAGATGCTCACAATTTCGTCTCACTCTTCGCATTCACATAGTCATTCGTCTTCGTCGACGAGCCACGGTAGTAGCAATCAGCGCAGCAGCAGTTCCAATAAGCCGATGGTGTCTTCGGCATCGTGTATGTCGACTTCGAGTTCGCTACATTCGCATCATCATCGACCAGTTATATCTCATCCACCGGTGACATTAATGCCACCGCTACCCGAGCCTAAAATCGAACCTGATCTCATGGAGCCCGAACCGGAGGAACCACCGAGTCCGCGGACGGGCCCGTCGCCCGAACCGCGTATCGAAGACTCCGAGTGCCATCGCTCGCAGTCCGCGATCTTCTTGCGGCATTGGAATCGTGGAGAAAATAACTCTTGTACGCGTACTGATCTCACTTTTAAGCCTGTACCAGACTCTAAGCTAGCTCGCAAACGTGAAGAGCGTTCTCGTAAACAAGCCGAACGAGAACGTGAAGAACGCGACCGAGCGCATCAACAGCAGCAGCAAGCACAACAACAACAGCAACAACAGCAGCAGCAACAGCAGCAGCAACAGCAACAACAACAACAGCAGCAACAACAGCAGCAACAGCAACAGCAACAAGCTCGAAAGATGGCTACACCAGAAAAGCAAGGCGCTGGCGGTGCTGATGGTTGTAAGCCTCCTAGTAGAGGACCTCTTGAACCTGTGGCTTCACCATATGATCGATATGCCGCTCGACCCGGTGCTTATCCAGACACGCCTGCGTTGAGACAGCTTTCTGAGTATGCAAGGCCACATGCAGGGTTTTCTCCGGCTAGGCATCCTGGCTCTCAAGACGCTGCCATGCTACATTATATGTACGGTCCTACGCGAGAACGGATTGAACTTGAACACTTAGAACGTGAAAAACGTGAACGCGAGATTCGAGAACTCAGAGAAAGAGAGCTCAATGACAGACTTAAGGTGCGTAATACTTGTTTTCTAAAAATATTTTTCACTACTTTTATATTTTTACGCGTATTTATTAAATTAAATTTATTTCTCGCTTTGAATCAAACATTATTTTTGTATGAGAAAAACCATTTTCTTGACGATAAACAAGATTTGATAAAATATGATACCTAAAAACAAATTATTCATTTCAATTCATTTAATTTAATATTGATAGTTTGCTTTATTTAATTTCGTATTTTTGCGTTTAAACTATTGCTATCAAAAAAACATGTTTTTCCTAAATTTTTGTCAAAAAATAATATAAAATTTTCTCTCGGTGATAAATGATATTTTAAATGAAAATCAATTTTTAATTTTACCTTATTTTTTATTATAGTATCAAAAGTTTCCATTTGGTAGCGTATTTCCAACTGTAAGTCAGTGATTTATTGTATACTAATTAATGAACCAAATTTCTATTAACTATTTGCAAAACTAATTCATATTTTCATAATCATCCATATGTTACATCAATAACCATTTAGTATATTCTAATAATTATTAAAAATTTAAAAAAACGTATAATAATACAATATTTTTGTATATAATTTGCTTTCATTTATTAACATTCATTCAACTGGTATGATGACCGATTTTAACATTTCATGTATATTAACTTAATTCTACTAGTAACTCGCTTTGCAGGATCGGGCCATTAAAATATAATAGGTACACCAAATATTACAATTTATTGGTGTCAATGAAATAGTTGTTTTACCTAGATAAATATTTTGAAGCATCGAAAAAATTAGTTTTTTTAATCAAATGTTTCTTTAATTAGCATCAATAGTTAATTAATTCAAGACTTTTTCGCGGAAATTCGAAAAATTCTCTCTGAATCGATGAACAATTTATTTTAATTTATGAAATATCTGTTTGAATTTACTAAACATGCAAATTTAAACAATTATTTACTAATTTTACGTAAACCAGTTGTAAATAGCTAAATTTTTTTAGTGTGCATGAAATACATATAAATCATGTCTTACATAAATTCCTAAATCGTCTTTACATCATTATCTTTGTTCATAAATCAATTACATTGATTCTAATCAGCTTTTATATCTTGTTAAGAAAAACATATCTCATAATGTATAATTCAATCTTTAGGAGGAATTATTGAAAGGAGCTCCTCGAACAATGGCTACAACAGTAGATCCTCACTGGTTGGAAATTCATAGGCGATATGCTGCCGGTGGTTTAGCCCACCCTGGTGCCCCAGGTCCACATCAGTTTGGTCTTTATGCAGTACCACCTGGACCCAGCCAAATGGATCGAGAACGTCTTGAGAGGCTGGGTAAGTTCATATCGATTGTTATTTTTAATTTTAATGTAGCACAAACTCGGGATTGAAAGGTTTACTAGCTTGAACATCTTTGCATAATTCCGTAACCTAATGTATGAAAGTTGTCCGCTCTTTTTGTAATATTTTTGGTAAATAATGATTTATAAGGCGCGATTATACACTAGAATTTGATTATCATATTACCATGTTTTTTTAATCATTATATTTAGAAAACTTAAAAAGGCAGTATTTGTAATTTTTTAGAGCAATAGTTGACTTGAATAGTCGATAATAAAAGTAAACCTATGGATAACGTGCCTGTAATGTTCCAAATGGTATATAGAATTGTATGATTACATTTAATTTTCATGCGATGCTAGAGATAAGCTTTTATTGGTTTAGTTACATGAATATACTTAGAAGTAGAGTATGTTTTAATTTCTGATTAATAGTTTAGCCATCCTTTTTTTGCTTGAAACCTTATTAGAGTAAAATTTATTATTAAATTCATGTTATTTATGCTTTGATTTTGCACCGTATCATAATAGTAAAAAATAATTAGCAGTAGTTAGTAGTCGCGTAGTTACGAAAAATAAAATCATAAATCTCACAGATCGGAATAAGCTAAGCAAGGCATCTGCCGGAGCAAAACGCGTTTTTCGAGATAAATGAGTAAGGAAACGACCGGATCGAGAGTAGGCTCTAGTTGAAAGTAGATGTAGCAAATAAAATGACCGATGTATGTTTGTGCTGAAGCGATGATGTCGAATTTAGGCTTAGCTGCCGCGGCAGGAGCAGCTAACGCAGCGTCGGCCGCTGGAGCGGCAGCTGCGACGACCCACCCGGCGAACCATCCCCACGGATCCCTGGACGAAAGACTTGCGCTGAGTGCCGATCCAATGATGCGATTGCAAATGGCAGGCATTCCACCGGAGTATCATGCGCACACGCACGCGCACACACATGCCCATACTCATCTCCATCTGCATCCTGGACAGCAGCAAGCTGCTGCTCAACAGCAAGCCGCCGCGGCTCAACAGCAGCAACAGCAGCAGCAACAACAGCAAGAAGCTGCCGCTGCTGCTGCTGGCTTCCCTCTGCCTGGTACGTTTTTTTTCTCCTCGTCCTATCTGCACACTTCATGATGTAGTCTAGATTAAGCCGTTCGTGTGAATGATATGAATGAATTCTACGCGGCAACTTATTAATACAATTTAATATTTTTTATTAATATATTTCCGTACTAAAGCAAAATCAACCATAAACGCGTGATTAATTTTACTAAAACCTATTAATATAAAAGCCTTAATGTTGAAGAACAATTTTCAATTTATAATTGTAGCTCTTCAGTTTTATATCTTAATTTCACTACTCAATCAAATTTTTTGATTTTTCAATTTAATCCTCATATTTAAAATGACATTCAATATTAATAATTTTTTGTATGTGTTTGTAATGTTACAGCGGCAAGCAGTAATTATCCACGACCTGGTCTTATTGGACGAGAGTCCACGTTGGCTCTGCATCCAACGGAGCTTATTGGCAGACCTTACGCAGACATGGCAGCAGCACACCACGAGCAATTGCAGCGTCACCTAATGCTCGAGCGTGACCGGTTTCAAACTCACCCATCGATTGTTGCACATCACGAAGAATATATAAGGTATAATCTTGCCCTTTCCCGTATTTTCGACCAAAACCGTTGATTTTTCGTTATTGTAAAGTTGTATTCTTGATGAGTTTTATGTTGATATTGCAATTTATCAATTTGTATTATTTATAACTACCTCTGTACATATGAAATTTGATTTAATATTCTTATTAAAGTTTAATCCAATCTTACTTATTCTTCTTATTACACCATGTTTTTTTTATTTACAAACACATATCGAAACCAAAGTGAAAATTAAATTTTTCAAACAAATTTTCTGAGACTTCTACAATATATTTTTCAAAAAAGGTTCTACAGTGACTCATTGTTTTATTGTTATTCGCAACACATGGAGGCTTTTAGAAAAATATCAACATCGTTTTGATTATAGAAGTCGCTTATGTCATAATTAAGTGAATTTTATCTTTTTTTTGAAACATAATTGATTCAAATAATTTTTAATTCAAGTGTAATAAATTTGATAAACGTCTTTAATGGGCGTCAAAATACCCGTTAAACATAATATTCGAGTAAGATAAAGTTTGATGCCTTTATTATTTTAACTGTAGCGAAATAAAATAATATATTTTATAGGCAGCAACAACGTGAACGTGAGCTCAAAGTTCGTGCAATGGAAGAAGCCTCGCGTGGATCACGCCCTTAAAGGGAAGATCGAATAAACGCAACAACACAATCATCTCGTTGCTTATGTACCTAACTGTTGAAGCAAAGATGAAACGATTAGAAAAATAGGTATTATAAGTAAAGTTATTACGAAAACTCGTATAATGAAGTAAAGAGCGAAAATTCGCTTAGAACTATTATTTGTTATAAGTGTGTATGCGAATTTTTCGTATCGTACATATATTATATGTACCAGAAAATCAATTATAATGTCGAAAAAAGGAGAGCAATGCAAATCAAATTCTATTCAGTATTTTAAAAACAACCGTAAATAACATTCTCTCTCCATTTTTCTCGAAATCTTGTGAATCGTCTTTCGATTTTTAAAAAATGCCTCGTGTCATGAATAATGATAATTGATTAGTTTTATACGTTGGCTAAACTTTACGTTTCCTCAAAGTTGCATAACTGATCGTAAAAATGGAACATTAGATATATGCATATAAATAAAGGAATTCTTTAATTCTCCAAAAAATAATAAAGCGATTACGGTCGTATGTAACATGTTGATGTAAATACAATAAACACGCAGCAATTATATATATACATATTAATATAGATATATTTACAAACAGCTAGCATAGTCTAGCTTCTCTGAATATAGCGATCAATTTTTACAAGAAGCACTAAGCGATATGTATATTATTTTTTATTTTATGCGCGACTAAGGTTGACGCGCCTCAACTGGTGGCAATTTCTCTTGTGCTACAATCTCTTTTTATCCTGACGAATTTTTATTAGTTTTTCTGTGTTTGAACGAAAGAGAATAATTTAACTTGTATAATTGCCGTTTCAGGCATTATCTGATGTTAACACAATGGCAGTTTAAGTATGTCTGTACTATGTACAAACTAACACCAGTTTTTACTATTTTGTGTGAAATTATTGTTTTTTTTTAATAACTTGGTACTATAGTTTCTTTTTAAATATCAAAAAATATATTTGACGATCAATTCAATTATATATTGATTTTTTAAATATTTAAGAACGAAATCTCATTACTTAATCAAGTAAGCTAAGTTTGAGTATTTGGTGATGCATTTGCATAATAAGAATGTATATTTAAAAAATGAAAAACGAATGATGAAACATAGTGTACAATTTGATGTAAACTCATAATTAACAAGTTTAAAGTTGATTACGCTTATGTTATCATAGATCACTGAAAAAATTTGGAATACTAACTTTTCCAACTTGTGACTGGTTGATAAAATATTTGTAAACAATGCTACAAAATGACCAAAGTATAAACATTTGTAGAAATGAAGCGTTATCAACAAGCATACGTTTTGGAGTATTTCTTAACGTGCCGCAGATTGCGATCGCGCCTTTGCGTGTCAGCAACATATACAATATTCTCTAAAATGTTGAAACACTTTTTAGATAATATTTATAAAAGCATGGACTGTGCTATATCATGAAATATTCTTTCTGCTATGGACTAGGAACAATATTTTTCTGATCAGCACACGTGCAGGTTCTGTTTTCCACGAAAATAAACGATTTGCTTGTATCTTTTTAATTGAAGTTGAAAAAATCGTGACTATGTCAAAGAAAGAGGCATGTAAATTTTAAGCTTAGTTGAATGAAGAATCTAAATTAATCAAAGTATGTAAGAATGAAGAATGTACTAATAAAAATGTAATAATGATCAATTATAATGATTGACTCAGTAACGTAATGATGATGTAACTTATTCGCGACACCTTTAATTGATATTTCTTATAATTATAGTCAGGCCATATTGAGAAAAGAAAATGCGAAAACCTTTTGCAAGGTTTCACTTTTTATTCCTTGAATACCGACCTTCGCCCCCCCCTACCCCCGAGACATGCTGATACTTAATCTATACAGTATTTGATGATTTATTATTACACTGAAAGATATTATAGGCAGAGTGAATTACTTTGTATTTTAAAATAAACATTTTAAGAAGAAACAAAAATGTTATGTTTATTTATTCACATAATCCATCATATTATTCGATAAATGTTAAATACCGCTTTTATGTTTCTCTAAAAGCAAGGGAAAACAGTGAAGCCATTGTGACTCCAATTTCGACCGTACGATGTAAATATCAAAGCATTTGATCTTACTAAAATCGCTATTCGGTGTTTTTTTTTCATTCTCATAATCTACAGAGTACGAAATTATAATTTTTATACATTGTACACAGTAGATTACTCAATATCCTGAATTCATATAAACAGGAATTGATATTTTTTACTGCAGCAAGGGACTACCTTGTTTACGTATTCGCATTTCTTAGAAAATATAATGAAGTAGAGTGAAAAAAGAATGGTTCCAAATAAAGCTAGATAATGCGGTGTAAAAAACATAAGTACTGATCTAATTAAATTTTATAAATGAAATATTGGAAAAGCCTCGTAACTGTATTTAAAAAATTTTTAATTTCAAGGTCGTCTTAAAGTTTCCGAATATTTCAAAAAAATATTTTAATTTTTTGATCATCAGTAATAATGTTCTCATCATAAAAAGAGTAATAAAATATAAAGAAATATTAAAGTACTTAATCTTTTGTATCTTATGTAGTACATAAGTAAAAGAATTGAAATAGATGTCTATAATTAGTGTGGGAAATAAGAAGATCTTGTTTTAATATATTAGATTAAGATAAATCTATTAAAACGCAACACTGAAATTCTTATACCGCATAACATGCGATAACTCTTACATACAATAAGTATTAACAATACGTCCCGTTTTTTCTTTTATATAGGTAAATGTATTTGTAAAGATCCAATTTTTTATCTTTCAAAGCTTCAAAAAAAGGTATGCACTACCTTAATGGTACAGATTGATTACTAGGAAGATACAGGGAGATATGATTAATTGTAAATTTCATTAAAAAATCGTTATCATATGGATAGATATCTACCCCCTGTGTTCAAAGAAGTACGCAGTACTCTCCCGTTTACTTACACCAGTTTAAATTAGTATACGACTTTATGATTCGATCGAAGAAAAGTTTTGTTTATCCAGAGATTTGTTGTGGGTAAAATTGTGCTTTAACGAAAAATTTTTGAAACTTATAGGTACAGATAGAAAAGATGAGCAATGCTGGGAAATTGTAAACAGATTATCGAAGCTAATTAGTTTGCGTATAAATTTTTTGTCATAATCCTTTTTTAATATGCGCCTAATAAGTATCATAGTTGCAACTTAGGATTCGTCACGATCGATACGTCGATAAAGTGAGCAAAAAGCACGACAAGTGCACTCGTGTCCGTTTGATTCGGTACCCCCTTGCCGGCTACCGTAGGCGTAAAGCGTACGTGTGCAGATGATCGGCATTGATTCAACCGGTGCAGAGGTTCGATTGCAATTATCCATCGACTAATCGGTAAAAGATATATTCAAGTAAAAGCCCTATACTATGTAAGATTGGCTTGACGTGTGTAGACTCCGTAAACACATACACACGCGCGCGCGCGTGCACATATTTAGCGGCGCGCATTACATTACACTGGGACTCGCGAGATGCGTTAAGAACAGAGCGCTACAACATCTCATACAAGGCGCGAAAAGGGGCATGAACCGAAAGCGAGTAAGTATATAGTAGCAGTGCGGCTCGCGTGAGCATGCGAGAACGCCAAGGAGAGAGAGACGGATGGAATTCTACGAAACGCGAGTCTCGCTCATCGACGACTTGACGACATTCCATGAGTAACAACCTCCCTATACATACATATACACACACACGCACATAATGTGACGTTATGTTATGCGCGGTGTACTCCTGTATATAAACACGCTCTCGCACAGCTTGGATGTATTATCACTTTATTGTTTAGTAATACTCCACTGCTTTTAGGTACGGGTAAATCTACTACCCGTAATCGCATCCGGTCCTATAAATCGAATATAAATTGTAATGCATTTGGATAATACAATGCACATATCTAGTATGATGGTAGAATATAACGGCATGGATTTTTTCGTAGGAAACTTGAGAAAAACACGTGTTTTGTGAACGAGCATCGAATGACAGTCAGTGCCGTTCCACAGCAGTGAAATTTCTATCATTCACATAATTCGATCTCGACCCATCATGATTTTCTCTCATTAACGAGTTCATTTTTTAATGAACGTATCGCTTCACTCACTGTTATTAGGTATCACAGGTGTTTGAGTCGCATCATCAGGTTTCTCCGTCTGGTTAATGACTCCTTAAATACTTTTTTTTCAGTTTAACGTTAAAAATTAGCTAGCGCAATCATTGCTTGCTTGTTTATTTACAGTCCACGCGGAGTTGACGTACGAAAAAGGAACAGGACGATTCATTAATCTGGGCAATTAAGTAAGGCTCGTATGCCGCTAGGATTTTGTTTCCTTACGAGATACCTACGAGATAAGGCGACGTTCTAAGACGCTGCTGCTGTATAGCGCGCCAATATAGACGACGGGGCACCTTACACGGACACGGCTTGCGCCGCTGCGAGACTGTGTGCGCGCGCGAGTTCAGTTGCTTGTGGCCTGCACGCGCCGCGCGACACCATCGAACGCTGCTATACACTTGACCCAGAGCGCTCACTCGACGACGACGTCGTGGCCCGACCGATTCGTTGCTGTTCTCCGCGCGTTAATCCTGCGTGTAATCACGCGCTCTGCCTGCCCGCCGCCGCGCCGCGAGACAGAGTGTGATCAGTATAGTAGTGCATGTGCGCCGTTGTGTGCCTTATGTGTTGTGTCGTTCGTCGCCGTCTTGCTCCTTTTGCCGGACGCAAGCCTCGTTCCAAGTATTATCAATCATGAGTTGATGATTGTGCTGTTTCAACGCTGTGTTTTTTTTCGTTTTTGTTTGTTTCCTCACCCTTTTTTTTGTTCGTTCTTTCGTTCGCTCGTTCTGCACCAACCTGCATCCCCTTTCTTTCCCCTCGCTCGTTTGTTCGAGATCGTTTGATTGTTCATTCGCGTTTGATCGAGAGAAATACGTGTTAATGTAATTACATGTTGTTATTAGTCGTTATTTTGTGTTTTTGTGTTCCGCGTGAATAAATACGGTCAAGCTCGTCTTGTGTGCGGCGGAATTTGTTGTCGCGTCGACACGCGCGGGTCTCCTCGTTCGTCGTTTGCACGTCGATTGCCTGCGATCGATATCGACTTTCTCCCGGACAACACCACTACTACTCGCCTGACGGAGAAGCTGCTGATTTAATCGCAGTGATTCTGGCGTTCGAGAAAATCACGGTTCAGGGTCCGATTCCTCCTCGCGCTCGCACCGTTTGAGCGAGCGTCTACAAGCCTCGTGACGCACAGCTTCAGAGGACGGATATCATATTATCACCAAGGAGCAGCCATCCATTCTTGGGACAACTTGTCACTCGATAAAACCAGGTAAGATCCGTTCATCTCTGATCATTTCAAATACCATGCGTATCTACGCCCGTAACGAGCTTTCTTTGTTAATCCAATTCTGAGAAAACGTTTCGTCGTTCCGCCATAAACGGCCAAGGCCAAAACGGCATGAATAATATGTTTCAATTGTTTTTGTTACTTCGGAATATAATTGCTTCTCTCGAGAGACGACTCGTTCCACCATTGTAAACGGAAGTTATCGGTGACTGTGAGAGAGACGTTTGAAAATTTTGACTTTATTGATATGTAACCCGAAACCGTAAAGAATCGTGTTACTTGGGTTACAAAGCTCTGCATTCGAATTTGACCCCGTATTCAGCTCGATCAGTATAATGCGATTTGCTTTCCCGCCGATAGCGTGATCGTGTGCACAAAGAATAACGGACGACTTGCTTGTTTTAATCTTTTAGTATTTCTTGATTATCTTGACATTCGGACGAGGACTTTTGGGTATATCATAATTAATAAGTACGTTGAGCATCGACTTTTTTAATCATCGATGTCATTTAATAAGCAATTAACTCGTTCACTTCATTAATGAGAAATTTATTCGTTTTGTACAAAAGAAAAAAAACGGAATCTGAAAATTATTAAGGGCTTTTTTTTATTTTTGCTTTGTTTTATTTTATGTTCTTGTGATGTTTGATCAATGTAAATATTCATGGGCTTTTTGTTAACCTAAAAGTCACATTTTATTAATATGAAATTTCTCGTGCGAAAATTATCCTCTTTTCACTTTCGTTTTTAATTTCATTTTTACCAACAAATAAAACACTCAATTTTCAATCAAAGATTAATCGAAAAGCAATCCCTCGTTTGCTTGAAATTTATCAAATCTTATACATTGATTGAAATGTTTCATATCTTCATTGAGCTTGGGTAGCAATACTTTCCCCAGATGCTTGAGTTATATTAATGGTCTTTACGTATCATATAGATCCTCAGGAACCAAAAGTGTTCACATAGATAAGCGATCGTAATTACTCGTAATTAATTCTATTTGCTTTTTTTTTAATTTTTCTTATATTTAACCCTTTGATGGTTTTCTCTCTCTCTCTTTCTCTTCCTCTCCCTCTCTCCCCGTCAATTTCTCTCATTCGCTGTTAGTGGCAACTCGACAGCTCGTTTGTGCATTATCGGCGTTTGCCTACTCCGACTTAGCTACATATACACATACGCGTGTCCACCGAGACGAGCGCGCATGAGCTGCACTGACCGATAATTGTGCGCACGGACACACATACACGGGCATTTCGTCGTTGCTGCACACCAACTTTAATGCCATGGAATATTAATGCACGGTGTACACACCTGCTGCTATACTTAGGACTCGTTAAAGAACGAAACGAATTGAAATGAACAACGACGACCTGAATGAGTCATCTGCACTAGGATTGCAAGCATCGCAGACGCAAACGGACCGAGTTAAATTTTGTAATCGATTGCGTTTGACGATACTCCAATTTCAAGCTAGAACATTAATGACGAAATTGTCGACCCGAGGTCCTGGCACGAGTACCAGCAGTAATTAGTAGGAGCTGCGCAAGTAGCTAACCATTGAGGAGAGAGGGTATAACGAACAAAAGCTCGGTATTCTGATAAAGCTCGTCGGCCTTTTAATAAAGCCGCCGACTCGACAAGCTCGAAATGCGATTTTGGCTTCAGTTTTGGCGGAGGGTGGCTGACTGAGATTTTTGGGAGACTGCGTGTTGATGCGCGGGGGGATGATGCTAGTCGTCGCAAGTTGGCAAATATAGCTCGTCGAAGGATATGTATAATATCCGCGATCGTGTGCTTCTCAGGAGGCTGTGCTGCTGCGCGTGCGAGTGTCAGTGGCTCATTGTGTCTCGCGACACTCGACTATTGAGCTCTCTCTCTCTCTCTCTCTCTCTCTCTTTTTCTCTCTTCGAGTCTCGATTCGAAGCAGAAACATATAGCCCCGAGAACTTGGTGAATTGCACACTGTGATTGCTGCTGCTGCGATCGACTGGTGTGTCGTCGTCGTCGTTGTCGTCGTCGTCGCGTGCGTGTGTGCATCATATATATCTGCATCCTATACGTGTGTGTTGGCTGAGTGTGCGCGCGCGTATGCATAGCCAGCAGCAGCAGCAGCAGCAGCAGCAGTACTTGTGCCAGCCAGTGCACACACAGTGCAGCAGTTTCTGCAAGCCCCGCACGAGACAGCCGAAGCAGTAGCCCGGAGAACACGCGCTACTGCTTCTCCTCCGTTCTACTGCTGCATTAATATTGTTACTGTTGCTCTACTGCTATCTACTGCTAGTGATACTACATTGTTGCCCACTGCGTTACTAAAAAAACGTCAACTAGCTACCACTACTACTACTGTTACTACTGCTACTACTGCTACCTCTAATACTAGTACTTTTACTACTACTACTATTACCACCACTGTTAACTACTACTATTACAACTACTACGACTACTATTATTACTACTGCTACTACTATCACCACCACCACCACCACCACAACTACTACCACTACCACCACCACCACTAATAGTGCTAATCTAATACTATATAACTGCTACTGCTACAGCTACAGTTTCTGCTGCTGCAGCTCCCAATGGAATCACCCGCGCGACCATCCCAGGCGAAGATGGTAAGTCCCGTCTCTAGCTTTTTTCAACTGCTATTCTACTGCTCGATGCGAGTCAGCTTCTCTCTTTGCTCTCTATTCTTTATTTCTCTCTTTCTCACTCTATTTCCCTCTCTTATGGCAAACACATAGAGCCATGCACTTTGCTCTGTCTCTCTTTCTTTCTCTTTCGTTGCCACAAGTTTGTTGAACAGAGCTTCCGCTCGCGCGCTCTAGCTGTCTCGCAGTACTTTCGTACGCACACTTTTATATGCGCTCGGCAGTGTTTTGTTTTTCTCCCTCTCTCTCTCTCTCTTTCTCTCTCTCTCTATCTACTCATTTTTTCTCTTTGGATTTTCGCTTTTTTTCCGTTCTCCTTAGCCATCTTTTTCTCGTTCAACTATTTTTTCTTACAATTGCACACCGTTTTGCATGCTCTACGATCCAGAGCTTCGCTCCTCCATTGGATTTTCCCCGAATAGATCCATGTGCAGGCATGATGCATTGGTGAACGTATACATATATCTATATTAGTACTATACAGTTCACTCGCGCATGTATCTTGCTCTCTCGCTCTCACTGTCTTTCCCTCTCTCCCACTCTCTTCATTTCTTCTTTACTCTCGCTAAAGACTTGAGAGCTTTTTTCTCCTGTGCGTGTCATTCTTGTAATTTCTTCGTTTAATTTCTATTTTACAAGTGTAAAAACAGTGGCTCTGACAGCGAGCGTAATCTGCTGATGTCGCTTATTTTTTTATGGTAGGTATATAGGTAATATAGCTGCAGACGAATACCTGTATATAGATATACGTTTATACCTATATATTCTATACTAACGTCATGTTTGTCGTCGTTCTTTGAAGCTAGGCGCTTCTGCAACTTCAATTGTTTTTTTGTCTTGTTTATTTTAGAAGATATCTGAATCAAAGTTTTTCTAGGTTTAAAGAAAGAAGTTGATTGGTTTTGTTGGTATTGTTCGTTCATTGAAATGTTTTAAAGTAACAATTTTATGGTTTGTAATTGTGTTGAGCATGCCCAGTCAGGCTTTTTACCATTAAAATTATCTTTTGAAGCTTTTAATCAGGTATAGATTCTAGTCTATGCAATGATCAAATACATTTTTCTTCTTAACTTTCACTTGTTTTATTGTAATTAAGTAAATTCAACATTTTAAAATTTATTCTTTTCAGGCTTCATCTACTGGTGGTACCGAAGGCTCAAGTCCAGCCTCCAGTCCTGCATCAGCAGCAAGTTTAGCTGCAATGGCAGCCCCAAAATTTGGAACTCTTGTACCAAACAGAATTTTTGTTGGTGGTATATCACCAAGCACAAGTGAAGCAGAATTAGCTCAGTTATTTTCTGCTTATGGTACTGTCAAAGCTACAAAAATTATTGCTGATAGAGGAGGAGCTTCAAAGGGCTATGGTTTTGTGACTTTTGAAACAGAAGAGGAAGCTAAACGTCTGCAGCAAGAGGTTTGTCATTTCTTTAAAGCAATTTTTTTCAACACTTGTTATTTGTTTAAGTCATTGATTATTAATTATAACCTTCAAAATCTAAAATAATATGTCCATAATTTTACATCTGTGCAACATTATTATTTCATACATTACTTCATTTGTTTAAAATTATTAATTTCTTACTATCAACTTTTTCTAGTCGGAATGCATCATACTCAGAGAAAGAAAATTAAATATTGCACCAGCAATAAAAAAGCAATCATTTAACCGTTCGTTTGATGGAGGAAGTGGATCTCCTCCTGTTGTGCCGACTAGTACTTATTATTATGCTAATGGTGAATTTAAAAAAAATTATTTATAGTTATTTTATTTTTCATTTTATGATTATAATCTAAATTGTTTTTATAGGAATGGGTCTTCCGTATCAAAATGGAATGACTTTTTATAATGCAGGAGGTCCTGCCCCTGGTGCGGGACTAGCTCCTCCTACAGATCCTACAACTTTGTATCAAGCAGCAGGAGTGTTTGGTACAAACTATTTACCAATAAACTCATGTTATATTAGATAATATTTTTTTAAGTGACATGACAGTTTTTTTTTTGTACTGAATTTTTTTTCAGGGCCTCAAGCATCATCCAGTCATCAAACATTTGCACCAATGATGTATCCTATGCCAACACCTTCAATCTACATGCCACAACAATATCAATATTCTCCAATGCCTGTAAGTTATACTTAATTTCATGTAATAGTGTGTTGTTTTTTCACTTCACAAAATTTACAAATGTGTTGTCTTGAACATATTCAATTGTAACTGCAACTAGCTAAATTGTATGTGTTACCAAAGAAATAGTGATTTTTTTTCTCTATTTTGTAAATTAAAATTGAGTTGTCGTTACGGTTACAATTCAACAGACAAACAGTCTGATGGGAGAAGCAATACCACCAGCATTTCTACCCAACCCTCAGCAAATGCCTACTTACGTTCTTCTCGACGCTATACAGTATTGAGGTCTAAAGGTACATGGTTAAATGCTAAACGTGTCTTGCATGCACGTAAAACTCGCTGATGTATTCCATCTTCTAACTGCACTTGACAGCATGGCCCTATTTTAAGCATGTGACATATGGCTGATTTTTAATAATTTGATCAATTTTATTTTGAATAGCTTTGAAACAATGAATTTGACCATTATACTCACACATTATTCTATGTTAACCAATTTAACACTATTATTCAGCATAAGCTATTGAAAAGTATTATTTTATAGCAAATACTATGATTAAAAATATAATGTCATACATATTATATTAACTTGAACTTAGCAATAGTGACTATTAGAGAGAAGAAAAAAAGTTCAGAAACCTATTTTTGAACTAATTTAACCATTATAAAACATTAAAATCATAAAAGTCTTTCTAAATCTTTTGATATGGAATAGATATAGAATTGCAGAAACATTTTTTTGTTCTAATTTGGAGTAAAAACTTGGTTCTTCCAAGTTTAATGAAAATTCAAGTACCTTATCTGAAATTAAAAAAAAAAGTTAATTTATAAAATAGTATATTTTTATCGCATAACAAAGTTGTCAAATACTTGATTAAGTTGAAAATTTTTAATTTTTAGGGTCAACACAGAACACTTTTATGTTATTCACATTCAATTGATGTTATTTCTACATGTTGTAACAGTTTTTTTCATAAAGAAATGATATTTTTTTAGTATGAGCCATACTTCCCCGGGGCGGCTGCGGGTGGACCGCCTTTTATGTACACGTCAAACGGAGGCGGTAGTCAGAATCAATCTGGAGGCGGAAGCACTGGCAACAGCAGTGGAACAGGAAATGGGGCTGGGAATAATTCAACTCCATATCAAAGTCATCTTTACGGTGGAGGGCCAAACTCACATCATGCATTAACAGCTGGATCAAGTGGATCTCAGTCAGGACCACCTCAGTCTCATCAAATGGAACATATATATTACTCTTATCCTCCACCACATGTACTACCACAGCATCAGCATCATACTGGACCTTTAAACATGGCTGATCAACAACTGCTCATTTATTCTGAAATAGCTGTACCCCCACCTCAGCAAGGATCTGCCAATGAATCACTTATTAATCAAGAGGTAAATATTTATTATTATATCGCTTTTAACAAAGTAACTTCGGATTTAAACTAATGAAAATCACATAATTTAAAAAAAAAGTCGAATTAGGCCATATACTAACTCTTGAAAATTTTAAAGTCCTAACACTCTGCTGTTGCTATTTCAAAACTTTAAAAATTTTACGTCCGGTAAGAACTATCAACGCAGTTAAAATTATTTCGCGGATTTAATTATGGGATTATGAGTACGTATTCTTGCGAACACGTATTTTAATGGCTCACAACTCTGATAACGAGAAAAAAAAGTAGAAAAGGCTTTATGTTAAAAGCAATACTGGTACTTGCACAGGAGACTCATTCGACATCGAGCCACCTCTCAGCGGAGCATCATCGAAGCGGCAACAGCAACGTGACCTCGGACAGCGGGGGCGGTGGCGGTGGCGGAGGCGGCACAAATAACACGAACGCCCAGCCACCAGATCCGTCGTCCGCTGGCACCGGGCCTCATCCCAAGTATCCTCGCTATCCCTCCGCCAATTTCCACCCCGTGAGTAACCTTCAGGAGGTTCCACCCCCTCCAGCCCCTCTCGCGCACAGCGCGCTAGACTTAGCCGAGGCGCAGTCGAGCGAGCAGAAATCTAGTCTGCATTACCGCGGCCTGGCCATGTATCCACAAGCCGTGTATCATACCCAGTACCCCAGTCAGGCAACTAGTCTTCTTCCCACTCCCTCCGTACAGCCGCATTCCTATCATTCGTCTTCGACGGGCAAGTACCCCAGAGCTCTTATGCAGGGCTCGGGGCCTGTTTACGGCAAGTCTTACATCAGTCATCCACCGCCTCAGTCGCAGAAGTATCCGCGGGTCTCGACTCCTCCCGCGCGTCTGCAACAGCTCGGCCGTCGACCCTCGGCTCCTGGTCCACAGCAGCAACAGCAGCAGCAACAAAAGCAACAGCAACATCAGCAACAACAGCATCACCAACATCAGCAACAACAGCTGCCGCCAACGCTATACGTGCATAAACCAGCCGCTTGTCAGTTCGGGGCGCGATCTCTCGCGACAGGCTACATCTATCAACAGCCAATTCCCGCACCGTACGGACCCAAGTATGGCTTCGAGTACGCGCGAGCCGAGCGTCCTCAGCGCAGGCTCAACGTGAACAACTACCGTGGCTCCAACCTCACGATGAGCTCCGCCGAGCCCGCGAGCAAGGACATTCCGAGTAGTGTTAAACAGCAGCCGCAACAACAGCAGCAGCCACAGACACAAGCGCAGCAATCCGATAGTAACGCGAACGTAACTGCTTCCGAATCGGGTGACGCGATCGAAACCGTTGATGCAAACAGCAGCGCACTCGCTACCACTAACACACCGATCACTTCGAACACGAGCCCCGCGAATACGTCGTCGAATCCTAATCCGAATCTCTCACCATCTCCCAATCCCACCCAGGTCCAATCGTTCGGCAGTCAGCAGCAACAACAGCAGCAGCAACAACAACGCTTCAATGGTCAACGAGGGCCAGGCAGGTATCCACCGGGTGGCGCTTCCGGAGTACGTGGAGCTCCTAAGTCCAGCGCAGTGCGCCAGTCCAAGTTCAAGATCAACGGCGTTAACCCAACGACCACGGCGACGTCAACGGCCGGATCGGTGTCAGCGGTGACAACGAAGCAGCAGCAAAGCGAGGATGCAGGGGGCGGCGACGCTCCGGTCTCGATAACGAGGCTTCCTCTCACACCACCAGGAACGCCCCAGCAGCAGAGTCCTAACAGCGGTGTTATCGGTAGCACCGAGCAACAAATTCAAGAGTCGTGCCATCAAATTCAGGCTCTCAGTCTTTGAGCCTACATCTCGAAAATAATACGCTTCGCTCTCTTCCTCTTCTCTTCTCTCTACGGTTTCTGTTATCTATCTACATACAATTTCAAAGTCAACGCATCGTACTCGACTGTCGACGATGATCGATTCAACCATCGCTTTCGTTTCCTCTCGATTCTGAGCTCGATGGCGATGGCGCGTCATCCGCTCTCAACGATTTCTACACGAAGAGAGAGGAAGAGAAAGAGCAGTCTCGGGCAAGTATGAGTGTATATTTACGCTAGCATGTTTACGAGCCTCAACGTCTAGATAGAGCGCTCTCGCAATTATTTGTGCACGCGATGTGATCTCAAACGTACTGCGCAGCGAATGTCTGATTAATCGTTAATATATACATATTCATACCTAAATATGCCCACACACGCACACACGCACGCATGACGTAAATATGAGTGTACATATATTTACAATAAATAAATGAAGAAATGAACGTATATACACGTTATACACGTTATACACGTTAACACGATAATATGTATCTATCACTTACGTTACAAGTGGGTGTGTGCGCGCGTGAAACAAATGACGAAGATAATTATTATATTATACACTAAAAAATATATTATACAATATATTATTATATATCAAGATATATATTATGTATAAGAATGTACGTGCAGCGTGTGCGCGTTCTTTTACTGCGCGACACATGATATAAAGATGAGGATGTTAAAACGTTCCATCGAACAAAATCTCGGTGACTTGTTGATTATTTATTAAGCGATCATAACTATAACGACGAATTAAAAGATTAATATATTCAAATTGAGCGAGTGAGAGAAAATTATAAAACTTCATGAACGTTAAATATTAAAATGATATGAATTGTGTATGTGTATACACGAGTAAAAGTTAAAATATTCTAGATGTAATGAAGGCACGATGTATACAGAAAATACTTAAAAGATAGTATACATGCATACCATGTACTAACTCTCACGAACTTACACGGGTAAAAAATCGTAATACAATATTATCAGCAAAAATTCGATTTTTTTTTCATGTAGACAAAATGTATAAAAACGCACTTACGTGTGTATTAACGATGTCGATTACGCGTACGTGTTAAAAGTCTCGAAAAGTAACGTGACGTGCTTGCGTGTAATAATGCATGAATGAGCGATAACAATAGGTTCGACTGTTAAAAAAAAAACATAAAAATAAGAATCTCACGAGAAAGACTATATACATAGACGGAACGTTTTAGAGGCAGATTCGAAGAAGCGTTATCGCGCAAATACACTCGCAAATGCACGTAAATTTATACAAATACAGAAACATGCACACACGATTACGAACATTCAAAAATTCAAACAATGCAATACACACATTTATACATGATTGTGTTGAAAAATTAAGAGGTCTTTGCGGTTGATCGAGAGGACAATTACATAGTTCGTTGATAAAGTAAATACAGTTGCTCAAAGCACTGCCACATTCTTTTTTTCTACGAGAAAGATAGTCTATTGTATCGAACGTATTATCTTATTATTTGCACTGAATTTGTCATTTTCAAAACCATAAAGAAACAGCCAAATATTAAACATTTTTCTAATCTATTCGCTGTAAGAAATTGTTGTATGCATCGCTTGCAAGATTGATCATGTGAACAATCTATTGTTACAAAAGGTTGAATAATTAAATATTACTTTGTAGTATCATCAGTCGACCTATTGTTGATTACAATATGGAGGTTTTGTTTGCGATTCCATTCTCAGTTTCAATTCAATTCTTTAAGAGAATGTAGAAAAGTAAGCTAAAATATTGAAGCCCCGTGTTAGAAAACGAATAAAATATATTTAAAAGTGTGGCGGATTCAAATGTGTTGGCTGTGAGCTTCCAAGCGAATAACAATAATTAAATTATTATAATATTGTAAAAGTTATATGATATTCTACCTAATTGTAACGAATACGAATTTCTTTTTTCAAAAAGTGGAAAATTTATTAGCTCGGTCTTAAATATGATAACTCGAGCATTGAATACGTGAACTGGATACATTATTGCCGATTAGCAAATTAAAGGTGAAATATAAGCGTAATTTTCAAAAAATTTAAAAATGTCAAGAAAATGCGGAAGTTTCACCGTGAAATTATAAACAAATGAAACTTAACTCGTGTTTACAAAGACTAAATGACAATTGCAAATTTACAAGGCCTAGACAGAATTAGAAATTGAGAATTGTTATAAGATTGCAAATTTATTAAATGAAGAGTGCCTTCTATTTGTTTTTGTGATTGTACTGTTGAACGTTTGTTAAGTTGCGTTCCCAGAGCCTCTAAAGTTGTTATAATAAATGAAAATGATAATCGTTGGAAGAATGTTGTTCCTCTATTTATTTATTGATTTGCGTACCCATTGGCTGGATTTCTGTAACTCAGCACATTTGGGAATTCAAAACTACATGTTGTTACGTTGGTATTGACGATTTTTGTAAGAAACAAGCGAGAACAAATAACAAATTAAAGATGATGCCTAAACGTAAGCAGCTAAAATGTATAATACTCTGAGAAATTGCTAACAAAAAGTATTGTTGAACATGAAGCAGTGGCTTATTTCGGCATCTATTACTCAAAGCGTAATTTACTCATTGGCTGAGTTTTCGCTGCTATTAATCCAATGGACTTTTTAATCAATATATATTTTCAAATTAATCATTTAAAAATGACATTTTATATAACACGTTAATTCTATCGTTGATGAAATATTTCTGCTAAGAGATACATTAAATGTTGAAAAACTGATGATAGAAGATGCGTTTATGTTTGACTTGTATAATGAAATTATTCAGAGTTTTGGCTTGAAAAATTATACTTCGAAAAATATTTTTGGGTAGTGAAAACACGAGCTATAGTGAATTGGCTAATGTTTTTAGCAGATTCGTGCAAACTCAGTCAGTTCTTAGCAATATTCTAGTAATATATGCCGTGGGGATTCAGAGAACAGATGAAATTTGTGTATTTATTTTATAAAAATTATTTGTGTGAATTTACCCTAATAATGAGAGAAGTGGCTGTGACTTTGCGTGTGATTGATTGTACACATGGATTACGAATGAATCTATTTGTATGAAAATACCCCTGAAGGAGAAAATACATTCATAAAATATATAAACGAATGCAAAGAGCATATACCAATTTCAAAAATTATAAGTAAAGTTTTCGTGTTAAATTTAGAACTTACTTGCGATCACGTTTTCAGAAACGTTGATAATTGTTAATTGTTATTCTCGAGCAAGTAAATCCTAAAATTTAACATGAAATAATTTGATCGTGGTGGTATATATATTAGCTTACAAATTAAAATATCTAGTAATATAATCTTAAAAGATGCTAGAAATATAGTGAGACATGATAATATTACAACCAATGTGTTACACACACTTGGTGATATGTTTCCGTTAATGAAACTGAAAGTATGTTTCATCCAAACGAAAATGAAAAACGCATTAGGATATTTAACTGACTCGTGAGTGTAGGCTAAAGTGGACAAAAGTTGAGTACATAACTTCTAAAAACTATTTTCTTAACTTTGGTTGCCCTCTTGAACTCCCGAGTTTTTTTCACCTTGATTTACTTATAGTTTTTTATGTAAATTAAATTACGGCACAATGTATATAAATGCTAACTTGCATCGAAAAGTTTGATATTCAGCAAACATTTTGTAAGTGGCTAATCATCAATGAACATGAACAATTTTAAATGTTTATCGAAATTTTACTGTCCACTTTACGCTAGAGTTATATAATTCTTTACAGTACTATTAATTGATTTTTATAATTATTCAACCAAAAAATATAGTCAAAACCTTAAGTCACCTCGTCGGAAATTGGTTTTGAAGATTATAAAAGTCATATGTGTATTTTGCCTAATAGCCATACGGACTTTTAAGGAAAATTTAAAATATATATGTATGAAATAACTTTGTTGAACGGAGTCAACAAAAATGATCATTTACAGAGGAGTAAGTGCACGAACGATTGTTTACTTTTTTCTAAAAGAAAAAAAATTGTTGACATGATTCCATGTTTACATGAGAATTCATAAGTACCTTGAAGCCATATCCTTATCTCTATTTCCTTCATAGCCAAATTGTTAATCATTATCAACCAAAGATAGTGTCATCGATACTGTTAATTATTGTCTAATGATTCACTGTTGAAAATAATTGAATGAACGTTTTACATAGAATAATATATTTTTGATCGAAAAAAATTGAAACTGCAGACACTAGAAACCAACCGTAATTATTAAAAGGATATTCATGGATTTGTATATCTCTATAATTTACAGCATTTAGACAAATTTTAAAAATAGTTGAGAAAAAATTTTAATAATTTAGAAGTACATAAATACAAAAAAATATATCTTTTATAAATAAATTTTCAGTTTTCGTTGGAATTGTAGGACTGAAAATGTAGATTTTCGCAATTCGTTTTATAATGAAACAGTGTTATTGTTACTGTGGGCTTCGGAAATTATTCATAATTTATAATCATTACACACTTTCAGAACTTTATTTATTCATAAATTATCCTTTACATATCGAAAGACTTAGAAAACATTGTATAAAAATACAATTATATATCAGCATTTTTACAAAGATAAAACGTGAATTTGACATCATAGTATTTGATGTTGATCGCTTTTGACTAAATTCATCAAAACTTAAATCACTACTTGTATGATAAAAATATAAAAACTGTTAAAATTATAAATATCAATCAGATTTTCAAAACTTATTTCCATTAATTTAAAGATTTTATTTGTACCAAATACTGTTAAAATGCATCGCTCATGCACGAAACTCCGTAAAAATTGCGCATGTATGAATGTATAATTCCGAAATATACATCATGTAGATTTATGATACAAAAGTATAAAAATAAGGTCTAAGTGATCTTTAATGATAATAAAAATACGCATATATATGAAAAAGAATACATGTATGTATATATACAAATATGTATATATATATATTACATTAAAGATGCATATATATTAAACCAATAATTAACTATCATGCATAATAAATGAAAATAAATAAAAAATAACTATGTAGGAAAAGTAATAACGAAATTAAAAATGAACAACTCCGCATAATTATAAATCAATGGAAAATTTGGTGGAAAAATAAATCTCATCTAAAAACTAAGATGTAAATGATGAAACAATGAGTTTTCTTTTGCTATTATCTTTAAAATGAATGATTCCATTAATATAGAATCTTTATTTTTTAGTCTGTAATACCTTAGTTTATTACAAATATTCGATTACATGTTGACACATCACATTGTAGAGTATTTTTATACGAAATTTTTTAGGTATTTTTTAAAGCTTTTTTCATTTTATTTTTCTTTTATTTAGTTACGAAAATTTATTGCATCACAATACATAACTTCTATGATAGTTAATAAGTAATGACACTTATTAAGTAATCTTAATAAATATTGAGAATTTATAATTCAAATGAAATAATATCTGAACTACAAAAACACTTCAATACATCCTTTTTATAAAAACACTATAAAATCATTTAACAATAGATACATATAACAAAGATTGTTGATTAATCTTCTCTTATTTACACATGTATAATACAAATTAAATAACATCATTCAAAAATTAAAAAAAAGAAAAATTGAATTTTTTAAAGTAACATAATTTATACTCTAAAAGTTATATTATTGGAATTTTTTTTTCTTTCATTATAGATATACTGCCATTCAAAACAATTTTGTTTACTAACATTTCTTGCTGTAGATTATCAAAAATGTAAAAATGCTCAAACTATAGGCAACACTTTTCTACAATAAAATTAGTAAATAGTTTTATAGTATAAAAGTGAAAAACGATAGTCTTCTGGAAGGACGAAGGCAAATTTATAATTCTGTTATCATATGTGATGTTAAAGCTTGAACTCTTTTTGCATTACAACTCTTACATAATACATGATCATCGAGTGGATAACATCCTCCTTCATCATCGGAGTATAAAACAAGATTACAATCTTCACACTTGTAACATTGAATGTGAAAGCTTCTATCTAAAGCCACTACGCGGACAGTTTCATCTTCTCCTGGCTTAGGCATAATTGGTTCTTTGCATACACAGCAACGAGGAGCAAATTTCCTACAAAAGAATGCATTATATATGTGATATAACAGAAAAAATATAAATCGGTTATCCAATACTCACTTATGAAAACATTGAATACAATGAATTTGGTTGGTAGCATCAACTGTGAATGGAATGCCATCTAAACTCTGCCCACATACAACACAAGTAAAGCATGATGGATGATATGGTTTTCCTGTTGCTCGTAAAATTCGATCTAAAATTGGTAGAGTGCAAACGCAGCACTTCTCTAGAGTATTTAAATAATCATCTTCGCAATGTGGCTTTCCTTCAAGAGAATAAAATGGCTTGCCTTGCAAATTTATGTTACAAACAAAACAGCAGAAGCAATTTATGTGAAAAACTTTATCCATTGCTGAACAACCTGTGCCTTCACCTTCAACTCTTTTACCACACTGTGCACAAATTCCATATATATCACTATCATCACTATTGTCTTCCATTCCTTGAACCAACAGGTCAGTCAATACATCAACCTATGCATAAATGAGTCAGTGACATCAATTAATTAATTTAAACATTTTTTCAAATCAACAACAAAGTATTTGTCTCATACTTCTTTCACTGAAGATACTTTTCCCTGTTGTTGAGATGCTGAACCATATCCAGAATATACAGAATAATTGCACGACAGCTGTGACGGTGGTCTTGGATTTATTGGCTCATAAATAGATTCATAGGTAGAACTTGATTGAGAACTTGGACCATATATATCATTAGGATATGATTCAGATGGAAAATCTGTTTGGTAAGTAGCACATCTTAATTCACTGTAGCTTGATGAAACAGGGCTAGGAGGAGGAGGAAGTTCTTCTGGTGGAGGAGGAAAGGAACTACTTGGTACACAAGTAATAAATTCAGAAGACTCAGGTGGTGGAGGTAATTCATCTAAAAAATCAGGGGTTAAAACAAATTAAACAAATTAAAAAAACTAAAAAAGTTGAAGTAATTTCATGAGGTCAAAAAGGATAAAAATAAAAAATTAAATCAGGAAAAATGGAATTCCTTGTATGCATGAACATAATGTTTTCATTATTAACTATAGCTTACCATTAGAATTGCCTTGTGAAGGTACATTGCAGTAAGTATTTTCTACTTTTGAGTTATTCCATTGAATATTGCTATATACAATATCTTTTTCTTTTTGAATGGGTTGAGGAACAGGTATTGGTACTGCAGGCTCGATATTGCTGTAAACAGCATTTCTTGTTGAATTGTGCGATCTTTCATTTAATACTGGCACTTGTGGAGCTGGCAAATTACCAATATTGGAGTAAACATTTTTATCATCATATCTGTAAGCTGAATTAAATTTTTCTCTTGGTTCATTTGAATAGAAGTTCTCACTGTTTTGATAACTAATTGATGAATTAGTTCCATTAAGTGATGTTTGACCTAAGTACTCATTTTTATTCAAATTTTGAGGTGTAAACGGAGCTGGAGTATTCATATACAGATTCGATGTCTTTTCATTAGCACCAACATTATTAAGAACTGTACTGTAGGATGGAATTGATGCAGCTTTTATAGTGTAACTTTGTGGTACCTAGAAATATTGTTAGTACAATCATCTTTAATATGATAAATATTATTTTTGAGAGCAATAAATTAATAGTATATTGATAGAAATTAAAAAGTTGAATTTTTTTGAGATTTAATTTACCTGGGGTATAGATTTTTTAGGTTTTGGTGGAACAGCTGGTCCAACCTTTTTACCAATTTTGATTGTTTTTACAGGGCTCCCATCATTGTTTAATTGCAAATTTGCAATTTCGTGTTCCAAATTACCAATATTGGCCATTTTAATTCAATACAGTGAAAAAATTTCTAAAACATAAATTTATTTACTATATAAAATAAAAATATTGATAAAACATGAAGTAAAGGTTTTAATAATTGAAATTTGCTGGGTTAATAATATACCAAGATAAACAGCAATAAAGAAAAATAATATTAAGATTATTGCAAAGATTTCAAGTAAAATAGTTCCTTTTAAAAAATGTATCCAACTATTATCCTGTTTATATTCAGTATATTCAACAGATTAGCGAAGTAATATTTTGTAGAATAGGATTGTTGTAATTTTGATTTTTATTATGTATTCAAAAAGTGGTAAAATGATGATTTTTTAAATATTACTCAATTTACTGAATGACACACCTTTTAACATTAATTGATGATGAAAATTTATAATAAAAAAATTTTAGGAAAAAATGTTAAAAGAATAAGAGTAGGAGCACAAAAATCAATAAGTTGAAGAAAGCACTTCAATATTCTATAGATTGGCTAAAGGGCAAAAATGAGTGTAAACTACATATGTTATAATGGGAAACTCCTTCAGCAAAATAAGGAATTTAAGAACAAATACCTGCAGGTATTTAACAAATGCAGCACTAAAAGTTGCCGCCGGTATTTTCAAGGTCCCGTGCAATCAATAAATATTTAAAACACCCAATTTTACAAAGATAAGCGAAGACGTTTCTGGATTCAATCTTTACGTGCAGCAAGTACTGTAAGAGATTTTTGCTGAGTGTGTAATCGATGACTCAGAAATCTATATGTCACACATCGCAAGCAATATACACGCACCAGTACAGCTGTTATTTGACAGCGACTCGAGAGGAAAATCCGAAACTCATAACCCTTTGACAGTACCTTGGATGTCGATTATAATTCCTAATGACACCGCCGACAAGCCCACCGACAACAGTAAACATAAGGCGCTCTAGCGACTTTTGAGAATTCACTTTTACACTGGTCAAGCGGTCATATAATTTTTCGCCGCTTCCACTGCGGCAAAGCGTTTAGCTTGCCTCATATATATTTAGTCGTCGGTAAATTGTTGTTATACTTACTTGTATGTGTATGTGCTGATGCGTGTATGCAGTTGTATATGTGTATTCCTCACCAGTCACTGTGCAGTGTGCAAGTTTGCACTGTGCACAATATCTCAACCAGGCTTCAACTGGCTCTTTGGCTATACTAATGCTATGTGGTGTAAGGTATCTGTGTATATGCGAATCTTTGTATGTACCGTCGGTGTTGGTATTAGTTTTGAGTTTTGCCAATGACACATGCATTACCTGGCGCTGCCTGTTATGTCAACCAGAGTTGACGATAAAATTGTTGGCCAATTCAACGTTTTGTATTGTGTATATTTTCTTTTGCTGTTTTATGATTTTGTAAATATTCTGTGAATTTGGCCTTGTTTTGCGCAATGTTAATACACTTAGTAAAGTTATTTGAATAACGGAAAGTTTATATTCGAGGAAGAATAATTTAGCATTTGCAGCAAGATATTTTAAAAATTTTGAGGAGGTTAAAAGTTACTCGAACATAGACATTATTTCCATGTGAATAAATTAACAATTCACCTATTTTATATTTTTTTATAATAATACAAATGTATGTTGTTTATTACCTAGACAAGTGAAATCCTCAAAATTTAGTGTTGACCTAAAATTCAATTTAAATATGTTTTTTTCTGTACTATTTTCAAACCTTTTATAAATTTAATTTGCATTATTGCATAATTTTCGTACATTTTAATAAAACAAGTTAAAAACTATTTTTGTGAACAGTTGATGAAGATACACAAGTGAACTGAGATGATAAGGCTTTACCGTTAGATATTCTTATGATTTTTTTACTTGTAAGTGGATTTTATTTATTTAATTAGCTGTAATTTAGACAAAAAATTAATGCCTATAACTGCTTTGTAATAAATAATTTTTAATTGTGTAGAGTAACTGCATGCTATAATTTCACACACAATTATACTCAAAATTAATGATACATACATATGTAACTACTTAAGAAGTTGTGAAGTCATTTATGGTTAAATAAATTAATGAAAGCTCTTTAATTTATTACTAACAACTAACCAGGTGATGAATCTGGTGTGAAATGTTGGCATGATTATTTGTACTCATACAAGACAATTATGAATATTTTTGCATGAAAGATTTTTATATTATTATCCTTTTATAACTTTATTATTAAATTGAAAATAAAAAATTATTAAAATAAATGGTTTTATTGATACACTTAATTTGATGTATAGAATTATTTCATAACAAAAATTATGAAGATGCTTTGAATAATTTTGAAATTTTAATGAACCCACATAAGCCTTTTGACATTTTGAAGACTTTTTATTCAATTCTTAAAATCTTATAAAATATTGTCAATAATTAAGAATAACTTATGCAAAAAATAATGAGAATTACACTATAATTCTTTTCTGCTATTGTTTTAAGTACATTCATGTTTTTCTATGATTTGAACTTTTGGGTGTTATTGATGCTATTTACATGAATTTTTGGATAGGTAAATGAATATTTTCATTAATGTATTGATTCTGTGACTGTTTATTATTCTCTAATTTTTAATGCTAATCTCATGTTATAACTTGAGCCATGCGCAGAAAAATGACAAAAATTGTATTGGTAATGAAATATTTTTCCGCTTAAAAAATTGTTCATTCTTCCTAAAATGAATTTGAATTTCGACATAATATTTATCTCTACAATCATTAAATATTGTTTCAGAAAAAAATGCGAGACGGAAAGCTCGTATGTTATTGAGATATGAAACACGCGAGTCGAAGAAAAATAGAGCCTAAATTAATTAATAGAAACGTGCGTAATTTTAAAGCGATCATTGATTTTATGATAAAACGTGCGTTATGTCATTGGCAAATATTTAATAAACTTGCGTTAAAATACTGTTATGATAAAATTATTTCTAAAAACTAAATTTTTTTAAACAATTTACAATACAATTTATTTTTTATGATGTCTGATTTGTTAGTTGGATAAAGTAGTTATCATTTAATTATTGTAAGGTTCTTTTAAAATAGTAAGTACTATCTTCTATTGTAATTGGTATTAAGATAATTCACAATTTTATGAAGTAAACTTATCAGTATCACGTAAAAAGAATTAGAAATAATTAGTTCTTTACATGGGTAATACTTTTTAATCTGTTTATCAATCAAAGCAATAAGCGATTCTATTGTTTTCACCGCAGGTAGAAGAACCATATCTTTTCGTCAATTTTACGTACTTGTTTCCTTAGCAAAAATTCAAGTGCTATGATTATCGTATCAGTTTCATTTTAAATGCTTTTAATTGTTCGGTAAAAGTAAACAATACCTCCATTATTATTTTCATCTGCATTAAAAAACTTTTGCAAATTTTTTTTTCTCGCCATGAAGTATTCTTCAAATCGATTTACAATATTTTATTATAAAAATAACATCGAACAGTTGGTCACGTGCGTGTATGAGCTGCGGTTGGAATGCTCACGTACTTTGATATCTAATCATTTGTAGTAATTGATGTAGATATGAATATACGTGTCAAACTTCACCGAACATTGTATCATTTTAATTTTATGGTGACACTTTCATATTATTTATAATTATTGATTAAATCCAAGCTTACACGATAATTATAAATGCAATTAATCTTTAGGGCTTTAAAAAAGTAAATTATCTCAGCTGGTAAATCGTTGGATTTATAGATAATCTGAATCCTTTTAATTTTTGTTCTAAAGTTGTTGAGATGCAATTTTTTCGATCAACTTTAAAATTCAAGTAAATTTATATCGTTGTGAATTTTTGATTTTTCTCGTTCGATTTTAGATTTAATAACATTTTTATTCAATTATATTGTTTCCATTTCATTTGTTTGTTTTTCATCATTTCAAGGTTAGAGCCATAGAAGTTGAAAAATTAAAATTAGGTCAAAAATCGAGACAACATAAATATTTATTGAAAATATTATGCTCAGAAGCGTGCCATTTAATTAAAGCACCTGCGTCCTGTCTCACTTGCTTAAGAATAAAAAAAATTTACTGGAGACATCATTTGCTTAAAAGTCTGGATTTCCATTTTTATTTTAACTTTCCTGATTAATTACTCTGGTTAAATATAGCGTCGATAACAATCAATAACGAAAACTTTTTGTTTTTCATCAAGAGAAAAGCCATTGTATTGTCTAGTTTATTCAAAACTGTTGATAACAAATGCTTTTATCGCGCATATTCTGTAAGCAAATTTCGAATCTTGCACGTTGGATACAATTTTTGAAGATATAACACTTGCTTTGAATAAAAAAAACGTCATTTGTGATATTACTTTCAATTCAATCATTTATTAATTGTTGAAGTCAATAAGAATTTGACAACTTTTACTTTTCGACGAAATCTCGGGACATGTTATTAAGTATCTGAATACAAACGTAAGATTATAACAAAATGCACAGTAAATCATTTAACAGGTGTAAAAAAGTTAAGTAAAGCTATCATCAATCGAATCAGTAAAATTATTCACGATATTCAAGTTGAATGGAGGGTTCTCAAATTAAAGATTGAAAGTTTTTTAACGGGATTATGCTAGATTGAGCTGTTTCATCGTAATTATGATGAATTAAAAAGGGTACTTGAGAAGGAAGATATTGCCACCTAATTATTGAGTAAACGATCAAAGCTGTTACGTGACTCTATTGAAAACCTTTAATGGGTTCTTAATAGGTTCAGAATGTCATTAGCCATTACAGGGCTAAGCTCATCCTCCAAATTCCATATTCGCTCGATTCGAGCTTGAAAATGGCCGTGAGTAGCGCATCGCTGTAATCCAACATACATATGTGCAGTAGCTCTTGTTATTTATCTCATTCCGAAGAGAATCAACATGAAATATATACACACGCAGCCGCATACAATTACTCGCGCGCGTACACACACGTACACAGGCTTATAGCGGCTATACAAAAGATAAACGATTGAATAATCGGCTAATGAGAAAGCTACTAGACTGGAATCACGGCTCAGGCATCGAAGATGAAGAAAAAAATACTCGTAAGATAAAATGCCCCGCCATGCGTGTATATAGAGAAGCGGGGCGGGCTAGCGTCCACTGATAATTTTAACATAAATCGTCGCGTGTGGGTCTAGTGTGGCAGCATTTAAGTACGACGCGTCGTGGCCAGCACATCGTTCGTGTTCCACCGTCTCGGATCGTTGTCTCTTAAAAAATCTTGCTCGGTACTTTTCGGAGCAGCGCCTGTCCGCTGCTAGTAGTAATAGTTAGTGCGCAGAGTTAGAGTGCGAATAAGAAAAAAAAAACGAAGAGTGAGTACGAATAGTTTTTTTTTAAGTGAAGATATACGGCTTTTCTTCTTTTTTTTTCTGCGAGTGCCGTGTACGAAGCGCGTTCTCAGTTGCATCGAGATATTCGATCGAGCGATCATCGGCTTTCATCGACGTCTTCTGCGGCTTATCGTCGAGCGTTGCCGATAACTAATTGTGGACTTTCGACACGCGGACGCTCGATTTGAAAAGTTGTGAAAATTAATGCGCGCCGATTCGCGCCGCATCCATAAAAGTTTGTGCGATAGAACGTTATCGAATACATTGGCGTGAATCATCGTCCGCAGACGTCTGAAAATTTGATCATCGTGTCTGTTCGGTCTGGCGCTTCGACGTGACTTTTTGATTCGTCGAGCCGGAAGTGAGCATGTGGTTCGATCGTTTCCTCGCGCGCTTCCTCGGTCATTCCCGTGCGCCTTCATTTGCGTACGCGACTTGGAGCTTCGAGCCGTGAGCGACCTCGTGTTCGCGAGTTGTCGTCGCTCCGCGAGCTTTCAAATCCGCGATCGTATATTCCGTTGTATACGCTATCTTCGAGATTTGAACGAATTGAAAATCATCGCACGAGCGTGCCAACGAGTTTGCCGAGAGTAGTAGTTATCGCCATTATTTCGCGGCCAGCTGACTCAGTCCACTCATTCTCCTCTTGCCGATCTTTTTAGCACACGATTCAGACTTGATCGATCACTGTCGGGCTATTCTACGAAGCTTCGGTCAACAGATTTTTCCATCGATAAATTCCCCGCGGATCTCATGCTCATCTGCAACTTTTTGTACTACACCTGTACGAAAGGACGAGCTTTGCATGCAACTGTCGAGTTTCGCGAGTACATTATCGTCTGCAGTTGTCCTTACGTAAGAGCCCGTTCGCCGACTCTTACACGCTGCACGGCTTACGATGCGCTAGAAATTGGCCGCACGGCTCTCACGTGCAGTTTCGCTGCTTTTGTTTTCAAAAATGGACGACTACGTTCGACATAATTTGTACTGGTGTAAGGAGCAATCGAGAGTCACGCCAAGTCCTCGGCGCGCTCACTTACGCGGTGCCAATAAACTCTCGGACGCGCGCCGCGAGTGTGAAAAGTTAGATAACTTATCGGTCTCGTGCGCGCTTGAGTACGTCTGGCGCGCGATGCGCTCGCGGTAGCTAACTAACTTTGCCTTATAAAGTAGAATCATTTTTTTTCCGTTTCTTCGCGCTAAACGCGTCACTGCGAGGCAAGCCCGTCCGCATTGTATGTGTACGTATGTGGATGTTGGCGTGCAGCGGCAGCTATTGTTTATGTTGCGCACCCACACACGCATGCTTATGAAACAATAATCTTAAAGATGTAACTCGAATGTGTTTAATTGATAAATTAAATGTTTGTTGGCAGTCGACAACCGAAGCCCGCGATGCATTCAAGACCGGACAACGGATTTGGCGCCGGGGACGGAGGCGCGACGCAGGGCTCGGACGAGCTCAAGAGTAGCCCAGGCGCGAAGAACAGGAACGGAGCCAGCAACGGCGACAGAGCCACCGAGAGCACCAACCTCAACGCTCAGACCTACTTCGCCGAGACGAGAATTCCCATTCCGGAGATCGAAAGCGTGAGTATATTGTGCGATCATTGCGGAAAACGTGTGCATACGAAATCGATGTTTATTGCGTCGTTAAAACGCCACGTAGAGCCTATTGAACAAAGCTCGCGGGCTGAATTTTTTTTTAACATTCATTTTCCTCGTGGATTTTCCCGATGATCCGAGGATTCCGATTCACGGAAAACCGTCCTATAATAAATGCAGTTTCGATTAAAACTTTGGAAAACCATAACGTAAAAAATAATGGCAAGTTTGAAAATGTGACGTGATAGCGATAAAGCATTCAAGTTTCGGATCATCTTCTCAAGTTCTCACTCTCTTTTTCTCGCTGTCGGATTATTCAACGAGAAATATAATGATCCGTGACTCACGCAATCGTTCAGTCATTCGCGCGTGATGAAAAATCAAATCTCTTTAATTAAAATGATTCACTGCAAAGCTACAACAATCGAAAGCGTCATCTTTTTTCAAAACTTTTAAAATACTTATAATTATTCATTTCTATATTTCTTCCCAAATCTAATGCTCTCACGGAACATTAATTCTTATTGAACATTTCGATTTCAGGGTGCTTTTAGTTGGAGAAAATTATGGGCTTTCACCGGTCCTGGATTTTTAATGTCTATTGCTTACTTGGATCCCGGCAATATAGAATCCGACTTGCAATCGGGAGTCGAGGCAAGCTACAAGGTAAGCAAAAAATACATTTTTGAATCTTGTTTAATTGCGCCATAATTCAAGTCACACTTTCATACGAACTTGCATTGTATTTTTACAGCTCTTATGGGTTTTGCTGAGCGCGACGATAATGGGACTGCTCATGCAAAGGCTCAGCGCTCGCTTGGGCGTCGTGACGGGTCTTCATCTGGCTGAGATGTGCCATCGCCAGTACAAAAAGTTGCCAAGATTCTTACTGTGGATCATGACTGAAATAGCGATCATAGGTAGCGATATGCAAGAGGTCATTGGCACGGCCATTGCTCTTTTCCTTTTAACTGGAGGACGGTAAGTGTTTGTGATTGGCTCGATTTATCCTCATTTCAATCTAATTTCTCAAACGTCTCTTTATGGTTTATCAGGCTTCCAATTTGGGGAGGTGTTATTTTCACGATCGTCGATACTTTTACGTTCTTGTTCTTGGACAAGTACGGTCTTCGAAAGTTGGAACTGTTCTTCGGTTTCCTAATCACGGTCATGGCTGTGACATTCGGATTCGAGGTACGTTTTTTTTTTGCTTTTGCATTGATTTGGAAGTGCATACTTTTTTCTGACTTCTGGAACGTTGATGGATTAACTCTTTTTTTGTTTTTGGTTTTTTCAGTACATCACTGCTGCTCCACCCCAAGGAGAAATACTCAAAGGAATGTTCTTCCCTTGGTGTAAAGATTGCAGTAGTGGTGCTTTAACTCAAGCCGTGGGTATAATAGGAGCTGTAATAATGCCCCACAATTTATATTTACACAGTGCTCTTGTCAAGGTAATTATAATTTTTGCAATTGAAAATACAGATTTTTACACTTAACATTTTTTTTCATTCGTCGAATTGTTTATTTTTTTAGTCTCGTGATATCGACAGGAGACAGCCAAAGAAAGTTAAAGAAGCAAACATGTATTATTTCATAGAAGCTACTATCGCCTTATTAGTTTCTTTTGTAATCAATGTGTTCGTAGTATCTGTTTTTGCAAACGGTCTTTTCGAAAAAAAGCCATCAGATATTGTAAGTAAAAAAGTTATTACCATATGATTTTAAAAGTGAACGTTTTTTCAAGTATTTACTTCTTTGCAGCTTCAACTCTGCGAGGCCAACCATTTCCAAGAAGGTATTGATATCTTCTCGGTAAGTTTTATTTCTGCTACTTTATTTTATCTTCAATTTGTTTAAATAATATTGAAATGAAAATATCATTTTTCCGTAGAACATGACTGATGCTCAAGGGCTTGAAGTAGATTTATACAAAGGAGGTATCTTCTTGGGTTGTAAATTTGGTTTCATTGCCATGATTATTTGGGCCGTTGGTATTTTGGCAGCTGGTCAATCATCTACTATGACTGGCACGTACGCCGGTCAGTTTGCTATGGAAGGATTCTTGAATTTACAGTGGGCCAGGTGGAAGCGGGTTCTTTTCACTAGGACAATAGCTATTGTGCCAACATTATTCGTCGCCTTGTATGCTGAATTTGGTCAGCTGACTAAAATGAACGATATTCTTAATGCTGTTATGAGTATTCAGTTGCCATTTGCAGCTCTACCAACAATTGCCTTTACTAGCAGTGTCGCAATTATGGGTGAATTCAGAAATGGATTGTATGTATAGCTTTTATACATTTAATTGTTTTTATTATTAATTTTTTACTGAATTGTGCATTTATTATTTCAGATTCAATAAAATTGTAGCCACAATTTTATCTCTCCTAGTCATATCTATAAATATTTATTTTGCATATGATAAGGTTTCTGATATGGGAACACTGGGAAAAACATTAATCTGCATTTATGCAGTTTTGTATCTGATATTTTGTTTATACCTTGTGATTCATATGGCTATCTGTATGGGAGCAACTTCTCTTAAGGACTATCCCGTAAGTAATTATAAAATGTGTAATTATAATTATTGTTATTTTTATGTTCTAATTTTCTTATTTTTATCTTACAGATTATTGAAAAGTATGTTGGTGGCCCAGTAGAAACAATTTTAAATGTTTCCCACCCTATCGCTTATTCTAGGTAAGGATTGTGATCAATAATTGTAAATAGATCTTAAATTACCCAGAATCTGCAGCACAAGAGAAGCATGTTTATTGAAAATTATAGAATATTTTAATGTACCTGCAGTCATTATACACAAAAATACTCGTAAACCTTACCATAGTTGCTAAGCACTAAATGTTTTTTTATTAATCTTTATGGTATGGGAACTTGTATGCTTTTAAATGTATAATAACAGTCATTGCAATTATCTTATGAATCTATTATGCATCACGTGCTTTATATTAATTGCTATGGTGTGAGTTACAATGAAGATTCATGCTTTTAGATAGGATTTTAACGAAACAAAATATTATAAACTGTATAGTTAGAAATAGGAATTAGAACAAATTATTTTAAAATAATTTTTTAAAAATTTCCCGTAGAACCTAATTCTATTTTTATAGATATTTTTTATGATGGAAGATTTTATATAATGAACGATTTTTATATGATCGTAGGTGAAAAGTCTTTGTTTTATGAAAATATATCGTACATTAAATGTGAAGAAGAGTAAAAGAATTGTTTAACGATGAAATATTGTGAAAATTCACAGGAAATATTCATTTACTTGTTAAAATTTTATTTTATCCATATGTTCTGGTGTCATTCAAAAACATTGTAATTATGAAAAATGCATTAGGACAATTTTGTTAAAATTTTAAAATCATTTTGCTTCCATAAAGCAAATGATAAATGATTTGTAAAACATACACAAGATATTTGCACGAAAATTATAACTCACATTATGTAATATTATTTTTTTTTATTTTTTCATATCCTTCAATAGATAATTTATGAAAACAATTTTATTTAAAAATGTAACGAACCAAGACTGGAAACTATCTTGGAACAGTGTATATGCGTTTTCAGTAATTCTTTTAAATTCTTCAATCGACCGTTAAGAATATTGCCAAGTGTAATCGATAACATTGACAAGTAATTTAATTTTACCATTATATCCAAAACGAACTTTACCAAACCTAATTAAATTCATCATAAATATTCATTTTTACATGGTAAATATTAGTACCGTTTGTATCAATTTTTAATATGCGGTGTCGATGGCAAGGCGCACTTTGCGGCTAATCGATCGTACAAGATAATTAGGGTTCAATGGTTTCTTAAAATTGAAAATGTTGCATTTAATGATTTTCTAAAAAAATCCTACTTTTTTTAAATCTTATATTAGAATTTTTCCATGCAACTGTGTCCGGGGATCCTTTTGAATAGTTTTAATTTGTTAAAATTTATTTACGCGCTGTAACTTTCAGAGTCAACCATTAAAGTTGAACTATACTTATCGAGCTATGGGTTCGATCACTTCAGAAGTGCTTGTTTTTGGGGCTAAATAAGTAAATTGGTTCATTCATTTTCAAGTACCTACGAGCTCTTCAGTTCATCGTAAAATTTAATTGGCATTTATATTAATAAATAATTGAGTTATCAAAAAAAGCATCTAATACATAGGTGGTTTTCAACAAATAATTACATTCGGCATGAGTATTGACCATTAAAAATATAATAACTGTTTTTAAAACGATTGCGGTATTGTGTAACACTAGTTTTTTTTATCAATAATTACTAATGTTAGAGAGTATACTTATATTATTTTTAATGGCAGACAGTATTTTTTTCTGCAGTAATGATCAAACTTTAGTTTTGACTTTTGGAGTGGATAATTATTTAACAAACTTGCTGCAGAAATGTAATATAATATAAAAATATTGTACCAGCAAAAGATTTTAATATGTTGTTCATCTGTATGTACAGTTTCAACAATACATCTGAAACCTCGCTGGATACCTAAAGATCTGAATAGTACCACGTACACGACTCATGCTAAAATAGTAAAAATACAAATGCAATCGTGGTTTAGGGATTCAGAAATTCATTGTCATCCATGGTCACATAGTCTTCATATTGTTCGCATGGTACGTAGTTTTAAGTTGATTAGCATGCGATTTGTTTGCGTCCTTCATCGCAAAAAACTGCCTGTGTATTTGTCTCCGATAAAAATTTCCGTATTGATAAATATGATTTAACGAAGTATTCAAAAAATAATTGGGTTCAAATATTGTGATGCCATCCGAGTGATATCAATCGATAAAATTTGAAACTTATACTAAAAGTAGTTAGTACTTTTGAAGATTTGAAAAATAAATTATGTAAATGATCTATTAAAGGAGGAAAACATGAAACGTTCCAGAGTTGACTAGTTTTGATTTTTCAGATTTCTATCATTCAAAATTTATTAGAAAATAATCGTAATGTTTCATTCAATATTATTGAAAGTTTTAATTTTTGCACGTCGAATCATGGGATTCTTATGACTCATTGCATTTATCAATTTATCAACTTGTGCGAGAGTGAAAACATCGTATTATATTTACGCGATGTATTGTTTTGAAATTTCAAGGCCAAGCGTTTAAAGAGCATACACTGATAAATAAAAATACGACCTACAAATCTACGGTTATCAATAAGGTGATGAACGAAACTTTTACATCCTAAGCAGATGAAAATCTCATAAATTACTTGATTGCCATTTCGACATCAAAATTATTTTCATCTCATAAATTTTTCATTTTGGATGATGATCAATCAATGAGTTTAGATAGAACGTGGGCAAACGCTTAAAATCTACTCTAAAAAAATTAGAGGACATGTGTGTTTTTATTGTATTTGAATTGCTTTTACAAAATATGACTCATTTGCTGAAAATTTATTTTTTATTAACCCATAGAAGACCAATATTTGAGGAATTTCAAAAAAAAATTCTATAGAACCATAACCCGAGGCCTATAACGTTTGACCGTACTAATGTCAAATAATTGGAAGTCAATACTTATAAAATTAAACATCAACAAACGAGTCAAAAATCTTTTAATAATGCGGTTTTTATTTTCATGAAAGACTAACCATTTTTTTCTGTTTGCACTTTTCTTCTTCTACTCACAAAGTATGAAAAATCGTAGCTGAGGATTTTAAAAATTTGTCGTTCACCAGGTGAGAATTAAATTAGTTATGGTTGAATGTTGTTTGTCATTTTCAACATACGTTAGACTGGTTCTAATTTTGCCAACTGTTTCGCATTTCACAGCACACTCTTGTAGATTCTTACGGCTTGAAGGGTTAGAAGAATAACTCAAAAAACTGAAATAGATTTTTCAAAAAAGTACCGGAAAAAATCTATTAAAATTCGAACATTTTCTTTGACTAATTCTAAGACTTTTTTATTTTTTATTAAGTCATTTCTTTTAGGGATAGAAAATAGTAAAGATTAAAAACGTTATAATAAAAAACTATAAAACATCTTTTGAAAGATTTAGTTAAAAACAAGTTTTCAATATTTACGATTTTCTATTTCGAATAAAAACGACTTAATGAAAAAACACAAAGAATAAAAAAGTCTAGTCAAAAAATTAGTTTTCATCACAGCGTGCGGGAAAATCTTTAAATCGACGTCTTGCACTCGATGATGAAAAATACTATACGCAACTCAGTAACATAATGTACTATTTTAGACCCAGTGAAGCATTTTTTAAAAGTTTTTGAACACTGAAAACCTAATAAAACATCTATAGCAAAGATCGAAACGCTTTGAGAAATAAAAACCAGTCTAATATACGCAGGATTAAATTTTCTGATCATAAATTAATAATTATCATAACTTTTTTCAGAAGGAATCCGGTATTCTGTGATGATGAAGGAGTAAACGGAACTTTCAAGTTACGCAACAGTGTTGCTTTATCCTAAATTGAATTGATAATACAAGTGTGCTTCGCCATAAATGATTTATTGTTATATATTTTAATATGTGTAAAAAGCGTTAGTTTCATTACGAAATTAATTAAAATTTTAATTCATGAAGACCCATGCAAGATTCAGATGTTAAAGGCAGGACTATTAACTAAAGATGTAAATGAGCTTTAAAATATTGTAATAAATAATGCGATTGAATCTAGGTATATTTATAAAATAATTTGTATGAATAATATTAAAGCTGCACAAAAATATTTTGTTACTTTTGAGTTAATAAAATGTTGAAATACTTTTACAAACATCTATTATTATTGACTGAAAGTAAAATTTATTGTTTAATCATTATTTACATAAAATATCACAGTTATTTTTAAATGCTTAAAATTTTTGATTTAAAAATTTGACAAGTAAAATGGTAAGCTATACAGTTTTTTCAACGTGCATAACTTGAACACAAACCATTTCTATGGGGAACATTTTGTGGATAAACAAAATTGTGTATAAATGCTGAACATATTTTATACAATTTTTATGAAAGATCAGTCTCATGATAGTAAGTTAAGTTTCTTTTTGATTTGTACATTCAATAACATACATTTTACACTATATAAATTTTGTACCATAGTATTTTACTTTTAATAGGATTCATTAACAAGGATTTTTATAACCATTAAACAACTTGATAAAGATTTATCATTTATATTATCAACGAGATACTTAGACATTCTTCATTGCCATAATTAACACATGATAACAGTTACACATGATGCAAAAAAATAATCTGCACAAAATATCAATAAAATTGAAGTTTTCACAAATTTAATGTTTTCAATTTAAATGATCTTTTATTTAAAAATTGTAATCTTCAATATTTAAGCAACTTCCATGGATAATTTTGAATAGTATTGATTATATTCTCTTTTGTACAACCAATAAACAAATAAAATAATAATCATAATCAATGTTGTGAGCATCAAAACTGATACTGTTAAAAGCGCTAAAAAATTAAAAGATTGGAAATTAATCATTGTCATTTGTGAGTTCAGTAATCTAAATTAATAAAAATTTACCAATAATATTAGTTGTTGTTATTCCCATTTGATAGTTTTCATAGTCCATTAAGCACTCCTTTTCCCAATTTGTAGGAACAACGCTTTTTGTGAGTCTGATAAATTGCGCTAAAGGACAAATTGTTGAACATCCAGGAATTGTTAATAAAGTGGGCTCATCTGAAGAATTTTTGTAAGATACCTGTAAAACATTATTTTTCGTGCTTACAATAGAGAGGTAATTATTTTTAATAACAGATATTTAAATGTCTTACGGTAACAGCATGACCAACGATTGGATGAAGTCTCAATTCCACAAGTAATGTAGCAGCATATGGTGGGCAATGAGGTTCAAATACATTTAGAGTCATCATTAAATTTGCAACTGTATCATCATGAGCACTGTAAACCCATACTTTTCTATCAGGTGTTAAAGCATTTTTGGATTTTAGCACCATGTGATTGATCATTTCTTTCAATAAAGGCCCTGATGTAAAGATGACATTGGTAATAAAATAATTCGTAAATTAAAAGTTTAATTTTAACAGTTCACCAACCTGATTTGAATCTCTGAAGTATTTTATTATAAGCTTGAGTTGTAAAGCTTAATTCGGCCAGAGGCTTTAACAATTCAGGATACACATTTGAAGTCCATTCAGGTAATTTTTTTTTATATAGACTCTAAAACACAACAGTTGCAAAAGAAATTTTATTGAATAAAAAATTAGTATTTAGATCCTCAAAAAATAATTACCTCAATGTATAAAATACTGTATAAATAATTCACAGTTTCCAAAGTAGATATTTTCCTTCCGGTTTTTTCACTCAAGTAAGCAAAAAGCTCTGCATTATTCTCTTCAATTTCTTTTATTTCTGGGGAATTTAAAACCTTTTGTAACTCAATTGAATACTTATCACAAAATTTTTTTCCTGCCAAAAGACTATCTTCTGATTCTGGAGCCGTATGAACTGGTATTGGCATCCACTGTTGTAAATCCCACTTTTCATTATCAATAGGTGGATAGAGCCCAGCTAAATTAGCTTCGGCTGACATCAAGGTTCTATCAACATCTGTGCTCCTTATGTATATCTCATATGGAGAATACTTTTCAGGTAGTAAATCAGCATACCGCTTACGAAGCCATTGACCTAGAAGAAAATGCTGATGTTTTCCAGTCTGTAAAAAAAATTAATAAGTTAACAAGTAAATAAAATCAATGAAAATATAATTTTTGGTAACTTTTTATTATATTGGAATTTTTCCTAAAAAATATTGACTGTCCAATATGTAACTCTTATAAAAAAAGCCAGTGTATTCCACTAATTTGTCATAATTTTGATATAATAAAAAAGCAATATTTAAGATTGAATAATAGTATTAAAATATACAAACATTTGTTAATTGACCAAATGGTACAGGCCAAGAACTTTCATTTTTATATGGATCATTAGGATAAGGATTTATAGGTGTCCTATCGCCATGCCTAAAAAGCTAAAACAGAAAATACGAATATTATCATAATTTTGAATTTTTGATAAGCTTTGATGTAATATCATTATAATAACAAAGATTAAATTGTATATGAATTGTTGGCATATGCTTGGAATAAAAGTACAATGTCATTGAAATGAGACACTCAGAGATTCTTCATTGAAATTTGATATGATATGCATTCATGACCATTATAAGTGTAAAAATTATTCACAGTTACAAGGTTTGCTTATCTTATCATTGAGTTTTGAAAATTTAATTGAATAACAATTCAAGAAAATTAATTTTGAAATGATTAAATGCATTGGAGGTGAATTGAAAATATTGAAATTAAAATTAAAATCAAAATAACAATAAAAATATAGGGGTACTTACAACATTAGCAAATATAATTTTGCCCAATGGGTCTTCAGTCGTTGCATCGAATAGGCGTAGTTGTGACAATTGTAACAGGAGCAATTGCCAGACAATATATAACAGCCGCATTGTCGTAGCAGATTTCAGCGCAATTTACGTTACTTAACAAATCAAAGTTTGGAGGCCTTAACTAATGAGCATCGTTTACAGAATGATCGCACTTCGTAACGAGCATAATCACGGGTGTTTTAGATGGTGAAACATTTTTGTCGAATTTTCATTAATTAAATCAGTAGTCGCGGTAGCGGCCGGTAAACTATACACTACACTACTGTCAGTTATATACGTCTGATGTGTTTCATTCAGCGAGATGTGAGTAAGTACTGAGCTATGGAAGTGAAATGCACTGTGCAGCAGACGCATATTGTTAGCAGCTGACAAATATTGTTGCAGGCCAGCAGAACTGCGCAACTGCTGGAAAGATACCTTCTCACAGTTGACGAGATTTAAATCAAGTTTGTAAATCAGGGTTGTAAAAATTTAAATCAATTTTAATTCACAATTCAGTTTAACCTGTTTACGTAATTAATGGAAGGCCCCAAATGACGAGCATTGTTATGCATGTTACAGTACACAAAGCGAAATAGGGGCTTCTTATGCTATAGCCCTTATAAAATTGTCATTATATTGACGCATATCTTATGCGCACGAGCGGCCCCTGTACTTTTATATATGAACCGGTGAGCTAGGGACTATACCTTCTTATAAAGCTCGATCTCAAGATTAAGCCAACTAATGCGAGGAAAAGGGGGGGGGGGGGGCGAGAAATTACTCTCGTCGAATTTTTTAACATTTTTCCATGAAAAATTTGATGCTGAACACAAATTTGTATGGTGTCGAACGCTTAATTGATCAGTAAGTAGTTTCAACAATTTTTAATAAAAAAATTTAAAAATTAATGTTTTTTGACCCGTTAATACCTTTTTTGAGGTAATTAGACAATTTTAATCAAAAAAAGTATCTTGATGTTGACATAGTGTTGTTGTATACTTAGATTCTATACTTGAATGAAAATTAGTTATAAGATACAATTCTTTATTTACAAGCATGGAATAATTAATTTTATTTCCTGTCACTAAATTTAAAGCTATTCGTTTCAATGGCCGCAATCTCATAGTTATTTATTTCAGAAAAGATAAATCAACAGTGATAGTTTTCGTAGACAAAAAATTCTGATCAAAACTTTTTTTTTCCAAAATAGTTGAAGCATAACAGACGCAGCAGCATTGGTATACAGAGTCGGACGCACTCATTTGCGGGTAGAGCCAGCTGGGGTGGCATGCTTGCAAGGATGTAAATCGTTTCGTATGACACGTGTGGGCGGCCGCTGATAACGCGCAGGCAGGCTCGTCTATGGATCGACTCCACTTGGCGTATGTAGGACGGCGTCTCGGTTGCGTTGCTCCAGATATGGGCATCGTACAGGAGGATGGCGCCTACGAAGTTGGCATGCAACTTCCTTCAACTGCATGATCTGGATCCATCAGTGATTGGGATGCTTCTAGAGAGGGTTCCGATCATTATCGATGCCTTTTCGCTGACTCTTCTCAGGTGTTCAAAGACCTTTAGCCTGGTGTCTATTTGTAAAATATAGCCCAATCATTTTTCCGTGGCAGCGAAATGTTTTTTTTTCTGCAGCTGTCCAGTATTGCTGGATTCATCCCGAAGATTTTTTTCAGTGTAACGTTCATTTTTATTATACTCTATGTCAAAAATTATTATAAGTGTGTAGTAATCAGTAAAGATTACTACATTTTATACAACATTTAACCATCATAGTGTGACTCTGGGGCACCTTTTCGAGCGAACATAGCAATTTTTACTATTGGCTTTCTCTCCATGTATGCAACAATTTGCTCTCGTTCATTTTTGCCATTTTCTAAGCCAATCTTGTAGCTTGTCTGCTTGAAGGCAAAGTAATAGTCATCAACGTATGTAGCAGTGAAGATATTTTGAGAAACTGGATTATAGGCTGGGTATAAAATCAAGTACGGTTCTGATAGCACGGAAAGTTGCGGCAACGTTGTCGCAACCATGAAATTTTTCATGTTTCCGTATGGGAAATATTGTCAGTTTCAGCAACGCATAAAATATCCCTATTGTTATAAAAGTATCGTCACAAAAGTCCTACGCGTTGTTTGTTTTGACTATAAGGTTGCGGCTACATTTCCTCAATTTTAACTGAGTTTTTAACGTGAACATTCGTTGCGGTAACACCACTTCTCGGCAACGTTACGAACAACGTCGCAAACATGATTTCATTTCAACTTCAAGCCTATAGTATTTATAAATTTTCAAATCTTAAAAAATTCAGGAAAAAGAGTAGAACCAAGTATGCTGTTTTGTGATAATGTAGGTCCGAAGTTGCTGCGTTTACTTTTACTCTATATAAAACATTAATATTAGAAAATTGTTTTCAATTATGAACATACAACAGGCCCTCGAGCCACATCGAAGGCTTGTGAAACGGCCGACCAGTGGAGCTTATTCTCGAGCAAATTTCAAACCAGAATATGAATATGGTTAACTTGTTCAACAGTGGGGCGATGGATCTGAATTGGTGGTCGGGAATGAGCTCCTTCCTCTAAATTATGGGATTGATTCTTGATAGAATAATTTTTGATAAATCTTAGAAAGTACAATAAAAAAGTACTTCTAGGTCGGTATGGTGATAAGAGCCCTTCCTTTTTCAATAGTACTAGGAAATAGCATGATCTTATTGATGCGTTGTAAATAATTTTTACGAACACCACTGTTATGAGCGGTAACTCATTTATAACCTTGAGCTTTCAAAGATTTGATGTTTTTAATTAGGCTTAAGAATTCTTCAAGTTTGGGGGGATAACGGGCCTAAAATTTGACATATCCGATTTCGAAGTTTTAACATTTAATGGGAAGCACAGACCAAGTCTAACTAAAAGAATCACTTTTAATTTTTTCTCAGTGGGTTATCTCAAAAAATGAGAGCGTTACAGCAGAGCCCTCATAGATTCTGAAACGATTTTTGAAAATTTAAAACCCTATAATAGTTTTGAACACGTATTATATGTGCAATCAACGTATTACCTCAATGGTGAAAGTGTCCTTTTTCTCTTGTTTTACCCTCTACACTAAAGAAAAACTACAAGCCTAAAATATTTTGAATTTGAAAATTTCGGGGTAGTATAACAAAAAATACAACCGAACTCTTGTCGCGTTGTTAATTTTTTTTTTTTTTTTATGATTACAAGAGTTCAATGAGTACACAAGATCTTCTTTCATTTGGCCGAGTAGACGCCGACGACGCCAAGTACGGCAAACATTCCCATGGTGAGGCTCGCGCTTTCGGCGGAGTTGCACAACTGCTTTTTGCAGTGGTAGCAGCGGGTATCTGGCTCGTTTGGACAGGGCAATTTGATCGGGGCGCACGACCGTACAGTTGTCAATTGTCCCATGGGCTCTGCGTATTTGTTTGAGTGCAGCAATAAAGAATGCGCGTAGGAGGGCAAAGAGAAAATAAATCTCATTTAAAAAACGTAGAGAGAAAGAGAGAGAAAATTATGAGGCTAACTTAATCGACATCATATACTCACTAGAGACGATTTTGACACACTCCCACTTAAGGTCGATGGAATCTGGAAAAATTTATTGTTAGCGCGTCTGTGCGTTAGTTTATACTATTGATATAGTAATCTAAGACGCGAAGGATTAGAAATTGGCACTCGTCGATACGAATCCTCCGAGACAAAAAAATAAATGATGTTCTTACTGAGTTCCTCCATCAAGTTGTCAATCAACGCTGACATGCCGCTAACGTCGACCATTCGCTTTCTCATCGAGCTTGGATTACACTCGGTTATGAATTTTCTTTGGGACGGATTGGTGAAGCAGTCGCCACTGTTGATTGATACGCAGGAATAGCATTTCAAACTATTCACTGTAGTCGAAGCAACATCAAAATATTGAAAAAAAAGAGGACAAAAAAATATATCGATAATCTCGTTTTCACAATTAATGAAACAGAAATAAATAATAAGATAGAGGGATGTTATAAAAAAAATTGTCAACCTGAATTAATGAAAAATACAGCGATTAGGATGAGCGAGTTAGCGGCGCAGATTTTGGGATACATTCTAGCTGCAGGACGATGTTGAACGAATGACCGATGACTCGAAACTCCCTCGCGCTTGCGACGCGACGATCCATCCGACACAATTGAGAGCCTCGAAATGTACAAAATACTCAACTTATACTTAGGAACGCATTACGTCTGCTCGACTGACTCGGCCTATGTCGCTCAGCTGAATTTTTCAAGAAATACACGTCTTACATGCAGATGCTTCGCCATAGTGTATATGAGTAAATCTAGTAAAATTTTAACATTTCATTCAACACGAACACGATGTAAATAGGTTAATATTGTCATGTTAATATTGTTTGTAACTTTTTTCATTATGCATGCATGCTAAAAAATAAAGTATCATTGGATTCTGCGGCACAAATCCACCTTTTCTAAAAAAATTGAGATAAATCCCGATGGAACAGAACGCAGAATCCAATGGTACTTTTCTTTTTATGTGTGTGTGCACAATGAAAAAGTTACAAATAATATTAACATGACCTGTTTGTTAATAATCGTGTTTGCGCTAAATCAAATGTTAAAATGTCATTAGATTTATTAATATACGTGCACGCACACACACACACACACACACACACACACACACACACACACACACACACACACACACTCACACACAATCGAGGAGTGCGTGTCGTGCTCCGAATGGCTATACTACGTATATACACTACCCGTCAATCACTTTTGCCATAACTGAGAGAAAAATTATTCAATTTCAAAGTTACGCAGTTAAGGATAAAATTATCGACTCGTGGAGTGTAACTAACATTTGATAAATGATTAAATAAATCCTAAAATGATGTATGTAGCTACAAAGTAATTTTGAAGATCATTCGAATGGTTTTTTTCAAATTTTGACTCAATCATTGAACTACGTAACTTCAAGTTTAATAATTTTACGCTCGCGTGCAACAAAAATGATTGACGAGCAGTGTATGTATACACAAACAACAAGAGCAAGATATGAGTAACAAGTTAACAATTTCGCATAAATAATAGTAGATTACCCATTATAGAAGTTTGCTAAGGAAAGGAGGGAAAGCATAGATCGATTACATTCTCTGTTTTAAAAAGAAAATCGCGTACTAAGGAATCGGATTAAAAAACTGGATTTTATGTAAGAATTTATGTTCATTACTTATGTATCATCGTACTTTTTGATACTACAGAATGAATTTGAGGACTTGAAATGAATGATTTATATATTTAATGATTAATTAACTTTTTATTTACAAAAGAAGTTATTATTATTCTCACAACTTCAATATGATTTAAAAGGAAAATTATCAATAAAAACGTCCACGCTATTTTTCCTGATCATAATATACAAATCTCTATTGACGATAATGAAGTACAATATTGTTGTACTTGAATTATTTATATATTATTTATGTGATTTGTGCTTTGCTTATAATGTAATATATAGGGGTCTGTCTCTATTTTTGATCGTATTCGTATAACTGGTTTAATATTAACGACACAGTTGCACAAACAAATTTTTTTTTCAAATTGTCTGAATAAACCGAACAACATCAACAGATAACATATCATTCAAATAGCAATATCAAGATCCAATTCGACATAACAAGTTAATTGAAAGTTCAGTGAAAATAGGGCTTGACTGAGACCGAAGATAGAGGCAGACCCCTTACCGATACTATTACTTTAGTATTGGTAAGATTCGAATATTGCAGAAATGAACAATGTACACTTCAATATATCAATTTGTATATTTTAAATATCTGTTTTCATATTTATTGGTGTCGATAAAACTAACCATGTAAATTTAGATTTTATCATTACTTGCTATATAGAATTTGACAATTATTCTTTTGCTTACTGTAAAGTATAACTGAATACTAAAATAACTTCGGATACATTGGATAAATCAAGTTTAATTTTATTTTACCAAAACTAATATCGTTAATTTATAAATATAAAAATGTATACGATTTGCGTCGTCAATTCATAATAATTTTACAGAATCATATTTCATAATACCGACATCATTCCTGTATGACTTATTTGTTTATATATTGCTTAAATTAATGAGTTTTATGATTTTAAGCGTGAAATAAGTATTACGAACTGGAGCTTGACTAAAAAATGTCTATTTCGATTATATCGAATACAGATTATTTACAAACATGATTTTTGAATCAAATTAGGCTCAACATAAAACCGTCAAGTAGTTTTACATGCAGTGTTCTCAATGAATCCAAAAAACCTTGATCAATTTTCGAGAATTTCAAGATATATTATTTATAGGAATTGAATAAAGTTGTCTTAAATTAATGATAGTGATAAAAACCGTACATCCAGGTAACTAGTAGTTGATCGTAAGAAGTTTATTGCACTTCGATGTAACTTTAGCATCAAGAAATTTTTTAATAATTATAACTTACATTTGCTAATAAAGCATGAATAATTGATATCTTATCGTGTCACTTAATGTTACGATTTATAATTTAATTTATATATTTTCGGACACCGTCTTAGATCATTGTATTGACTTTTAATGTTTGAGTTACAGAATCTTTGGATTAGATTGGAAATTATTGATAGCTCAATAGTTTTGCTGATAGAGTTATAAATTTATTTCATTTGTATAGATTTATTTTAGCACATACAAATGATTGAGTTGCAGTTAAGCTTTATAAATTATTTCTAGATGTATGGAACAATTTTGAGTACCAGAAAAATTGTACCAAGTTACACTATTATATATGTATTTTTAGTACTTATAATATATACATTATACAACAATTTTTAAATGAGGTTTTTGTCGGAAAGGTAAAATGAAATCGTTATCACATCAACTACTGCAACTCGAAAATGTATCACACATACGTTTTTCACGAAAAAATCAAGAAATTACATTTCAAGATGTAAACTGGTCTCACATAAATCCATACCTTTTATACAAAATTCGATGATGGTGATCAAAGTGCATGTGAATATCTTTATGAAAAAATATAAATTAGTTATTATTGAAGACACTTGAAGAAGTCCAGCTTCTTTTTCATTTTTGTGAGATCATTTGATAGTCTTAGAGTTTTGAAGTGTTTTTATTTACAGTTTTATTTGAAATCCATATAATAACTACGTTTGATTAAATTATTTTTTGATTTCCACTTACCAATCAGTATTAAGAAAGCACCGACCCTACGCAAAACTGGAAATTTTCAAACACGTTTTATGTGATTCCCACTTAATATTTTCTAATATGCTATTTGGATTACTAGAAAACAAAATAAGAAATAATCAGTGGGAATTTGAAAAAATAGGTTGGAAAATAATCATTTTAACCTGATTATGGTATCTTTTTAAATGGTTTGATTTAATTGGTATTATCAAGCTTTTTGCATGTTTTTATTTTTTAATACGTTAAAAAATTTTTTTACAGCCAACAGTACATTGAAAACGTTATGGAAAGACTCTGTTTTACTAAAAAATATGTTGTTCGTATGATCATATCTGTAAGAAAATCGTTTAATGTTTATTTAATTGTTTTAAATATTTTCAACATCATGAGGCAATTAATTAGGACATGATTTAAATTAGTATCTTTAATTTCAAAATTATTTTATTGATAGCCCTCAAACCATTTCCTAAGAGGACAACTTAAAATTTATTTTGAATAAGTTTGATTTTAATTTTGATTGGGTATTTTTCAAATTTCGATTTTATGAAATAATATTGTATTTATAAAAATAATTAGCGACAAAATTATGATGTACATGAAAAGAACGTATAACTGTAGTTCTGACATTATGAGGGGCGTTCCTTGACTGAATACAATTATTTTCTTAATAGAATAATTGAGTAGTTTATTATTAATTCTAATCAATGTTTTGGTCATTTTTTTTCTTGTTATTTGTTGCAGTATTTATACTTAAGTCTTTTAAGTATGTTTTTACGAAAAAAGGTTCATTATCTGTAAAATTGTTCTCAATTTATTGCAATAATTTCTTAATTTTTTTTGTTTTTAATTTAATTCAACTATATTGAAAACAAGCAATATACTTGAATTACACATAAATGTTTAATTGTATCTTCATATTAAATGAAAAATAGTTATTGAGTATAAGAAATATTTTATTTTATTTTGAATTGTATCTATGAATGATTAATTACGAAATGTCGATGAAGAATCACAAATTTCGTTAAAAATATTAATTTTAGATGGATTTAAATATGATTTTAATTTTAAAGAGGAACATTACTGTGTTTAGAATTAATTCTATAACATTTTAAGTTAGTAATCGCTCTATTATAAAATAATTTTTATTTTTATATTAAATATATATTGTACTTCTTATATCGCGTGTATTGAATATTTTCGTTCAAAGGGTCAATTGGGTTGGAATTAATAAAAATGAATAACGAAATATTTTATAGATTTTTTCAGAATAAGTAAAAATAGTGCAACGGGCAAGGGATATTATAGACTTTTTTTAACAAATATTTTATCGAATTTATCGAGATATTTTATATTTTATAGAGAAATTAAACTAATAAGCATAAAATTATTCATCAAATACAAGTAATAAATATATTTATTTATTATTATTGAAATAACAATTAAAATTAAAATTTTTATGACTTGCGATCGTTATACTTTTCTACATCGGATTTTTTTGAGGACTTACGTTTTAAGCTTTCTTTTTCTTTTAGTATTTTAATCCAATAATATGACATAGGTGATTCAATCAAACATAATTCAATCAAAAGGCCATAGTTTTAAATTAAATTTTTTTCGTGATTTAAAATAAATTCAGTTTAAAAATGAAAATGATTCGTCCATTTATTCTAGGTGTGAATCAAAATTCATTCAAATAATACAGCAATTATGATATAAAAAAAAGAATCAGTATTTATTTATCAATCAAATTCGATTATATGTAATTTTGTACGCCTAATTTTAACAAAATACCGACGAACGTTTCGAAAGAGACGTTGTTTTAGGATTAATATTGTATCTGAAGAATAATACATTTGTCAATATCATTCAGATAAAATGTTCAATTGTTTGGAAATAGGTAAAGTTGAAATGAGATTAACATGCCGATGAAGTCACTAAAACGACACATGATTGCACGTTAATTATCTGTCAAAAGTTACTCTTGCATGGGTAACATTCAATAGGATTGAGGATGAAGATTTTCATTTCGATTTGAAAAACTTTACGAAACACTACACGAATTACGACCTTTGTCGGCGCCTCTATCAGAATTTTCGCGAATTTTTTCGAGGTGCTGCAGCTGAGCTTGCGTTAGAGAGACTTGAGCTATACTCGCTCGCGAATTATGTTGAGGGGGTGGCAATGACTGACGTCGCTTATTCAAGGCTGGCCGTAGATCATATTCGATGTTGGCTTGCTTCAATAATTCCTGGAATACATTCCAGGTATTCTTATTCTCCTTTGCCGAAGTATTTACAAAACCATGACCCCACTCTTTTGTAACAATATTTTCATTTTCTTTTATTTCCTCCTGTAAAAATTTTTTTAAATCAATCAATACTTAGATCTAACAATCTACTACAATCAATAGAATCAATACTTGGCCGAAGTTGAAATTTAACTTTTTATACAATTAGTTCATGTTTCCGAAATATTTCTTGAAGATTAAAACCTTATTAGTTTTAGATTATATTTTTAACTCGAAAATTGTATTAAATATTATTAGTAAAAACAAGTTGTTTTTATATCTAGTTAATAAACTTAATATTCTGAATGAATTTAATCAGTAGTAAAAAAAAAAATTAACAATTGGTTGATTCATAATGTTATCCAATGTAACTAACCCTTATAATTTATAAGTTTATATAATATGTTTACCATGCTTTGCGAGACGATCCTCAAACAAATTAAAATACCGAATAAATCGATAAACTAAATCACTGAATCAGGATTAACAACATTATATTTTCACAAGACGCGTTTCTTTCATTATCATCAATAAGTATAACAAGAATATCATCTCAACAAAAAATGATATTATTTTTAGTAAAATGAGATAATAAATGTCTATACACAAACCTTTTCTTTATCTTCACAAATATCTATTTTGTTGGCCACAACGACAATTGGAGCTTTATCTTTGGTGCGCATAATTTGCTCACGAAGCTCTTTGACTTTTTTAAAAGTGCTCGGCTCGCTAGCGTCGTAGACGAGGACGAAAACATCATACTGCTTAATGGAGAGATCAAGCATTGCTGGAAATTCAAGGGAGCCAGATGTGTCGAGAATTTCAAAGGCAATTTTTTTATCCTTCGCCGCGTTGAATGTAGCCTTGTGCGTGTCGTCGACGGTTGCTTTGTATTTGTCTGGAATTTGATTGTACAGAAATTGATAGATCAATGCGGTTTTGCCAACTTTCGCGAGTCCCAGTACTATCACTTTGATTGGCTTTCCACCGTTTGCTGCCGATTCGCCACGTTGACTACTCCTACTGTAAACACAAGTTAATAGTTTATTTTCTCTTGTACCCGAACTTTCTAAAATTAATAAAATTGTATGCTATTTATTGATTGGCCCACTGTTCCAAAGGATCAGTGATTATCCGATAGATATTGTTTTTTTTTTGTTGAACTAAAGGATAATAAGTGAACTTGAAGTGCTACGTCATTTATAATGAAATTCTCTGACGACTTGGAAGTTCGATAAATTTAATTTCTTTCCTCGCTGATACGCATCGGAAAAGATGAGAATAGAAAAATAACAACACGCTTATTTTAAGAGTTCTTTCATCTCTAACTAAGACTTGAAATATGACTTTTAATATGTTTTATTAAAATATATTAAATGTGTATACGTTTCGTCTGTGCGTCTTAAGATTGCGAATCTCATTTGTGTTGATTCATAAAAAACCATTTGGAACATATTAGCTCACATTCGCATTAGATGATATCTACGTATATATTTCATGGGCTTATAATTCCTTTCGTTTGATAAAATCAATCTTGGATCCACTTACATATAACTATAAACTCAAAACACTTGAATACCATTAACATGTTTAAGTCGATAAATTCTGCACTTCGTAGAATCTTATAATAGTTAATAAAATGTTGATAAATTGGCAATGAGTTTATTTTTGTTTAACCAGTGAGTGTCAAAATAAGTTTGAGATAGAGTATCTGCTCCATTAATTTCATTTGCTCTTTATGGATTGATCGTAATCTGAATAGTAACGTCGTTGTTTGAACCGCTTGACATTCAAGAGTAAAATCAATCTTGACTCGTTCAAATGTTTAAACTATAAAAACTAAATGAAAGGAGCATCACCGCCTGTGCAACAGTAAATATTTCCAAACGTGTATTCTGGTTTTTCTACTAAATAGCTTTTTAACTAACTAAAAAAAAGGAAGATAGTGTCTATTCAACAGCAACAGCTTTAATGTTTCTATATGTTTTATAGTTTTTAAATTTTAAAAAATGATTTTCGAAAAAAAACGTATGAAATTGTTCATGTCGAGCTCACCTAGAATGTCTGTGATCGTCATCTGGATTGTTTCTCACGGATGATGGTTGCAAACTTAGTCGCCTTTTGAGCGGAAAACGTCCCATCATTATCCGCTCTTTCAGGTGCTGTAAATGAAGAAGTATATAACTTTAAGATTTTATTCGATGTATAATGGCTTTCAAATTATGGCAAATAAAAATGAGAACAATTTCGTAATTTCATACAATATCTTAAGAAACTCAATTTATTTTCAAAAATTTTAATCCTAAATTTTAATAACAATAAGGGATTTAATAAAGCTTATAATGGAATAGTTGGCCAAATGTAATGAGCTCATAATGCATTCGCGTTTGGATTATCATTGAGAGAAGATGTTTTAATATTTAGATGTTGTACATATAAAATATTTTTACAAAATTGAAGTTTTGAGTTGGAAAGAAAGGCGAGTTCATTTACTATAATTAAAAATAGCGCTATAACGAATTTAATATTGTAATTTTAAAGCATGAAAATTTCATTGTTTACTGCTGTGATTCTATGTTAGTGCGAGGTTGATTTCTAAGAATATATATTGCTTTTTTGAAAAGTTAATTTTATTTATGATATCTCATCGTTTCATTCATTTCTAATTGAAGCCTCGACCGGTATTAGTTTATCTCTTAAAATAAAAATGATTGGTTCAAGTCCTATTGATGATCAAAAATGTATTTAGTAAAATTTTATTTTTGACGCTAACATATTATAAATCGTTAAATTTAGTTCGAATACTTTACTTTTTTATTTTTTGCTTGTTTTTAATACAAGTACAGTGATACATCAAATGGATATCAGTATAATATTGCAGGAGGGTAGTATTCTGGGTACAGTAAAATTTCTTGCCTCGTCAATTCCCGTGCAGAGTTAATTTGAAAAAAAGGAGACCGAAGCGTATTTTCGAAGTAAATGATGTCAGCTAAAAACACGCTAATTAAATTTCAGTGTGCTCACAGCGCACGCCGACGATACATCGGGCAAACATTTTTGTATTCCCGTTGAATTATGCAAAGTTATTCCATCTCATTACAGTTTAATTTTCGCACGCTTCGCAATCAGTTGTAATTCATATATAATATTGGAGTTCATTTCGAGGAATTCGTTAATTTCGTCATTAGTAGCGTATACTGAAGTATGAAAATTGAGCGTTACGATAAAACAATAATTCGAAATAAAAAATCCGGTAATATCGCTGAAGTAAAATAAAATGTTACGCGAACGCATCTCATTTGAAAAGTATGTTGAACGTTCGTACGAGTATATATGTAGGAAAATTGCTGAAATATTTTTTTTCATACGGTAGGAGTGGAGCATACATTTTTTTTGCATTCTTGTGCAATGTAATATTTCAGCGAGAAGCTCGAAAGACCTCACAGCACGAGTATGTGCTGTGCACCTGTGTGTGTGTTTTTAGCGTACCAAATAGCACGAGACTCGAAACAAGAGAAACACGGATACAATGGAGAAAGGGGGATGAATTATTTGCATAAAACTCGCGAAGAAAATAATTAGCTCGAGGTACAAGTTGAAAATAATCAGCACGGAGCAAGGACGCGACGGCGCGCCAGGCAAAGTAAGAGTAGCATAATACGCAAAGCAGCAAAGTTCGGATTAAGGTATTTTCAACGGGGGGGACTGTTGCACGCGTTACGTCTCACGCAGCAGCAGCAGAGAGCGAATGGGCCAACAAACAGCAAAAGACGGTTTCGTTGCCGAGCACGAGCGCGTGAGTACATAATCATGATACATTTAATTATACATATATGTATAGGACGTTGTGTGCCGCTATTCGAGGTATCATACGTGTATGTATGCACAAAAGCTTAATGAAAAGTGAAATAACGTCTAGCTTGGAGAGAGAGAGAGAGAGAGAGAGAGAGAGAGAGAGAGAGAGCGACTAAGCGCGGATGGCAACGTGCACAGGAGCTCTGTATATATCTCGCAAAGCTCCTGGTGTGTCAGGCGCACGTTACTCTCTAGCGTGATGCCTCATGCTACTCGTAGAATTGCAGCTGCGTACACACACCCACTCAGTCGCATGTAGCCACAATACGCTCCTACAGCGGCTGCACACACACACACACACACACACACACACACACACACACACACACACACAGAAGGTGCACATGCGAGGCGCGTGTACGCCGTAAACTCTACGTCGGAGGGTGGTGATTCCCCGTTTGACCTAGTTGCGGCTCAGCAGCAGCAGCTAGCCATGTAGCACATGCGAATCGTGTATATAAGACGAGAAGAGAGAGAGAGAGAGAGAGAGAGACTACAGCGAGGAGGACGTCGCTCGCTCGGCGATGTCCATGCCGCAGTGATACGTAGCCGCGCGCTGCCAAACGCGCGCCGCGTCCTTGATGCACTGCATAACTATGGTCGTTATAGCTCCGGCGGCAGCGGTACCTGCGGTTTATTGTGGTCACGCACGACGCAGCTGCTGCTGCGCTCGCGAAAAAAGCTTGCGAAAAAAGCTCGCGAAAAAAGCTCGTGAAAAAAGCTCGCGCCTCGACTGCTCTACGAGCTGCGTTCGCAGTCAATGTTATGGGCCGAGGATAGGATTACGCGTCTTTCTTCTTCTTCTTCTTCGGGTACATATTATGCCGCCAGCCTCCCCTCTGAGAAGCACACACACAGAAAACGGACGTACGAACAATTACCGTTCAACTTTGATGTAAGCGCGCCACACCGTGCACATCGTTGCGGATGATAGTCGTGGGCCGCCGCGTGCGTGTGGTAAATTGCACCTGCGACCGAGAAACCCTTTCATATCGCGAGCAAACTTGCCGTATCGCGACCATTTCCAATGTATATATTCACGCCGCGCGCGCGCAATTTGTAAACTTGCTTAACCACCTTTCCATCTGTGTTTTCACTCGGCTACAAGCTATATGTGTGTGTACGCACTTACACGCGATACACAAATACAAATCGCGCCTGCACACGTTCGCCAACTATATATAAATTAACGACGTGCATAAAAGTGTGAATGCGGTTTCAACTTGGCTCTGCTCTAGCGTCAACATTTAACTAGCCCCGCGTGCTTTATGTGCATATAAGCGTTGTATAGCAAACACACAACTTGTACGGCATACAGCGCGCGTATATTGTAAATATAACTCGGAAAAGTGACAGACAGAGGAGCATGTCAGAAAAGGGGGAAAAGCCAAATGAATGACTCACGCAACTGCATCAATTTCCCCCTCTCGCCTATAGTGCTTTTTCCGCGAAACACACATAACTCAATTATATATCATGTACGCTGCAGTCGGTTTACTTCCGAACACTTCAAATCAGTTTCTCTTCGCCTCTCTCTCTCTCTCTCTCTTTTTCCATAGTGGCGTTCTGCCCGTATCAATGAAAAACACCTCGCAGAATAGGACGATACACGCATGCCGATGAAAAAAAAATCAATAAAAAAAAGAAAAAAAAGGAATCGAGATCGTAAATCATTACGCGTGTGTGCACCTGCAAGTTCGCACAGCTGTTGTAACTTTTAAATCCGAGTTGCATACACGATATGTATGCATATAAATAAAGCAAAGAAAACACGATAAACGAGTTGGCTTGACTCTCGCGAGAAAAATTTTATTTCTGAATTGTGACAAAATTCTAAAAACGATGATACTTGGAAAGTTGCATACCTATTCCAACTCTTAGATACTTTTGAATTTGTCTTTTCTTATACCGAAAATGACTCGCTTTAGAAACTTTTCGTGGCAAAGTTTTTATAACGCTCACTCGCGAAATAAATTCAAATAGTTTAAAAATGAAAAATGACCTCTAAACGTATACTATTAGAAATCCTGATACTGCACGCATTAGTTTCTAAATTTTTGGCTCTAAAATTTACCCAATAGAATCGTGTAGTCTGACTATTCTTCGACGCAGTAAGCATTTCGAAATAATATCTAGTGGCTGTTGGCTGTGCAAATTTAGGGTATTTGTTCAATGTCTTGTCATTGAGAACTTTGATGATCGATGTAGATAGATATCTCAGACAACTAGACTTATTATAGAGTGGGTGCGATAGCTTGACAATAGTTTTGAGCTCATGCTTTGAGCCTCCGTACACGTACATGGAATGGAGCGAATTGTTTAGCGATGTACGTGCGCATAATTAGCTTATAAATCAAAGCAAATACCCACTGTGTCAGTATTTTATGCATAGATAATGGTCCAATGTCTTACAAGAATGGAGTGCCGAATCCCTACGGAATATTCTAGCTTGAAAGCTTTGTCGATCACCTCTGGAACTTCAGGCGCCTCTGCGCGTAGTACTGTTATCTCTTGCTGTATATCGACTTGCACGAAAATTACACTTGCAAGGCCGTTGCACAGTTTTCATTTTCACAATGTGCGCCTTTATGAATTTTTGGTTTTTCACGATTAAATTTCGATGTAGAAGTGATAGTTCGTATATCAGAAGCTCTTATGTGAAAACCACATTCGATTACTTCGATAGTTAGCTTTGTTGTCTCCCGGTATTATCTTTGTCACGTCACATTTGAATTTATTAAACTAAATACGCAAATTGATGGTAACTATAATTATAACAAAAATAAATAATTAATAAACGAAAGGAAATTAACAAATATATCTTATAGTGTTTTTTTCTATTCAATAATGTCAAGTTACAACTTCAAGCAACGCATTTGAAGAATGATGTTTTTCAAATACCAATATTTAATTAATGTAAGGCCTTCACAATTACGACTTTAAAAAAAACAAATTACAAAAAATTGAGCTATATAACAAATACTTTCAATTTTTGAGGTCGAAGAGAAAAGACAACTACTAGAAAAAAATGATGCCATTTCGCCTAACTTATCTGTAGTTTAATTATATATTTTTATTCAGAAACAGTTTCAGTTGACTGAATAGCCAATTTTGTATTGGCTCGAGTACGTCATGTACTTAGGAGTGTGCGTTTGAGATGTTTTAAGTTATGAGATGTATGAAGTTTTGATATGTTTTAGGCTCTCACAGCTTTCTAAAAGATTTTCAAGAATTTAAACTATTTTTATTATTGGTCAAGCGGTTCAATATCTTATATTGGAATATTGCTTCTTCATAGAGGAAGCTA